AAACGTTAGTTCACACCTTCATCACGTCCAGGTTAGATTACTGTAACGCTCTGCTTTCTGGTTGTTCCAGCCAAAACCTTAACAAGCTTCAGTTAGTCCAGAACGCTGCAGCCAGAGTTCTCAGCAAAACCAGGAAATTTGACCACATTAGCCCAATTTTGTGTACCTTACATTGGTTGCCAGTTAAATTCTGCATTGAGTACAAAATTCTTCTACTGACCTATAAAGCTCTGAATGGCCTTGATCCTCAGTACCTCAGTGACCTTATTTCCTATTATCAACCGACACGCCCACTTAGATCACAAGGTGCTGCTCATTATTAGTACCCAGAATAAATAAAGTTACGTCAGGGGGAGGAGCCTTTTCATACAAAGCCCCCCAGCTTTGGAATAGCCTACCAGTCTGTGTTCGGGACTCAGACACAGCCTCCATCTTTAAGTCTAGGCTAAAAACTTACCTGTTTAGCCTTTGGTTAATTTGTTTTCCTAACTATCTGTCCCCCTTATCCCCCCTCCCCCCTCCCCCTCTTTTTCCCTTAGCTGAGCGGCTGCCCGTCCTAAGAGGGTCTGACGTGACTGATGCGGCCGGCGCTCTGCACAGTGGTGTTAAACTGTATCCACTTATACTGTTTTGTGTCTGTGCTGTTATCCGGTGTCGACCAGAGGAGGATGGGTTCCCCTTTTGAGGTTCTTCCTCCTGTTAAGGGAGTTTTTCCTTGCCACTGTCACCAAGGCTTGCTCACTGGGGGACCCGGATTCTCTGTAAAGCTGCTTTGTGACAACATCTGTTGTAAAAGGCGTTATATAAATAAATTTGACTTGACTTCTGATCTGGAAGAGCTGTGCGGTAGGTAAAGCTAGCATTACAGCATGTAGCAGAGAGAACTAACAGGCAGCTTCTTAACAAATCTCTCTCTCTCTCTAATTATTAATGGGACACACACAAACTTCAACATATTTAGAAAGCTGTTTAACAGTAAATAAGTCCTCTCTACTTCTTACTCAGGCCTACACAACACACACTAAGAATCACGGCTTTCTTTTACAGTCCAGATTCAGTCCAGTTTCGAGGTGATAAATCGGTATGTACCGTGTAAGACTCTACACTCTCAGAAATAAAGGCAGTAAACTGTCACTGTCTCTTGTCACTGGGGTGGAACCATCAGGGGTTCATCTCAGTACCTTTAGTCAGGGAACATAACTGAACCATAATCCACTGAAATGATCTGTTCTAAGCTGTACTGACTCCACACACCCCGTCTCGTCTCCAGGCTTTTATTTTACTGTTCTGTTTTAAAACATTCGGTTATGAAAAGGTACAAATACGAACTTTTCACCTGGAAACACTTATTTAAGGTTCACAATCAGACCTTAAAACCACTGTTGTACATTTGAGGGAACATTTACATCTAACATGTACCATCTTTTTACATCATAACTACCTGGTACCTTTTACCCAAAATAATTTCACAGGTCTTTTGAGGTTTTCCCAAAACTTATCCAGTTAATATCTAGAACCTGTTGGGAATTTCAGTGTAGTAAACTGTCACAAAACTTACCATCATGTTACTCAAAAGAATTATCTAGTACTTTCCAGTTTGCACCTCACATTTACCTGGTTAATATCTAGAACTAAAGGGACTGTAAAAGAAAAGTGTTACTAATTTGCATCTAAACACTTCCAGTCCTATGCAAAAGTTTAAACACCCCTCGTCAAATGACGTTTAGTTGATATACAAGTGAAAATAAGTTACACATCCTCTACAGAGAACATACTTCTGCACATTTTAATGCACAATTACTGTTTATTTGCTGAATTTAAACATATTGGGGGAAAAATTAACCATAATAACATAACCTGTGCAAAAGTTGGCACATTTGCATTTTATTTTTTCCTAATAAGTTCAACTTAGCAAATAAATACAAACAGTGCTCTCAATTTTGTGGAAAAGTGTCATATTTAAGTGTGTCCTCTGTAGATAAATCAAAATGCCATTTAACTAGAGGTGTTCAAACTTTTGCACATCTGTATGCGTGCAGTGCTGTAGGCCTCTGAAACTCGGCTTGAGGGGCCTCCACGTACGCCGTGCTCTTCTTACTTTAGCTGTGCATTCAGCAAATCTTAGGTATCCATTAGAAGGTTATTACACTTTCCAGTAAAAGAGCAGTTCAGAGTGTGACAGTTGTGCTGATGTCCGGTCCTGCAGTGCTTTCAGGGCAAATTACTCCCGTGCATACAACCGTACATCAACCCCCGACACCCTCTAATTAAGATTAAAAAGATCCGCATCGCACACCCGAGGCATCCGGGAGCCCACGCTGGCCTGGAAGGACGAGAAGAGCTGCAGTTTTGTCTGCTGGAGATTTATAGACGTGATAAACATGCAGGGCCTGATTCGGGGGAGCTGAACGCAAATGATCAATATTAGCCTAAAGCGCAGATGCAACGTCTGGCTCGTGATGCCCTCATTAAGACTAAACGGGGCACCGCGTGCTCCTGAGGCGCTGTGCACGCGGAGAGCTTTAAGCTGTCAGCTTTAAGCTTCACACATCAGGAGACGCTCGGTCTGAATTCCTTCTCTGTGCCGCGATGAAGCAGGTAGGATTTAACATACACACAGCTGCTCGTGCGCTCAGAGCCGGTGTTCATTAGCTTTTGGCTACGCTCGCATTACAAGCCTCATTGCTCAGTTCTCGTTTTTTGCTCAGATCTGATCTTTCTGCTTTAACATTTTCACATTGGAGTGAGTGAATGATAGTGGGGACTCCACCAACCGAGCCGACTCTTAATTGGTGAACCAAAGTTAGCCATATGACTTATAATTGATAGTTTTTGCTAGTCTATCATCATTGCTCGCTAGCAGCTCAAGAGTCACAGTATTTCACACAGAGCAACAACAGTGCCCTGATTATTCTGTTAATATAGTTACAAATATTTTATTTGATTATGTTAATTAAACTATCCATCAAGTCCATTTCCATTCTGCTGGTGGAATAGCCGCTAGGAGGCCTGAAGAAAAAGGTTAAAATATTATTTTGCATTGAGATGTAAAAAAATGCAGAAGTGAAAAGATAAAAACAAGAAGATGCTACACAATGTGTGCCTATGTTATCATCATCATCATCATCATCGCTACTGTGGTGTATGTTAGGGACACACGAGAGACTAACAAACATCTCAGCTTTCCAGTAATGCGTCTGGGGTGGCACTGCACCCCACAGAACTGATAAGCCACCATGGGTGCCCCCCATTAAAGCTGGTAGATGATGAGTTATTAGATTGTGTCATATGCTGGATATTTTGGATTCCTTTGGTACTTTTTTTGTGAAAGAGGCAAAATTAGTTGCATTCAAGCGATGCCTCATTTTGATTCTCTTTAAATAGCACAACTTTTAACTATACCAGAATTGGTGCCACACAGTCTGGAAAGTGAAAACTTTAAATATTGTTATGTTTTCATGAATGTTGTGCATGCTTCTGGTGGCTTGATACATGTGTCCTTACATGTATTCCACATGAAAATGGAATTTTCGGTCACCCAAAAACTGAAGGTGGAGGGTGGAGATTTTTAAAACTCAGGATTTTTGAAAGTGCTGATATCACACCGTTAGCTTGCACATAGTTGTTGTTGTTTACATTCATTGAGCATGCAGAACTCTGACATATGACTGGCGACTGGGTTGTTTCTGCATGCTCATCATTTTGAGAGTGATGGGAGGGGTCCCATTTATAATAGAATTTGGCTTCAGAATGTACTGCACTCGGCTCTTTTAAGTGGTGGGTCATCTCGACTGACAATATTAAAAACGCCTCAGTGATTCTAAAGATGTGATCTGATGATCGATAACCAAAGTCTGGAAAACTTTTTTTTAGTTTTTGTGATTTTTATTTAGTTAAACAGCAAAATAACATCTGCAATACAGATTATAAAGAAAATATCTTACCTATAGCTTGTGCTGAAGGCCCTTTTAGAAATGCGGTTTCAATGCAGCCAAGACCAAAGAAAGTGGAAAACGTTTTTATTAAAATGTTTTTTATTGCACATTGTTCTGTGAATGAATCCTACTTAATATAAATTACTAGTATTATAAAGTACTACTATATTTTTTTGTATTTCTTTCCCTTTAAATTCAGATGTTTACTGGTCTACAGACTTAAAAAAGATGGTTCTTCAAGGGTGCTTTAATAAAATGATTAAAGGGTTCTTTGCATCATGAAAGTGTTCTTCAGATTGATGGAGAATGTGCTTTAGATGGTTTCTAGTGTTCTTGTACTGTTATTGTTGGTGCTATATAGAAATGTTTTTTGAAAAGGTTCTATATAAAACATCTACAGCACAGTCTCCATCAATCTGAAGAACCATTTCACGATATACAAAACCCTTTAATCATGCAATGGGTTCGTTGAGTGTTCATGGTTCTATATAGACCCAAGAACTCTTGAAGAACCGTCTTTTTTCAGAGTGTACTATTTTTAGCTCCAAGGTCATGTTACCCTCTGTCATTAATGAACACACTTCTGTCCTGAAAGGACCCACATCCTCATTTCCCAAATCAATAAAGACACATGCATGATCCATAACCACAGTGAGCAAAAAGGTCACGTTGTTGAAACAATCCATCACTGCAGGAGCGACAAAGTGAACCAACTCACGGCGCGAGCCTTCATCACAGGGATAATTTGCTTTTTTGCAGGCTTCAGAATTAATGTTGTATTCCCGACACGGTTCTCTGTCTCACCCTGTTCACATACTGCACTCACGCTGTTCTCTAACAGACCTAATTGCGTCTACCAGGACCTCTAACCCAGCTGTGTCGTACACAGCAGTCCAGAGCCCTTTCTAATAGGTCAGCTCTCTCTGACCTGCAGAGTGAAGGCATGGGGCTGAGTGACCCCACCCTGAGGCCAAGCACTCTCTAATTCAGACTGATTTACGCTGATGGAATTAACAAGCTACACAGTGTCCGTCCTTATCTGACATCACGGCTGTGTTCTTTTAGGTGGAGATTCTGGACGCTAGAACCAAAGAGCAGCTGTGTTTTCTGGACAAGGTGAGTAGAACCAGCATTAGATGTAGAGTTTACATGGAAAATGAGTAGAAATTCACAGAAATTGGAGTTCTATGCATCTCATAGAACAGTATTTCCCAAAGCTGGGGCCGGATTTACGAAGCACCGGCTTGTTTTTTTGTTTTTTTTTATTTTTTCATTTCAAAACTGTGCTGCTTTTCTTGAATAATTGATTAACTCCAGCAAAATATATGACAACATTTTTGAATGGACACATCACCTCTATAGTTACTGTGCATTTCTGTTAAATTGTATTAGGAGGTCGTCCTGATGAAATTGCTTTTCTCTGGTGTTTAATTTTATCAAATAGATAATTCCGGTCCTAAAATCTGATTGGCTGAGCCGCGATCAAAGCCGCTGTAAAAACCATGATGTACCCACACCTATGACCGCTTCACAACAACTGAACTCTGTATTACTGCACCACAGCACGAAAAAACCCTTGTTCTGTTAGTGGAATAATCTTTGCTGCTCGCAACTGAGCGGCTGGCAACTTATGTTCTTAGCTAGAACCAGGGTGGTCAGCTAGCTAACAGGCTAAAAGAGCCAACAGCCTAAACACCTCCATCATTAATATCACAGGCTTGAAGTAAAGCACTTACAGTATGATTAACTGTAAAACGGCAGTATAAAAGTCTAGAAATGTCACTTGAATGTCTTACACACTTCAAATGTTCATGTTTCAGTCAGAAGTCGCCTCAAACCCAGGCTGAATCCCAAACGGCCCCGTACTCCCTAAATAGTGTTCTAGCTATGAAAGCTTAGACATTCTAGCCTCTACAGCCAAACAGTGCATCATGTATCGAGTGTGGATGTGTCTGAGTCCCAAATGACTATTTCTTAGCTGTATTTTGCTCTGTTGGGCTGCAGCATCCAGTATTTAAACTCCTACGTAGTGCACTATGTAGGGAGCAGGAGCCGTTTGTGATTCAGCCCCAGCGTGAGAAGAGGGTGCCGCTGGATTTGTGGTGGACTCGCAGTGTTAATTTGGTGACCAAAAAGTACTTATAAAGCAAAGTTTTTTGCATTAAACAGTGCTGTGTTATCATATGTCCATTGTTAAATGACAAAAAGTTTTAAAAAATCATGAAATGACCGCAGTTTACAGCGATGGGCGACCAAACGTTCTCCTCATTCAGTCCATGGTTGAGTGGCAATGATACCATACTCTAAAGGAACCACATTTCCTGGTGGAATACTTGTGTATGGTGATTATTATTAATAACAATTTAAATTCTTTTCTGAAGAGTTGTGTATTTTATGTTGGCCTCCATTTTATAAAAGCAATAAGCCACTTGCGTTACTGCAATTTTATCAGAGGGAAGGGAGTTTTGGACACTCCACTTCGCATTGTACCTATGAACACCCTTCCCGTGATAAAATCGCAGTAACCCTCAGCCTCTTGTGGCTTATTGCTTTAATATAACAATAAATAGACAGATGAAACAAGAGTAACAGAAAGTAATCAGATTATGTGACTTTAACAGAGTAATCCTTTGGATTAGGTTAGAGATTATACTTTAAACAGGTCTGTAATAATCTGTAACAAAATACATTTTTAAAAGTAACCCACCCAACTCTGGTTGACTTTCTCACAAATGGTTCTTCATAGCACCAAAAAGGGCTCTTCTATTGTTAAAAGCTTGACATCGTCCCAATAGAAGAACCCTTTTTGGTGCTATATAGAACCATCTACAGCACATTCTCAATCAGACGAACCCCTTTCATGAGGCAAAGAACCCTTTAATCATGCAAAGAGTTTTTTGAGTGTTCATGGTTCTATATAGAACCACTATCTTTACCAAAGGACCCATGAAGAACCATTAAAAGTGTAGGTTGTAGCAGAAATGAAGCCAGAGAATGAACGTGGTTGGGACAACAAAACAAAAGAACCAAAGCTGGGGTTAATACTGCTAAAGAATGACCATTTCCGAGGTCACAACCTGATAATCAACCCGCAATAGTAAATAAATATCAATTTATTTTACTCTTTATCATAAACAAAGTTAAAAACAAACAATGCAGGAGTTCCAAACAAACACATTACCTGAAAAGCCCAACAGTGGAATCAACCCACTCTGTAATGCTCCATATACAATAGACTGCACTCACCTGTTGTCAACAGAAGGGTGTGCAGGGTTGAATAGATCAGTGGTCAGGAAAGTCCACTGTTACCACTTTAAATCAACAGAGGATCCTGTATCTGGGACTCCGTCTTAATCCTTAATCCTCAAGAGAAAATGCTCCTCAGAGGTTTAGGACTCCAAGATCAGGTTTGGGAGAAGAGTTAGTTCACAGTCCATCGTTTCACTGAGCTGCAAACATAATGCAGCTGCTGTGGACCCATCTCCCCTGACTGGCCAAACACAGACCCCCACTGTCTCCCTGTGAGGGATTTCAAAACTCCTCTTTCCCTCCATTTCCAACTTCCTGCTTTGAGAAGTATGGAGCCCAGTGAGGGTCAAAAGGCAAATGAGAAATTCCACCAGGTGTTTGATGCATGCAGTGGTTTAAGCCAAAGTGTCCTTGCAGGTTTTCATTCCAACCAAGCAGGAGCTGATTCTACTTCTTGTTTCTTGATTCTACGTCAGTCATATATATATATATATATGACTGACGTAGAATCAAGAAACAAGAAGTAGAATCAGCTCCTGCTTGGTTGGACAATAAATGTGATTTGATTTGATAACCATACTATACTATATTTTAGTTTATACTTTCACATAGTATATATATATATATATATATATATATATATATATATATATATATATATATATATATACTACAAGAATTTATACTTTCACCTACTATATTTTACTAAACTATACTTTTATATATCATACAATACTACACTATCTACTTACCTATGCTATACTTTCCAATGTTATACTATATTATAATTTACTATACAATATACCTAAAAGTTTGTAGACACCCACTCCTCCTCTTCAGAAATCAGGAGTATTAATAGAGAGTTTGCACCCCTTTTGCTGCAGTAACAGCCGCTACTCTGAGGGGCACTGGGTGCACCTTATAGTAGCTGAACTCACTATTTAGAAAGGGGTCCCTGGATACTATCAGTCAGGCCCCAGTTTAAACAGTAATGCTCAGACATGCAGCGCAGTGTGTGTGTGTGTGTTTGTGTGTGTGTGTGTGTGTGCGTGTGTGTGTGTGTGTAGGGTGGGGGGGTCAGAAGCATGACTGTGAAACACTGTCACAAAGCATTAAAACACATTACTTTAAAACCCCATGAACTGCTTTTCCAGGCACGGTTTCAGCTCGTTTTGGAAGGTATTAGGTTGTCAGTATGAATTAATTCTCTGTATAATGAATTAAGTGCAGGACTACAGTGGCTGTAAGCCGCGTGTGGAGAGTCAGCTCTACCTGTTTTTGTTTGCAGGTTGAACCTCACTCAACTATCTGTGACATCAAAGGACTGTTCCACAAGTCATGTAAGTCTCAGTTAATGATAGTTTTTGTCTAACTGGCATCAGTGAAATCAAGCGCCAGCCTAACAGCATCTCGTTTATATATCATTTCCATGAAGCACGCCTTTATTTCTGCAGATGTTTCGGTAGGGAGCCAATAAAATGAAGAATTCAGGCTGAGCTTGTGGGCAGAGTTTGAGTGCGGCAGTGAGAGCACTACTCCCCCTACTGACCAAACTTTATAGTGTTAAAATTACAATCAGAGTCAAGAATAAATTGTGAAATACACAGAACATCTTCATTTTTTTTAAGACAGTAATCTAACATGTAAGGCCTTCAGTTCAGCTCCTGAAGTCCTAACCAATAGGAGAGCTCGCTTGGCTGTATCTACTTAGACACTGTAGAGAAAACCAGTCCAGACTAAACCAAAACCTATCTAAGGTGGATCATTTTACATTTCAAAAATGGACTCCTTTTGTTTCAGACCTTAACAATGATTATGATTATATTAAATAAAAATGAATTAAACATGACAGACATGTATTTTTCCCACTGTGAGTATTAATATATTTGCAATGTACAAATATCTGTATGTGCTGTTATTTTTGTATTCTTCCTCTCAGATCCACAATGGTATCCTGCAAGACAAGCCCTCAAACTCCATCCTAGTAAGTGACAGATTTTTATAGAAACCTCCTAATAAGATTATTAAATATCATAGCAACGCACTGTTGTTACGCGAGAACTCTATAGGCTGTAAAAATAACCTGTATAACAGGTTTGATATCGAACACAAACTGTGTGAAAGAGTCTCGATTTGGCGTCAGTTATATGGGTTAACATCTTCCCACAAGACTTCTAAAAATGATTCTTTCATTCTTCTTTCATGTCGTCTATAAAGCGGGTTAAAAAAGGTCAGCTGGAGATTCAAAGACAACGAGCTGTTATAAAATTAATGGCTTTGTTCCGGTGGAGGCGTTCGAGTCCTTTGAGGGCCACTTTGAAGAGTTTCTCTTTCAAATGCTCTTGTCTTAGTTGGCACAGACCTTAATTCATCATAACGTCTATTAAAATAAAAGCACAATCCGTTCATGTCAAGAGAAAAAAGAGGAGCGTAACATCCCCAGCTATCAGAGAGTCTTTAGAAAACCCAGACACCACCATCCGTCTCTAAAATGTGAAAAATGTGTCTTGAGATGTTTCGAGGAAATGTACGTTTTGAGCTCTAAAACAGCGACGCTGCTATCCGGTTTGCTACGAATGTGAAGAATAGTTGGATGGACAGTTGTTACGTATAAAAAGCAGAATCAAAGCCCCTCAGACACTTATTTGCCAGTTTATTAGGTACCTTGTATCTACACTGACTGGCCAGTTTATCAGAAACGGCTGCCATATACACTCACTGGCCACTTTATTAGGTATTAGGGATGCACTGATATGGGAATTGTGGACTGACGCTGATATCTGATATTTTTTATGTACATATCTGCAGATGCTGACACATTAACATTTACAGAAGGTAGAAATTGGAACATCATAATAATATTTATATATAACTTTGTAGTTCTATAATTATAGACAGCAGTCCATCTGTTTCCCTGCATATATTTTAGCACTTATTAATCATTTAGCATTTATGGTCAGGACCCCCACAGATCAGATATTATTTGGTTGGTGGATCATTTTCAGCAGTGCAGTGTGGAGGTCTGCATTCCCACAGGACTTACAGGACCGCTGAAATATTTGCCATCAGGCGAGGCAGTGGGTGGTTAACCAGCACAGTGCAGGAGAAAGCATATGTGTAGAGAAATTCCACAAATTATTGAATAGCCTAAATAAAATGATAATCACTTAATAATTAGCATATATACATCATATACAACAGCAAAATAACAAAAATCAAAACATCACATTACAAATAGTTAAGAAACCGATTATGAGAACAACACTTGAACTGCATTCTTGTAGGCGACAGAGATGGAGGAGACTTCAGGCAACAGCTGTGGAAAAAAACCTCTTAATAAAGGTGAATACATGAAAATGAACACAATTAAAGGCAAGTCTGACATATGGCCGTCATTTTCAAACATGACTAGCACAGATGGACACTAACTATCTACAGCACTGGGCCAAAATGTTTAGGCTGCAGGCAGCAGCGGGACAAACAGTGCAGAGTGGTATGAATCATGAAGGAGCAGGACCAAACAACCGATCTCCCACAGGCCTCTACTACAGCATCACTGACATGATAGTGCGTGAATGAGATTAGTCTAAGATTAGATACAGCAGTACTACTTGAGTTTTTACACACTGTGTCCACTCACTGTCCACTTTATCAGAGACCTCTCTCTTGTAGCTCCACTTTGCTGGTGTACAGTTAGAGATTATAGCTCATCTGTGTTGATGCACAGTTTGAGTTAGTCTTGTCAATCAATCAATCAATCAATCAATCAATCAACTTTTATTTAAACCCGGAGTACACTGCGGGAGACCCTCATTTACAGTGTAGTCGAGCTAATCCAAAATTAGGGATTAAGAAGTTGGATAGGAAAAAAAAAAGATTACAAGTGCTAAAAAGTAAAAGTAATCATAGTGCAAAAATGTAATAGAAAAAAGTAAAGAATCAATAAATTACAATAGTGTAGTAGCGTTAAAAATATCAGATTAGACAAGGATAAAATAAATAAAATACACAATTAATGAAATAAATAAAGAAATAGAAGATGTAAGACAAATTGGCAGTAAAAACATAAAGAATAAAATAAATAAAAAGAATAATAATACAATAAATAAATAAAAAAGAATAATAAAAGTGAAACAACAGCTAAAATATAGTTAAAACATACAAAAATAATATTAAAAGTGAAGACGAATCAAGTAAAACAGTTGCAGGCTGAGTTGAGATGGTGAGAGACTAAAAGTTTAAAATGTAAATAACAGAAGATAATATATTACTTCACAAAGGACGATAGAAGGTTGCATAAAATTGATGCAATTAAAATGGCTTTAAAATGATTAAGATGACTGAGCGTGAAATTCTGAACATCTTCACAATCATTTGAGAACTCTGAACCATCATGGCTAATAAATGGTGCTGTATTTGTGTATTTTCAGAGGGAAATGTGCTTAAAGATGATGAAGTATTACAGAATCTCCCGGTTGGGACCACAGCCAAGCTCTATTTCCGAGACCTTGGCCCACAGTTAGGCTGGACAATGGTAAGAGCAGTGACAGAAATGACCTGAACAGAATGATGCACTGAGAATAATGTCAACTGCAAGCAACAGTGGTATGATATCTCAGTATTAGTCCTGATTTAGGGCCTTTTTTTAAACGATCATTTGAACACACTGTATTTCCAAGAGTTTTTAGACACCTGCTGATCCAGCGTTTCTTCTGATATGAAGGCTATTAATAGCGAGTTTGTTCCTCCTTTGCTGCAGTAACAGCCTCTACTCTTCTGGGAAGGCTTTACACTAGATGTTGGAACATTGCTGTGAGGATTTGATTGAGCATTAGTGAGGTCAGGTACTGATGTTGGATGGTCAGTTTTGGATCACTTCAGCTCATCTCAAAGGTATTGGATGGAGCTCCATCACTCCAGAGAACACAGTTCCACTGACCCACAGCCCAGTGCTGGGGGGGCTTTATACCCCTCTAGCCCACACTTGGCATTGACATATATATTGTATCATATAGGGTATTTTTGGACATTATTGGACATTAGTGTTTCTTCAGAATCAGATTCTGGTGCAGGACAGTAGACAGTAAAGTGGGTGAAAGAAAAACAGCTGTTAGTCCTCAGCAGCAGTGACTGTGGATGTAATATCATAGTAGGAAGATTCCTTGGTCTTTAGCAGCAAACATCTTTGTTGAGAGTGCAGATAATATGCACAGTAGAAAGTGTCCTGTACAGGTAATGTGAGTTGAAATATATCTCTAATGTAAATCAGCCAGTAAGTGTGTATAAGTATTCTATATGCATTGTGTTAATGCAAACATACAGCTGACCACTGCGGAGGATTGTGAAAAAGGTCCTTGTTTAAGAGGATTACAGCCTGTGGGGAGAAGCTGTGTAGGTAGCAGTTAATCCTCACTTTATGACTCTCGGTCTCTCTCTCAGCCGCCGCTGAAAAAAGAGTGACCAGAGCATGAAGGGTCATCTATGATTCTCAGGGTGGAGAGCCGACATCAATTACTTTCTCCGTGCATCGCACAATTCACTGTTGCTTACACTTCCAGAGTGAAGATGCAAAGCAGAGGAAAGGACTGATTCTATCAGGCTCTTACTGATTTATTATTATTGAACTTATTGATTCATAATGAGGATGTTTTTGAAGGTTTTTCATAATTTACACTCTACTCATATATAGTGATAGTCATTACATTTAGATACTCATATTTATGGGGTTTAATTTCATTCTACTACATTACATTGGCTCAGCATCTGTACTGCTTTGTGATTGGTCACACTTCTCACTTTTGAGCTTAATCTCTCTATTTTAGACCATAAACAAAGAATACAGCCTATCACACTTCAAGCTGGGTGGACTATGAAGTTCCTCTGTAGTTTTATACATTACTCTTGAGCTGCTATGTTGGTGTTTAGGCTAATTTACACACCTTCGCATGTGCAGTTATACAGTGATGCAGTCGAAGTGCACAGTTAATGTATAGTGTAACCTTGTCTGTAATATGTGTGTTAAAACACATATGATATGAGACGGTTTTGCATATTTGATCTCACGTTTTGCATATTGTTCTTTCTCATCCGCAGGTGTTTTTGTTGGAGTATGTGGGACCCCTCTTGATATACCTTCCTTTCTACTTCCGAGTTCCCTACATCTACACCCATAAATACACCTTCACCAGCAGTCCTCATCCTGTGGTCAGGTACACATACAGATGTATGAAAAAGTTTGGGCACCCTGGCCAAATTACATATTTTGTTCATTTTTGAAAAGATGCAAACATAACTTTTGCATATCTGCAAATATTAATGCACAGTTACTGTATATTCCATTAACTTAAACATAGAAAAAAAAAACAGTAACTTGGGCATGAGCAAAAGTTAGGACACCCTACTATGTCAGTGCTTCGTAACACCTCCTTTGGCAGATTTTGTAGCCAGCTAGCAGTCTTTCTGTTTTATGAATTTTCACCCACTCTTCTTTGCAAAGCACTTCAACTTTTGCAATATTTTTGAGTCAACTGTCATGCACAGCAAGATCTACCCACTTACTTCCAATGATGTTCAAGTCAGAGGACTGTGAGGGCCACTCGAGGTTTCAGCTTGCGTTTCTGGAAGTAGTTCATGATAGATTTTGAGGCATGTTTTGGATCACTGTCCTGTTGTAGAAGCCTCTTTTCAACTTCAGTTTCTCAATGTTGCATTTGCTTCCAGAATTTGCTGATATTTAGCGGAATTCTTCCATCTGTCCATGCAGTGCTTCCTAAGCCACTGATTGCCACAGAACCCCAAAGCATAATAGATCAACCTCCAAACTTGACAGTTGGCAAGGTGTTCTTTTCATCAAATGCTGCTCCTTTTTTTCCTCCGAACCTAACATATCTTCGGTTCTATTTTTACTTCTTACCCGGTCCATAGCACTTGTGTCCAGAATGCCTCTTATATAGATTGTTTTGCATACATCATATGTTGACGTCTGTGATACGTTTGCAGGTAAGGTTTTCTTCTGATGACTCTTCCATGCAGATCATGTTTGTGTGAGCAGCACTACACAGTAGAGCAGAGCACCACCACTCCTGTGTCAGCTAAACATTCCTGCAGGTCTATTACTGTCATATGGGGGTTTTGCTTTGCCTTTCTGGCCAGCATACACACAGTTCTATCTTGCCTTGACATCATAGCATTCCCTGCTTTGTAGGCATCAATTAGCTTCATTTTCAGATTCTCAGCCAGCTGCTTAGAGGAGTCAGAGAGTTTGTTATCCTCTGGAATTTTCATCAGTTGACAACTCCTAATGCCAGTTCCTGGCCTGCTTAATCGGTCCCAATGAGTCAATTAAAGCCTAACAAGTTCATTAAGTTCCAAGATTTTACAAGTTAAAGGGTGTCTGAACTTTTGAACATGCCATAATGATCATTTTATGCTTTTCTAAGTGCATTAATATTAGCAGAAAAAATGTTTTAAAATACTTTGTTGCAGAAGTATTATTTATGCCTTTTCATTTTAGAAATCAACAAAATATATTATTTTTCCAGTGGTGTGCAAAATTGTGCATACAACTGTATTCATCAGCAATTTTCTACTCACTATGGCTGCACAATGTGGACAAAATGCTATGTTGCGATCATATCTGTGATATAACAGTTTTTGATTGCAGTAGGCCTGCAATCAGATTCCTTGTGCTGATGGAGTTGGTATGTGGTTAAAGACATTTTAAAGCCTGCAATAATTAGAATACAATTATTTACATTTGTTGGATCATGTGAATGCCTTGACTCATCAGTACCCAAAGAAACACATCTGAAGTGTCTAAGATTTGGTCAAAATGCTCACAGTGTACAACAAAAACTAGCTGGAGACTTATTTGCATACTACAGCCTTTTGGGATATCAGCATTGCGCAATAACAGTGAACAAAACATCATTGTATGCACTGAATTCTACACATTCTACACACAAAAATGTCTTGAGAAGTGAAGTCAACTTAAATCTAATCAACATATCTAATATTTCTCATTATGAGAGCATTGTAAGAATTGAAGATTATTTAACACATTTTGAAACATTTTGAGTAGTTTTAAGCATTTTGTCTTAGTCTATTGGCAGATCATTTTGCTTGTTTCAGGAATAATGCTATTCTATTCCTTTGTCTTTGGTGTGTCCAGTCTGGCCTGTGCCTGTCACTCTTTCCACTACATTAAGAGGCTGGTGGAGACCATCTTTGTGCACCGATTCTCTCATGGAACCATGCCGCTAAGGATTATGGTTAGGGTGAGTACCAAGACTCTTGGGAGTTCTTTAAGGTTCAGCTTTATGCAGTAGAGGTAAAAGTGCTATAGCTTTCCAATCTGTAAGGACAACACTATTTAGCAAGTGCACAACTGTGTCACTAGCAAGTGATATTCCAGCATTTTTCAAACTAATCTCTATCTGCTGCATCTGAATCATACTGTCAGTTAACACAATGATCATGACTGCTTCCATATACCTAGAAAAGAACTGAAAATAAATATTTTTGTTGAAAAAACAAAGATATGTGACTGCAGAATGGAATTTTAAAACTCTGTTACACGCCAAAGGCCGAGTTTGGTTTATTCGGACATCAAGAAATTAATTATTATAATTAAACTAATGATATCCTGCACTGTGAATATTCAGCATTTACTCACTTGACCAATCACGTTTCTGATGTTGGCATGGCAACAAACAAGCTGACAGATCGATTGTGTCCCAGCAACTACAACTTTTTAACAATGGCCAAAATAATTATTTGTCTTCTGCTTCTTCGTGCATGATGTTAGCAACTCCAAAATCGGCTCAAACTCAGTTACAGAGATCCCAGCTGTCTTTCTGTTTGGGCTTTAGGACTTTTAACCTGCTCTTCTTTGCAGAAAGCTTCTAGTTCTGTGATATTCTTGGTCCATCTTGCATGCACAGCATGTTTCAAATCTACTCACATATGTTCAACGATGTTCAAGTTAAGAAACTGCGAGGAACATTCTAAAAGCTTCAGTTTGTGCTCATGGTGAATTTTCAGGTATGTCTGAGGTATTTAGAGAAACACTATCCATCTTCTGATCTTACATCTGCCTGTGCAATGTTTATGGCACCACTGGCTGTAAGAGGTGCCTAACAGTTGGCAAAGTGTTCTTTTCAAATGCTGCTCCTTTTTTCTCCAAACATACCTCTGATGACTGTGGCCAAACAGTTCAATTTTTATTTCATCAGTCCACGGACTTGAATGCTTCTGGCTTATCTAGATGTTATTTTGCATACTTCAGATGTTGACTTTTGTGATGAGTTCGTAGTTTCCTTCTGATGAATCCACCATGCAGATCATGTTTGTGTAAGCGACGCTGCACAGTACGGAGCACCACCACTCCTGTGTCAGCTAAACCATCCTGCAGGTCCTTCGCTGTCATGTGGGGGTTTTGCTTTACCTTACTGGCTCAAACTCAGTTCCCAGCTTCTGAATAAGGTGGTGCAACTCTTGATGCTACTTTTGCTATCCCAAAATGAAAAGTAGCCCACCCAGTTTCACTGTTTCTGCATTTTTAGGGGCAGTCGTGGACTGGAAGTTAGGGAACCAGCCTTGCGACCGGAAGGTCGCCGGTCGATCCCCTGAGCTGACAGGACATGACCGAGGTGCCCTTGAGCAAGGCACCTAACGCTATGGATAGGGCTGCCCACCGCTCTGGGCAAGTGTGCTCACTGCCCCCTAGTGTGTATGTGGGTGTTTCACTGCACAGATGGGTTAAATGTGGAGGTGAATTTCCCCGTTGTGGGATTAATAAAGGGTAACTTAACTTTTCTGAGGGGCAAAGAATATCTTAAAAAAACTCTGTCCATTTGTTGGAGTGCGTATATGAATATCTCACATTTTCATGTCGTTTATCTGCATTGCGATCAGTGTGTAACAGCGTTAACATTACTTTGCTGGTATCCATGGTGATGAGACAGCACCTGTGAAAACTATGCCCACATTTTTTTGCTGTGAACTTATTACCATAAATTCATCCCTATAAAAAAATTCTCATTCTGACAACAAATTACATTTATAGCATAATTTCTACAAACGTTAAAGAATTCACTGAAGTGTTCTACAAGAATGCATCAAAATTACTGTCCATGGTATTTGACCATGTGCTACAGACAGAGAGGCTGAGGTTGGAAAATGCTGGACTATAATTTCAATAAAAGAAACAAGTACTTTGTGTTTTGATCATCTACTCCTGTATTTACTGATTTCACAGAACTGTGCTTATTACTGGGGTTTTGCTGCTTGGCTGGCCTACTACATCAACCACCCACTCTACACTCCTCCGTGTAAGAGGCTAAACACCCAGACCTTTCTTCATTATAACCTTTTGAAGAGTGGACTGCAACTGTTAGACATTTGTATTTGCAATTAAATATTTACACTACCAAACATTAGGAATTGCTGCTGGTTAAGAGTTTGGAACTAATATTTTTTTTAATAATATAAAACCAATTGTGTTGCAGATACACATATATGCGTGAAATGAATACGTACAGCATCACAGCTTCCACATGCTTAGTAGAACAGTAGAAAGCTGTAAATAAAAATAAAGAAAAATTAGATGTGTCCAGACTGATGAACAGAGCTGTAGAAGATTCTAAGATGACTGAGAAAGCTGTACCAGATTACTTGTAGAGAGGAGAATTACCACTCAATAATGTCTTCTGGGTTTTTCAAATGCTAGAGGGCGCTCCTGAGCGAGTCCAAAATGAATAGGTTAAAATGGAGCATTGTGCAAAATCATAATTTAGAAATGCTTAAACATGTTTAATATATAACAATACATTCATGAACACCCTGAAACCCTGAACACAGAACAGCATAAAACATTTTAACTCCTGCTTGTGAACTCGAGTAATAGGAGTTTAAAATGGCGCCTCATGTACGTTCATGACATCAGTGAGTGCAAACAGCCAATGAGCTGCTCTACTCACTGGCCAATCAGCTCTCAGTAGCACTAATACTAACCAATCAGTACTCAGTAGCAGTAATGCTAACCAATCAGCACTACAGTTTGCTGTAGAAAAAAGGAAACATAAAGGTGAGTTTTCTTTGCTTTTTTAGTGAAACACATCCTTCTACTTTCTAAAATTAAAGAAAGGTTCTAGTTTCTAAGTGATTAGAAACTATTTTAACTTTTCATTTTTAGCCATTTAGCTCCATTTACCCCAATTCATTGAGGACTCCTTTGCAGGCTCCCTCTAGCATTTTGCAGTCCTGTTTTTGATATAACGGGGGAAATAGGAAGCGGCCAGGCTTTTATAAACTGCCACTGGCTGTACAACATCAATAATGAGGTTCCAATAAAATAAATATTTAGAATGCATCATATTCCAGAAGTGAAGATTGAATCTCAAAGCAGATAAGATGATAAAAAATAAATATATATAAATAATTTTGGTATTATTTATTATTTAATGACTTCTTGTTCACAGAATTCTTGAAATATTGAACAAAAGGTCTTAAAATCCCTTTTGGTGAATAGTAATGTCTACACTACAGAAAAGCTACACTGCTTTTATATGTGTTTACTGTATACACAGCCGTATGCAAAAGTTTAGGCACCCCTGGTGAAATGACGTTTTGTTGATTTTATAAGTGTTAATAAGTAGAACACACTTCTGCACATTTTAATGCATGACTGCTGTTTATGTGCTGAATATAACATATTGGAAAAACGTAGCCTTTTTTTCCAATATGCTAAACAAATTAATACAAATCGTGCACTAAATTTCGCAGAAAAATGCCAACTGTAAGTTTTCACAAAACATACTTTGACTGGGGGTGTTAAAACTTTTGCATACGACTGTAGAATAACAAAAATAATTATTATGGTGATTCCAAACTTTTGAATGAGAGTGAATTTATTATTTTACAGTGTATGGAGAGACGCAGATCAACTATGCACTGGTTCTCTTTGTGGTATGTAAGTCTATAACTTAAATGTCTCCCTGTGTGATCAAAACATGTTCACAGTGATGAGTATTTTGTGTTTCTGTTCCAGCTGTGTGAGGCGGGTAATTTCTCCATTCACTGGTCTCTCAACAGTTTAAGAGGAGAAGGTAGGTGACTGAGAAAACAGATCAGTTCCATCAACACATGGAGCAAAGCAAACTGTGCAAGAGTCTTTAATGGCTCATTAACGATTTCCTCAGTTCATATATTCCAGTCGTGCTGTTTAAGTCTCTTGTAGGGGTCTAGTCTCGAGGGACCAGACGTGATCCCGCAATGAAAGGCTAAATAATAGGCTAAACGTCGGTGAGCATGTAGACTGATTAGGAAGGGAACAAAGTGAGTGTGAAATTTCTAAACCAATCCAACGCCTCATAAAGGCAGAGCTCAAAGCTGGGGTGATGGTGTGCTCATCAGCATTGAGAGCATTTACATGACCTCAATAATCTGATCATAATCGGATTTCTGCAGTTATCTGATTATTCAAATGGTCATGTAAACAGCACACTGATTTCTTAGATCGGAGTAAGGTCTATAAATCAGATTAAGAAATCTGATAAAGAGGCTGGATTTTATCTCAGTAATCAGATTTCTCCGTGCATGTGAACTCTTACTCTGATTTCTTTCGGATTTCTCAGTCTGAGCATGTGTGAAAACAGACGGCGGTACCAGAAATAAGTGAGCATTGTTGCCGCAAGACGCAGCAAAACACTTTTGGAGCTGAGACCGACTACATGCTTGATGAAATGAAGGATTTAAATATTCATCTTCTAGATGATGTATGTTCATATTTTCAGGTAAAGTGACGCGATGTTTTAAAAAAATGTTGCGGCATAAAGTTCGAGTTTTACATTACGTTTATGTCACGTCTTCTTCTGTGAGTTTATTGGCTGGTTGTAAAGCAGAAATCCATTCACTGACTCATGTAGACAAGTGTAAGGTTTCAAACACGGTAAGACGTTCGCAGATGTAACTTACAGAAAGGGCTTTACTGGTAGAAACAGAGTTACAAGTCGTAGTCGATAACCAGGCAGAGTTCAGATCCAGAAGGCACACGAAAAAGACAAAGATCAGCCAAGGCAACAATCCAAAAAGGGAAAAGCAGTAGCGTGGTCGAAGGTACAGGCAAGTGGTCATAATCCAAAATCAGAGACAATAGCAACCAAGTCCAAAGGGCAGAGCAAAAAGGGCAGAGACGAGAAAACGATAAGCAAAGGTCAAACACGAAATACACAACAATGAATAAACGCTCAGTAGTTCGCAAACTGGATACAATACTTCGCAACTTTACTAAGCTAAAGCCCGGCTTATATCCTATACTAAGTATATCATATGACACATAACGCAGGTGAATCACATCAATACTCTGGAGAGCTAGAGCGCTGATAGGAGCGCGGTGTCACGTGAAACATCATGTGACTTCCCATAGGATCCTGGGATATTGAGTCCGTTTTAGTCTTGTTGCCTACGGGAAGATCGGAAGTCATGTGATCTCCCAGAGGATTCTGGGAGTTTGAGTCCGAATCTACAAGGGGTTTCGGAGGCTGTGTGACAAAGAGTTTTCACATTATCTGATTACTCAAGTGCATGTAAACTCGTTTATTGGACTACTGACAAAATCTGATTTTCTGCAGTTATCAGATTATTAGGCGCATGTAAACACACCCATTGTCTGCAGACAACACACTCGTCATTAACCAAAGGACGTAAGTTAGCATGACTGAAAAGCCCCCCTAAAAACCTCAAGTTAAGTATGTGGATGTGGTACCGCTCTGAATTCAGCTCATGAAGGCCTTGTTAATTATCTGATTAGCTGAATCAGGTGTGTGTAATGAGGCAGTGTGCTGAAGTCTCCAGTGTTTTGGCCTGCGAGGACTGGAGTCTGACACATGTGGACTAAAGGAATTAAGGGGCAGGTTTTATCCTTGAAAATGTCAAATTTCGCCGCAGTCCAGCACTTAAAGTTTGTCCGCAGAAGCATCTTCTCATTAAGAGCTCACGTCTGGCCCTGTGAGACTTGTAAGCATCTTTTAAAATGAATACAATGTACAGTATCTCTTTATATATGCATATGATTTGCTGCTGTAGCTGCAATTTCCTTTGGGATTTATTAAGTTTTTGTCTCCTCGTCTGTCTGAGTCCATGCTCTCTCGCATTTGGTTTGCAGGCCCTAAGTGTCGGCGGTTCCCTCATCCGTCTAAAAACCCTTTCACCTGGCTGTTCTTCTTCGTGTCCTGCCCTAACTACACATATGAGGTCAGAGGAACATCCAAACACACAGACTCGACACCAACAACAAACACCAGGGCTGAAAAACGTCCCCTACTCCCGCTGGTTCATTACGCTCCTCAGTTCCAGCTCTGAAGCTTTTATTAAGAACATTTTAAAGTAAAAGTGTTATCCACAAAGTGCTGGCATGGACCCAAGCTTTCACTCTCACCGAAGAGTCACTCTCACGTTCAAGCTTTCATTAATGAGTCAATTTGTTAGTGCTACTGATTGGTTTTAACAAAACCTTGGACCCAAACCAGCCCTTTGCGGATTACGTTGTTTTAAAGCATGCGTTACGCATTTGAGTGTTTTGTCGAAGAAAGACAGTTTGGAGTGCCAAGTGCTTAATGGAATAATTTGGAGAAAAATCTAATTTACAGTTTCCTCCTTTCAAATACAGCACTGTACTGGAACTAGGAGGCTAATATAGTAAACGAGTAATGGAAGCTTATATCCCACCATTTAACATAATGCTTACTGCATGCCTCAAGCCTAGTGGACACTACAAGACTTTCAGAATCTCAGAATTGCTGCTCACACTCACTATCATTCACACTTGAGGTGGTTTGTTGTTGACCATGTGCCGAGTTTGATCAACTAGCTATAGTTGTTGTTTCTGTACTAATTTGTGCAGAACGAATCAGATTTATCTCATAATCTTTGATTCTTTTAATGTGTTTGTGTCCATATCAGTTTATGCTGTGTGATTCTGTAGTAGAGTGAGTTGGCTCTTTTTTATTTTTAAAGTGGTTGTGGTTGTTAAACAGATGAAGCCATACAGTAGGATTCCATACATGGAATGGCTTCTCTTGCTAAACATGAATGAGGCCTTTAACAATTCTGGCGTTGTGTTTACATCCAAGTTAACCTCTAAAAACCTCAGGTTTATTACATACTAAGGCTTATTATTCAGTAACTACAGAGACTTCAGTGCAAAAAAGCTACACTGACAGTAGCCTACAGGCTGACATCACTGTAAGCTTTAGCCATTGTATTGTTTTAACAGGAAGACACTTGTAGGGTGTATACATGAGATTTACTTAACCTAAAGCAAAAACTACCAAACCATACCGATAACTACCAATCTCCAACTACCAGACCACACCAAGAACTACCAAACTCCAACTACCAGACCATACCGATAACTACCAATCTCCAACTATCAGTCCACACCAAGAACTACCAAACCCCAACTACCAGACCACACCAAGAACTACCAAAGTCCAACAACTACCAGACCATACCGATAACTACCAAACTCCAACTACCAGACCACACCAAGAACTACCAAACTCCAACAACTACCAGACCACACCAAGAACTACCAAATTCCAACTACCAGACCATACCAATAACTACCAAACTCCAACTACCAGACCACACCAAGAACTACCAAAGTCCAACTACCAGACCACACCAAGAACCACCAAACTCCAACAACTACCAGACCATACCGATAACTACCAAACTCCAACTACCAGACCATACCGATAACTACCAAACTCCAACTACCAGACCACACCAAGAACTACCAAAGTCCAACAACTACCAGACCATACCGATAACTACCAAACTCCAACTACCAGACCACACCAAGAACTACCAAACTCCAACTACCAGACCACACCAAGAACTACCAAACTCCAACTACCAGACCACACCAAGAACTACCAAACTCCAACAACTACCAGACCTCACCGATAACTACCAAACTCCAACTACCATACCACACCAAGAACTACCAAACTCCAACTACCAGACCACACCAAGAACTACCAAACTCCAACAACTACCAGACCATACCGATAACTACCAAACTCCAACTACCAGACCACACCAGAACTACCAAATCACAGCGAGAACAAATTCAGCCTACATGTTTCTGGGCATATTTGAGTGTCCTTCTGTGTGGTGTTACCACCTAACCTGCTGTGCTGAAACAGGTTACTGGACAGAGGAGCAGCCTGTCAGTCAGTACCTGTGGCTCTGTTTCAGAAGATCAGAGTGATGGTGGATCTCACGTTTCATACAGCGTCAGAAACCACATAAGCAGGTCTATGAGAGAGTGGCTAAACAAATGGAGCAGGTTTGAGCCGAGTGTGTGGTCGTTTAAGCACGAGGCTAACTGGTGACCTATAGGCTTCCATTACTTGTTAACTTCACTGCCTCATATCTAAGTAAAATAAAACAAAAGTAAAGACGCTTCAACTTCACCATGTGCTCGGGGTACGTGACCTAGCCATAGACGACTCAGATGTGTATTAGGATCTGATTTAGAGGAATATATTCTTTTTATCTAAAAATTTCACTCACCAGCTGAACGTTAGTGTGTGTTGCGCTGGTCTGAGCGGATCAGACTCAGCAGTGCTGCTGGAGTTTTTAAACACCTCAGTGTCACTGCTGGACTGAGAACTGATGACCAACACAAACTGGGCAGCAGCAGATGAGCTATCGTCTCTGACTTTACATCTACAAGGTGGACTGACAAGGTAGGAGTGTATAATAGAGTGGACAGTGAGTGGACACAGTGTTTAAAAACTCCAGCAGCACAACAGAACCAGACTTTTTTCCGCATAGTTTTGGGCCGTTTCTTTTGGTCCATTCATCATGAAATTTACACACTGCAAAGGCCAACAGGCAAAAACTGAAAAATGACAAGAAAATGGGAGAGTTCCTTCCGACAGCAGCGATGATAAAACGCTCCTTTCGCTTAAAAACATTCTCAAGCTGCTATTTTTAGCCGAATAATCGCTTTAATACAGTACAATATTTAAGCCCTTTCCAACCGAACCCTCACCCCCACCCTTCTCCTCTGTGCTGCAGGTGGGAGTCTGGGTGAGCTTCTCCATCATGACCCAGTGTGTTCCAGGTGAGTGATTAGGACAGAAATAAATTAGGGACAAAGTGGTCAGAAAGAATGGAAATACGTCTCCATTAAGACCATAACAGAGTCACTAAGCAACAACTCTAACACGGTGGAATGGAGAGTCTGACGGTCTTTAATGACCTGCTGGAATGGAACCGGAAAAATCGAAGAACTTCACTGGTGTCTGACAAATCTGCACTGAACTCACTGAAGGAGTCGTTCTGTTATCTAGAGTAAATAACTCAATAACTCAAGAACCCTTCAATCATCTTTTTGATGATTTGAGTGTTCATGGTTCTATATAGAACCATTTTCTTCATCAAAGAACCCTTGAAGGACCATCTTTTAAGAATGTAGAACACCCAGTTCTAAATAGAACCAATGCCTTTACTAAAGGACCCTTGAAGAACCATCTATTTTAAGACTGTAGAACTCCTGGTTCTAAATAGGACCAATGCCTTTACCAAGGAGTCATCTTTTTAGGAGTGTAGAACTCCTGGTTCTAAATAGAACCAATGCGTTTCCTAAAGGACCCTTGAAGAACCATCTATTTTAAAAGTGTACAACTCCTGGTTCTAAATAGAACCAATGCCTTTGCCAAAGTACTCTTGAAGAACCATCTATTTTAAGAGTGTATATTTCCTGGTTCTAAATAGAACCAATGCCTTTAATAAAGAGCCATCTTTTTTAAAAGTATAGAACTCCTGGTTCTAAATAGAACCAATGCCTTTACTAAAGAACCCTTGAACAACCATTTATTTTGAAAGTGTACAACTCCTGGTTCTAAATAGAACCAATACCTTCGTCAAAGAACTCTTGAAAAGCCATCTTTTTAGGAGTGTAGAACTCTTGGTTCTAAAAAGAACCAATGTGTTTCCTAAAGGTCCCTTGAAGATCCCTCTATTTTAGGGGTGTCCTGTGATAAACAGGGGGCAGTAAGTCAAATCCACTCCAGTGCAGCTCAGGTTGTTCTGGGCTGCAGTTTGTGGACCTGTTACTTATTAGCAACACACAACTGCAGTGAGGACAGAATGTCTTCACAACTGCGACTCGTTTTTGTGTCACTGTTACTTCCGAGGCTTATATTGAGGCTTTAAAGATTTAGGACCTTTTTGTTGAGAATGACTTTGTCATGTAGAGAACAGCATCCAAATCACTGCATTCAGCACTGTGAGAAGCAGAGAAGAGAAAGTTTTTATTTAAAAAGGTGGCGTTTTCTGCTGCTCATTCTGCAGAGCTATTACATCTGTAATCCTATTCTTCTGGTCTTTTGCAGTCGCTCTTTTCACGCTGTTAGGATTCGTGCAGATGACAATATGGGCTAAAGGGAAGCACAAAGCCTACATCAGAGAATTTAAGGACTACCCAACCCTCCGCATGCCCATCCTCCCGTTCATCCTCTGACAGTAAAGACGGAGCGTTCCTCTGGAGCCATATACCTCCACTCTGCCTGAGTTTAGAAGACCACACGGTGCTTCGTACGGCAATTTCCTCATTCATCCTTCAGTGTAAGGACTACCGGAACCCACGGATGCTTATTTTCTTATTCCTCCTTCTCTGTGGAGGTCAGTGGGAAACTGAAGAACCTTGTCAAGAACACTTTCCCCAATGATCTCAGCTCTTTTCCCTGCTGGGCGCTGGCAGTGAATGAAGCCATGTGTGGTGTTGTTTTTACATTAAACCTTAAGGTTGAACAACAAAGGTGGTGCATTTTAGAGGCTTCTGCTGAAGAGATAGCAGCCCAGTGATTCCACAGAAACTACAGTGTATTAAGTTGCTCCAAGATTAGTGTTTGCATCCGGTATGATTTCAGATCTTTCACTGCAAAAATTAATATCTTGTCAAGTGAAATTATCTTAATTCTAGTTGATGTGTCTAATGTTTCTTCTTGAGATGGTTGTGGACTTATTATAAGATTATTTAGCTTATTTCTAGACATTTTTACCTGTTTTAAGTTATTTTATTAAGTAAAATTATCTCACTGTACTGGCAGATAATTTAGCTTGTTTAGAGCACAATTTTAAAACAAGCAAAATGATCTGCCAATATTACGGCAACGTTTTAGGGCCACTGTTAAAATTAAAAATAGTAGACTTTGAGAATAACGTCATAATGTTTCCAGAATAAAGTCATAATATTTCAGTAATAAGGTCATAGAATTATGACATTAAAGCGGCATTAATACCAGCATTGGTAGCAACATCAGCACCTTCTCTTGTTAAAATGAGGGGCGCTGAGTTGGTGGAGTTGTACTTTCATATCAATTCACCCATAAAGAAACACTCAGTCTCCCTGTCTCTCCTGCACATCAGCACCAGCCTGTTATTAGGATAAGAAACGGCTCAAACGGCTGAGCAGGAAACGGTTTATTTACAATAAAGAGCCAGATACAATAAAAACTGTCTGTTTAGTTGAAGGAGAATTGCAGGCAGTTTTCGTCTACGCAGCTATCGGTGGTTACACCTCTGTGCCTTTCAAAGAGGGCATGAAGTTTCACAGGAGACAATGAGATCAATAATCAAAATGATCGATCCTGAAGGAGTGAGTGGAACACTCAGCATCTTTGTTGTCACTAGTACAGCAACGGAGGCCCAACGCGTTACAGCAGCCCCCCTACAATCAGCCCACTTTTTGCTCAGAATATTTTTTTCAGAATAATATGATTTTATTCTAAAAAATTCTACTTCATTCTCAAAATATTACGACTTTTTCAGGAAATATTATGCCTTTGTTCTAAAAAATACATCTTTATTCTTAAAATATTACGACTTTATTCTCGAAGTCTGTTGTTTTTATTTTTTTAACAGTGGCCCTAAACTGCTGTTGCACTATATACTGAGATAATTTTCGTTAATAAAGTTACTTAAAACAAGTTCATTTTTGGAAATAAGTGAAATAATCTTAAAATAAGCTTACAACAATCTCAGCGGGAGAAATACTGGATATACCGACTAGATTCAAGATCATTTTACGTGATAAGATACTGTTTTTTTGCAGTGTTCATAATATCCTCACCTTACATTGAATATTTATGTTTTTTTGTATTCTCATGTATGATATGTGTCTTTTAGGCCAAGTATACTCATTAAGTGAACCCTTTTCAGAGCTATAAAACTGTTCAGATTGCAATTTCAGTGTTTTAACTGAACTGTCTGTCTCAGCTGATTAACTATGCAGTGTGTTTTTATGCAGATCTTTGCTCAGTAACAGCTGTGACTCCATTAACTATGCAAAAAGAAAGGTTAAGTAGGAATCAGCTGAGAGGTGCATATGAAAATGTTCATTTCTTTTGAGTGCTGAATATTTGTCCTTTTTATGTGGTGTAAGAGAGGACGCTAACGACCCTAAAGAGTTATCTGAGCTGGGTTTATCTGTTAAGACAATGTTGTTGGTATGTTTACCAAATTCAGGTATATTAAATAACGATTTAGAATAAGAATCCTGCAGTAATATTGTTTTTTCTTGATCAATGGTAAATTAATGGCCGCCATGTGGGTGGGGCTACTTGTTCTTTTTTACTTACTGTATTTCAGGGTTTCTTAACATGTGGTCCACAGACCAGTGGGCCACGAAGCACCCTGTAGTGGTCCGCGGGCCTGAACTCTGAGGAGGTAGTAGTTTGTAGTGGGCTGGTAACGTCATAAAAACATAAGTGGAAGAAAGATATACATACATACATACATCATCTAAACCGCTTATCCTTCTGGGTCGCGGTGGGGTGCTGGAGCCTATCCCAGCTGTCATTGGGCGAAAGGCAAGATACACCCTGGACAGGTCGCCAGTCCATCGCAGGGCAGACAGACAGACATACACAGTCACACACTCACTCACACCTAGGGGCAATTTAGCATGTCCAATCAGCCTGACTGCATGTTTTTGGACTGTGGGAGGAAACCGGAGTACCCGGAGGAAACCCACACAGACACGGGGAGAACAGGCAAACTCCACACAGAAATGACCCTGGTCGCCCGGCCGGGAATCGAACCCAGGCCATTCTCGCTGTGAGGCAACAGCGCTACCCACTGCTGCCCTGGAAGAAAGATGAACTTAATAATTAAGATCTGAGAAGCGAACGTTTTTAAAATGAACCAATATGCAGACCATTAAAAACATTGCACGTCATCAGTTTGAGACAACACAGCCACGGGCGCACGATGCAGACAGCGAGCCAGAGATGGAGAAGTTCCTCCCGCCCTGTTTGGTGCAATTTTTGGGACCTGCGATTGAGCCAGAATGGACCTGATCTGATTCTCAGGTTTTCAGGTTCAGCTTAAGAAGAGAAAAAGAAAATTGCATTTAAAAAGTTGAGTTTAGTTTCCTGTGGGCCGCAATTCTTTGTATTTATAAATAGGTGGGCCGTGGGGTAGAAAAGGTTGAGAACCCCTGCTGTATTTGATTACATTAGAGCTTCTTTTGTGTTTATAAAAACATTTGATTGCAAAACAAAACAGTATCCTGCAATCTTTCAGTAGCTGCTATCTGTTTTTTCTCAAATGATTTATATAATCACTTATAGGTTTATTAGTGATGGTACTGTTTATTTTGTGTTGACTGCACCAAAGACCACAGTAACATGATATTTTTTAAACTTCATCAGTTTTAATGTTGGAATACTTGCAAAATATGAAAGAGTTACATTTTCTACAAAAATTTCGAGAACTATATTTCCAGCAGCCCGAGGTAGTGAATACAGCGTACACCGATCAGGCATAACATTATGACCACCTCCTTGTTTCTACGCTCATTGTCCATTTTATCAGCTCCACTTACTATATAGGTGCACTTTGTAGTTCTACAGTCACAGACTGTAGTCCATCTGTTTCTCTGCATCTGTATTCACAGGACGCTGTTGGCTGGATATTTTTGGTTGGTGGACTATTCTCAGTCCAGCAGTGACACTGAGGTGTTTAAAAACTCCAGCAGCACTGCTGTGTCTGATCCACTCAGTCCAGCACAACACACACTAAAACACCACCACCACGTCAGTGTTACTGCAGTGCTGAGAATGACCCACCACCCAAATAGTACCTGCTCTGTGAGGGTCCATGGGGGTCCTGACCACTGAAGAACAGGGTAAAAGGGGGCTAACAAAGTATCAGAGAAACAGATGGACTACAGTCTGTAACTGTAGAACTACAAAGTGCACCTATATAGTAAGTGGAGCTGATAAAATGGACAATGAGTGTAGAAACAAGGAGGTGGTCATAATGTTATGCCTGATCGGTGTATATGAACACTAAGCGCTCATAATCTGACTAAATATATGTAAATCTATATTGGCAGAAAAGGAAACATTCATCAGAGGTTTGCAAAATGTCACATAATGCAATATGCATTTCATAACCGCAAGAGGATTTGCAATGATCTATTGTTCGATAAAAAAATAGATTGGTAAAAAAGTCAATAAAGTGCTACTGTATTTGGCAGGCTACCCTGTGTGTCTTTTTTTTTGGATGTCTATATGGTTGCAGCTTCAGTTGCATAACTATGGAAGGCCAAGCGAGGAAAGTGTGCAGCAAAACAAAGTCTCACAGAACAACCTGAAAAATCTCTTCTTTTCTCTCGGATACGACGGTTTGCCAGGCTTTTTAGTACCAAGCACGTTTTCAATCAGCCTCCTCAGGTGGTCACTTTCTCAGGCATGACTCTGTTCCATCTGGCCCCTGCAGCCCGTGGATGAAGCACTATGGCGTCTTCCTCTCCAGACTGCTGCTTGGCAAAGTTCACAAACACCTGAAAGCAAACACAGGAGACAAATGAAACCAAACCAATTTGGATACCTTACATGAACACGGTGAATGGAAGGATTTCACACAGTCTCGATTTAAACAAAACCCCTCAGGCACCAAAACAAATGCCTTCAGAAGGACAACATGGAAACAAATGACTCTAAATAGATGCTCCCTGTTCCTTGGTGCCCTGTCACAACTGTGAGGCACATTGTTGGATGTGTATAACTCTTATTTTCAATGCCTGACTCAGCTAAGCTGCAACGTTTCAAGGCCAATTCAGAGCATTTCTGAAGCTTTTTTCGTTTTGCATTCATCCATTTTAATCAATGTTTCAACCATCCCACTTTCTAAAGCTGCATTAATAATCTACAATATTATGGCCTTCATATTTCTAGTCATTATGACATCTAGGCCTGCACGATCACAACATTAGCGTAGTTATGATGAGGTGCGATAAACACTGCTTATGTTCTAAAGCTGCTGTAAGACTGTTTAACTGCAGCTGGAGAAACTCAGTGTGTTTTTCTCCTCTTTCGAAAGTTCCATTTACATAGATCCCCCACTTGTACAGCATTCATGCCATTTAACTTATGGCCTAGTGATGACTGGCGAGTGACACATTGCCTTGGAGATAACAGACACAAGAGTTATTATTCCTGCATGAACTGCTTATGGAGTTGGAAATACTTCGGACAGGTTGGACGGATTGTTACCTGCTTCAGGCTGTGTGTCGCACCTTCATGAGAATTTTATATCAGGGCTACAGAAGCTGCAGTAGTGTTCTAGGATTAAAAATAGACTTGAAATAAGACCACGTTTTGCAATAGTCACCATAGTTAAAAACTTGAAATAGGCCTTTTATAGGAAAGTGGGCTTTTTGATAATCAAATTTGTCTAATCTGGGTGGCACAGTGCTGTTGCCTCACTGCAAGAAGGGCCTGGGTTCGATTCCCCGGCCGGGCAACCAGGGTCCTTTCTGTGTTTATATTGCGTGTTCTACCTGTGTCTGTGTGGGTTTCCTCCCACAGTCCAAAGACATGCAATCAGGCCAATTGGAGATACCAAATTGCCTCTAGGTGTGAGTGTGTGTGTCTGTGTCTGCCCTGTGATGGACTGGTGGCCTGTCCAGGGTGTTTCCTGCCTTGTGCACAATGAGTGCTGGGATAGGCTCCAGCAACCCCCTGCAACCCAGCAGGACAAGCAGCTCAGAAGATGAACGAATGAACTTGTCCAAACCCGAATACATCCTAGATCTTTCTTTCCAAGTCCGACTTGACCCGAACCACACCATCATGTTTTCAGTCAGAAAACATTCAGTTTAAAATTTTGTCTGAAACTGACCTAAATCAATCATCACTCAAAATGCTGTTCAAATCAGTTATTTTGATCGATCACTATTTTATTTCCCATGCATCCAAGTGTTGGTCTCAAGGACCTCAAGAACTCGAGTGGGTGATTCCACACTGCAAAAAATAGCATCGTCAAGTAAAATTATCTTAAATCTAGTCAATAAATCTAATATTTCTCCTGCTGAGATTGTTGTAAGCTTAATTTAAGATTATTTAACTTATTTCTACACATTTTTTACTTGTTTAAGTGATTTTATTAAGTAAAATGATCTCACTACACTGACAGATCATTTTGCTTGAATGTGCTTGAAACATGCTAAATTATCTGCCAGTATAATTCGATAATTTTACTTAATATAATTACCTAAAACAAGAAAATAATGTCAAGAAATAAACTAGATAATCTTATAATAAGTGTGCAATCATCCCAAAGTGAGAAATATAAGATAGATAGACTAGATTTAAGATTTCACTTGACAAGATACTAGTTTTTGCAGTGCAGCATTCAACATTAAACCTGTTTTAAGGTAATTAAAGTACAGAGGAAGAACAAAATAAGAAGGGTTTTGTAGAACACCGATCAGGCATAACATTATGACCACCTCCTTGTTTCTACTCTCATTGTCCATTTTATCAGCTCCACTTACTATATAGGTGCACTTTGTAGTTCTACAGTTACAGACTGTAGTCCATCTGTTTCTCTGATACTTTGTTAGCCCCCTTTTACCCTGTTCTTCAGTGGTCAGGACCCCCATGGACCCTCACAGAGCAGGTACTATTTGGGTGGTGGATCATTCTCAGCACTGCAGTAACACTGACGTGGTGGTGGTGTGTTAGTGTGTGTTGCGCTGGTGCAAGTTGATCAGACACAGCAGTGCTGCTGGAGTTTTTAAACACCTCAGTGTCACTGCTGGACTGAGAATCGTCCACCAACCAAAAATATGCAGCCAACAGCGTCCTGTGGGCAGCGTCCTGTGACCACTGATGAAGGACTAGAGGATGACTGACACAAACTGTGCAGCAGCAGATGAGCTATCGTCTCTGACTTTACATCTACAAGGTGGACTGACAGGGTAGGAGTGTCTAATAGAGTGGACAGTGAGTGGACACAGTGTTTAAAAACCCCAGCAGCACTGCTGTGTCTGATCCACTCAGACCAGCACAACACACACTAAAACACCACCACCACGTCAGTGTAACTGCAGTGCTGAGAATGATCCACCACCCAAATAGTACCTGCTCTGTGAGGGTCCATGGGGGTCCTGACCACTGAAGAACAGGGTAAAAGGGGGCTAACAAAGTATCAGAGAAACAGATGGACTACAGTCTGTAACTGTAGAACTACAAAGTGCACCTATATAGTAAGTGGAGCTGATAAAATGGACAATGAGCGTAGAAACAAGGAGGTGGTCATAATGATATGCCTGATCTGTGTATATTTAAGCTCTAATCCACACCCTCAGTCTTGCTGTCAACTGTACCCAGAGCACACCGACATGTTACTGTTTCTGAAGATTCACACTTATTGACTGTTTGCAAACAATTCCTTGAAAATTCAAACAGTTTTGCTACAAATGCCCATCTCTAAAATAAACTGAACACATCCTCAGCCAGGCCCAAAGCCCAGTACTGAATATTTAATTTAGAAGACTGCAAATAATTGTCTTTTAATTGATGAGAGACAGAGAGCTATGAGAGCAAACATGATGGTTGTGGTCAGCGGGGTTTCTGACCCACCTGGTCCAGTGTCGTCTGGGTCACGGAGTAATCCTCGATGTTGAGTTTCTCCTTGTTGGTCAGGACTAGCTGGAATATGCGGGCGAGAGAGGAGGAGGCCACTTCATACTGCAGGGTGTTGTAGTGTTTCTCCCGCTGGACACAGCCCGGGAACGTGTTCTCCATAAAGGCCTCGGCTGGGTTCAGGTCTGGCACCGTGCCTGCTTTAGCTGCCCTGATCTTCATGGTGACCACATAACCGTCGCCAAATCTAAACCCACAGGATTATATGATCAATCCACTCTACACAACACATGTAGCATAAAACTGTGAGGTTACTACAGTACATGCCCAAAAGTACGCAGAGACTTTTTCCTCAAGCGTTTCTTCTGAAATGCAGGGTATTAATAGTGAGTTTGTCCTCCTGTGCTGCAGTAACAGCCTCTACTCTTCTGGGAAGGCTTTACACTAGATGTTGGAACATTGGTGTGAGGATTTGATTGAGCATTAGTGAGGTCAGGCACTCAACCCAAAGGTACTGGATGGAGCTCCATTACTCCAGTGCTGGAGAGAAAACCTTGAGATGGCTCTTGGCATTTGGGATGGTTATAATTCTGCCCCATTGTGTTGACACAGGTTAGATAACTGTGGAATTTTTTAAAAAATCTGCATGATTCAATCGTTGAGATGCAAACAAACTAATTCAGAGTGGTTTGGAGTGAAATAGTTCACTGTAGATAAACTTACAGACTCACTGCAAGAAGGGCCTGGGTTCGATTCCCCGGCCGGGCAACCAGGGTCCTTTCTGTGTTTATATTGCGTGTTCTACCTGTGTCTGTGTGGGTTTCCTCCCACAGTCCAAAGACATGCAGTCAGGCCAATTGGAGATACCAAATTGCCTCTAGGTGTGAGTGTGTGTGTCTGTGTCTGCCCTGTGATGGACTGGGGGCCTGTCCAGGGTGTTTCCTGCCTTCTGCCCAATGAGTGCTGGGATAGGCTCCAGCAACCCCCTGCAACCCAGCAGGACAAGTAGCTCAGAAGATGAATGAATGAACTTGTCCAAACCCGAATAAATCCTAGACTTAGGATTCCAGAGTGGTTTGGAGTGAAATAGTTCACTGTAGATAAACTTACAGACTCATGTTTCTTTACAGTGGTGGTGATAGGAACCAGGGGTCCCAATGTCTACAGCACAAATATAGACATTTTATTTACTATCCAAAACTACAAGTGAACCTACACAAGTCTTCTGAGTTTTATATGGAATGTTGACGATGGTAAAATAGTGACAAACTGGAAAACCGTCTTCTTTGGGAACTATTTTGCCTTACGAAGTCATAAATGCAGCTCTTTTCCATGACTGGATTTAAAAAAAAGAGTGTTAGGCAAAAAAAAAAAACAATGTCTCAGGCATCAGGCAGCGTATTCATTATCATTTCATGTAATTTCATGTAACTTTCTGTGAGGGAGCTTTTAGAGGTGGACGTCTGGTTCCTATCACCACCACTGTGAACAATTCTGACTCAATAGGGTTCTCTAGAACAGAACATTTCACACCAAACCACTCTGAATGACTCTGTTTACATCTTAACCATTTCAATGAATCCACTAATTAGAAGGACCATCTGGATACTTTTATAGATTTACACTCATTGCATCACATTTATACAACACAAACTGACCCTGAATTGCTTTAATTCACAAACATTTCTTTAAGGATCAAAAAAAAGTGTAGCTGTATTTTAAGATGAGGACACTGTGTGCATACTTGTATTTGAGGTGCTGAATGGTGCCCAGACACTTGAAGGTCCCGTTCACCATGATGGCCAAACGTGTGCAGAGGGCCTCACATTCTTCCATACTGTCAAAACAAAAACAAGGCCGATTTTCATTGTTCGGTCTTGTGCAGATAAGAGCCTTCTACAGGTATCACAAACTTTAATAAATATATAGATTTAATGAAATAGTTCAGCCAAGACATGTTCGGTGTCCAGTGTTTGCTTCTTTGTACAAAAATGAACAAAAGTATGGGCCAGGGGTCGCAACCCAAATGTTAAAAAGAGCCAAGAGCCAAAAACAAACTATCACAGGAGCCGCAATATTTTATATCCATTTTACCATCTTGGCTGTAAATATGTCTCAGTATGTGCTGATGTACTAATATAGGCTAAAAATATAATATAAACAAAACGCAGACTTAGTTTTCTCTGCTTTTGCTTTAGCTCAGCTATAGGTGCTTTTCTCGCATCTCCGGCAGGAAACTTATCCTCAAAAGTAGAACAGTTTCTTGTAAAATGTCTCTCAATGTTCCACTTTTTACAAGGCTGAAGTCGCTTCTCATTCGCCAGCTTCAGGTTCAAATTCACCCTTCTATCTTAAATGGTGCCTGAGGTGCCAGAATATAGCTAACGGCTGCACCATTTACTTTACTGCACACACACTTTACTGTGTGCAATATCTCAATCCACCATGCATAGTATATTCACCGCGGATCATTGTCAACATGTTTACCACCATTATGTGCAATTATGTCAAGTGCAATATTTCTCCATTTATTTACTGTTTATTTATTTGCTATTTTATTCACTGTGCAATACTCACTACAATACATACATTTCTACATTTCTAAATTTAAATTTAATACTTTGTATATTTTTCTTGTAATCTTTGTACATATACATATATCTTTATATTTTTATTGTTTATTCTATTTTATATATTGTTTGTATATTTCCTGCTGCTCTGTCTTCTGTGCTGCTGTAACACCGCAAATTTCCCCGTTGTGGGATTAATAAAGGATTATCTAATCTAATCTAATCTAATCTAATTTAAGGTGGAACGGGAAAATACAAACGAGAAGCTGACGAATGAGAAACTGACTTCAGCTTCATGACTTTTTAGTGTTTGACGGTTTCTTGTTGCAGATTAAACGCCATCAGGAAACCAGCTGGAGTGATTATAAATGCAAATAAGTCCATTTGTCTCTAAATTATTAATGTTTATCTTAAATCTTCCTCTTTGCCTTTTAGTTAGCTACCAGCTGGGCGAGATTGTTGTCCATGTTGCTGTGATGACCAGCAATCTATGTGCCAACCTTCATGGTTAAAGGGCGAAATAGCTATTATAGACGACATTATTACAGACGTATTATAGACTACATTGTTATTGACTACATTAACTCCAGTGTTTAAGACCATTTATTGTTCTAATTCTGCTGTGGAGCTGCAACAGGGCAGTACAAGAGTTGCTGACCCCTGATATGAGCTTTTAGATTGCCGCTACTAATTTTTTAGCAATTCTATGCACTTTTGCCCACTTTACACATAATATTGTGTTATATAGTGAGATGGTTTTGAAAATAAAGTGCTAATTGGTGTACATAAGCTTCCATTACTTTTTTAGGCTACATTAGCCTTGTAGCTCCAGGGGGAAAGTAAAGAAAACTCCAGACACCAAACATGTCTTGGCTGATCAACTACATTTGGGCTAAGGGGTTTGCAGTGTTGCAGAAGACTGCAGGTTACACTAATTAAGCAGCAAAAGCAGGAGAGCATGAAATAAAAACATCTGATTACTCAGTGTCGTCTCCGATGGGCCATTACTTCCGATGACTATTAAAGTGTAGTTAAAGCACAGTTAAAGGTATTACAGTTCAGTGTTCACCTATGAGATGTGAGAACCACAGCCCTCCCGTCCTGAATCACACTCATAATGGAGTTCCACAGGAAGCGCCGAGAGTGGGGGTCCATTCCAGTGGTCGGCTCGTCCTGTTCACACACACACAGTGACAATGAACTGACAACATAAAGCATAAACAGAAACGTAACACCAGGATACAGTGATGCTACATCAGTCAGCTGTGTGCTCTGAGGGAATCAGTGTGGGATCTTTTATTAGCAGCAAGGAAGGAAGTGACAGGATTCCCTCAAAATAATAAAAAAGCTTTGTTATAAACAGGTTTGCTTGTAATAAACCATTCTCTTAAAAATGAAAATACCGTTTGCCAGAATTACTCTATGCATAACTTTACTGTCTATTCTTAAAGGTTTGACCCATCATAAACGTGACTCTGAGTTTGTCTGTTGCTCCAGTATCTTCATGTTTTGAGAATGTGAGGGTTAATTTATGATTACGAGGATGCAGAGGAAATGCTGCTGGCATATATGCTAAACCATGCTGTTGGCTCCCTTAGTACAAAAGTGACAACTGGAAATAAAGCTGGGTGATACTGTAACACTGCAAAACAGTATCTTGTCAAGTGAAAGTTTCTTAGATATAGTCAATAAATCTAATATTTCTCCTGTTGAGACTGTTGTAAGCTTAATTTAAGATTATTTTCTCTAATTCTAGACACTTTTTTTTACTTGTTTTAAGTAATTTTATTAACCTCTTATGCTCATGGGTATATTTCGGTTTTTCCATCTCAATGTACATGCCCAAATCATAAGGCAAATTATTCAGTAACTGCATGAAATAAATGTAAATTTTTGGGGTTTTTTTTAAGTTGCCCTCAAATGAACAGAAAATGTGTTTTATGATTATAAACATAATGCTGTATGCTTACAATTTACTGCTGAAAACCAAAAATCTTAGACGCTCTTTGCATTTTGTTTATAAAAATAATTTTTACAGAGCAGATCTCTGAAGAGACGCCATCTGAGATCCAGTTTATAGCTCAGATTTATGGAAAAATGGGTCGACTTTCAGTAGAAAAAAAAAAAAAATTGTGAGTTTTAAAACTACATCACCATCTATTAGACTGGAAAGAAGACAGTTACAGCTCTCATACGACCCCCACCTTTAGAATGTAGCTTATGAAATATGAAAGTTATGAAGTAAAGAATATGACAAAGTGCATTTTGGAACCACCGGTGGTTCCAAGGAGTTAAAAAGGTTGTATAAAATTCTCATTTGTCTCACATCCCTCTGACCCTGCTCTAGCTAAGGACTCAATCCTATGGTAGATAACATGACTGTCACACCTCACTCCTCTGTGGACTCCCTGGGAGATCACCTGACAGTCTCACCACCAGCACCAACCAATCAGGGTTATCCTCACCTGAGTATTGATGTGTTTTACCTGTGTCTGACTATTATCACCACTTTAGTTAGTATATAAACCCGGGCTTTTAGCTGAGACCTTTGTGAGGTATTGTGTCTTTCGATAGAACTACTATACTACTGTTGTCCGTGTAACAAACCTGCTTCCAGTACTTTTGAACTCTGCCTTTTGTCTTTGCCCTTTTGAACTGTTTGCGTCTGATCAGTCTGGTTGCGTTACATCACTATATTGGCAGATCATTTTGCTTGTTTTAAGAAATGTGCTGGAAACCAGCAAAATTATCCGTCACTATAGTGAGAATTTTACTTGATAAAATTACCTAAAATAAGTAAATAATGTATAGAAATAATGTAAATAATCTTATAATTAGTGCACAACCATCTCAAAATGGGAAATATTAGATATATGGACTAGATTTATCATTTTGCTTGACAAAATCCCATTTTTTGCAGTGAAAAATGTAATATCACAATACTTTTAGTTTTTACGATACACAAAATGACACAATACTTGGTGCTGCATGTAAAGAAATACTATCAAAAACTATGAAAATAATGATTTGTATTCAACATTTCTGAATTCACACTAAGCTGCACTAAAAGCAATAAAAAGGACGTTTAAGTATTGACAATGTCCACGATCAGAAGAACACATTGTCACATAGTGTGATGGAATTTATCATGATAGCAATATATATTGTCATGCCCAGCCCTGATTGGACAAACAGCAATCAATACATCAACACACCACTTTAGATTACCTTATGGTGCCCTTAGTGGTGAAGTAACAGTGCTTGGTGACTTTATTCTCACTTGAAAGAGTAAAGAATTTGCTAAATTGCGTTTCCACATAATGGCTGCCCAGTGACGGACTGGCGACCTGTCCAGGGTGTTTCCTGCCTTCCGTCCACTGATCCCTGGAATATGTTCCAGCACCCCCCGTGACCCAGGAAGATAAGCGACTTAGATAATAATATGTGTGTGTGTGACCGTTTCTCAGTAACTGCAAGTGTTTGAAGAAGAATTACAGAAACAGCTGAGCGCAAATAAACATCATTCACCCCTAAAGATAGTTTTGCACCCCTTACAGGTTTCGTCACTTCTAAAGACCCATGATGTGTTTAAGTGTCTCCAAATAAGTGTGATTTTTTCATTATTTATATTTTACTCATGAATTGGGGGGAGATGAAGTCACTTCTTTTCAACATTGGGAAGGACGTGTACCCCCCAAACCTGCTTAGCTGATGCTCCTGCATGCCGTAAACTATTTAGTTTGACAGCAACATATGATAAAGGTCACAGACCAGCAGTACGAGAGCAGGACAGCCGATCATGGCGATTGCAGTGGACAGCTTGCGCTTGTTTCCCCCGCTGTAGGTTCCAGCACTGTAACCCGCGTACTGAAACAGACCCAGCTTCTGGATCGCCCAGTCAGCCACCTGCACCAGAACAGAGAAGCGTGAATGAGACAGAGAGGAAAGACAACAAAGAAAGACAGTGATATCTGTCAAAGGAGAGAGACAAAGACTCAGTCCAGTGAGAATGAATCTGTATGGTGTTTTATTACACAGAGATGTGCAGTGTATGTAGAGAATGTAGTTTGTAGTACATGTAGAGGAAGTTTTCATCTTGTGTGCCACGGCCCCCCAGTGGCCCCTTGATGGTTTTGCTAGGGGGCTGCTGGCTGTCAGCTTTTTTAACCCCTTAAAATCCCAGGCTGATTACATACTAAAGCATTCAGTAACTACATGGACTCCAGTGCAAACTGGCTGAGTTTTTCTCAGGTTATAGAAGTGTGCAGTAAAACAGTGGGTCCAGGTTAACCACAAACATATGTTACAGTGTAAACATTTTAAATATGAAAAATATAGCTGTGAAAATTATATGCAAAAGTAAAGCAGATTTATATCAACCTCATTGTTTGGTCTGGAAAAATGCTACATTGTTAATTCATCCATCCATCATCTAAACTGCTTATCCTTCTGGGTCGCGGTGGGGTGCTGGAGCCTATCCCAGCTGTCATTGGGCGGAAGGCAGGATACACCCTGGACAGGTCGCCAGTCCATCGCAGGGCAGACAGACAGACATACACAATCACACACACTCACACCTAGGGGCAATTCAGCATGTCTAATCAGCCTGACTGCATGTCTTTGGACTGTGGGAGGAAACCGGAGTACCCGGAGGAAACCCACGCAGACACTGGGAGAACAGGCAAACTCCACACAGAAACGACCCTGGTCACCCGGCCGGGAATCGAACCCAGGCCATTCTTGCTGTGAGGCAACAGCGCTACCCACTGCGCCACTGTGCCGCCCATTGTTAATTCATGTTAACTATTAATTATTATTTTTAAATATTACTTTTTTTACAGTAAAGTAGTGTATTCATCCTTTTTTCATCCTGTGAAATCTCTCGCTGCTTGACACTCTTTAACAACATAAAAAGTCTTGTTAAATTGTGTCAGGTCGTTCCCCGCGCTCCCCTACTGCTTAGAGGCAGCAAGAAAGGAAAGACAAAATAAGGAAAAAGAGGGGTATATGGTGCAGGGTATAGAGTCTAGAGTGTAAGGTGTAAAAGACAGAAAAATAAAAAAAGAATGAGCTGACTCAGGGAGATAAGACGGAACACAGAGAGATAGAGAAAAAGAAAGAGAGAGCAGACGGTAGTGAAGGAAGTGCATGTCTCACCCTGCTGATCTCGGACTCTGGGACTCCTCTGAGCCGCGCGTAGAGATGTAGATGTTCTCTGCCGGTCAGCAGATCATCTATGGCATCAAACTGAGGACAGTAACCCATGTTCTGATACACATCCAGGATGTTGGTCAGGATGCTGGAGGGCAGAAAAAGTAAATCATGCAGTGAGAGAACATCAGCACTGTGTGGGCTGGTACATCACTGCGTCTCCAGCGCTTCCTCTATAGCCATTTAACCTTTAGAGGCCAGTGATGTCCTGCCTTATCATTCCTCGCACACAAGCGAAGAACTTGTGTGGGTGGAAAGAGCTGATTCTACACTTTCAGTCTGTCGCACATTTGTGTTTTCAAATTGAAGAGAAGACTTTTTATTATGATTTAAATTTAATGTAAAGGTCTTGTGAAAAAGGCAGGATGTGTAGACTGGAACCTGATACTTAATGTGAATCAGACTGAGTATGTAATTATGAAACTACACTGAAATATTATGGCAAAATGCCAATAATTACTAGATGTCTAAGAGTTAACTGCAGTTTAGAGCTGGGAAAACATCACAGCACATGGAAAAAAAATGTTACTTTGAATGTACTTGAGTCAAATGTGTACATTACTTCCACATAAATAAAATGCATCTAAAATGAGAGACAGCAATTGTGTTGATGTAATTTATTTTTGAGGAGCTGATGTGTACATCTGAATCGAGCACACTTAAAGCAAGATTTTTTCAGTGCTTATGCAAGACTAGCACTAAATCATAACTTCAGAAGTTCAGGGTAAACACACTTAATAAATGTACCCATTAATGGATGTTCAGCTACTGCAGTACTCAGGGCTGGTCTGTCGTATGGTGTACTATTTAGGACATAGTCAGACCTCAGCGTCAGTACTTGGGCATCAGACAGAACGGCATCACCCCTCTCAGACTAAACGACTTGGGAAAACCATCGTCATGTCTCAGATCTGGTGTAACTGAACACCAGACCAAGCGCCCTCAGAAAAAAGGTATTAGACCAAACACCGTCAGACCAAGCTGCCTCAGAAAAAAGGTATCAGACCAAACACCATCAGACCAAGCAGCCTCAGAAAAAAGGTATCAGAGCAAACACCATCAGACCAAGCAGTCTCTGAAAAAGGTATCAAACCAAACACCATCAGACCAAGCAGCCTCAGAAAAAAGGTATCAGAGCAAACACCATCAGACCAAGCAGTCTCTGAAAAAGGTATCAAACCAAACACCATCAGACCAAGCAGCCTCAGAAAAAAAGGTATCAGACTAAATGCCGTCAAACCAAGTAGCCTCAGAAAAAGGTTTCAGACCAAACACCATCAGACCAAGTAGCCTCAGAAAAAAGGTATCAGACCAAACACCATCAGACCAAGCGGCCTCAGAAAAAGGTATCAGACCAAATGCCGTCAGACCAAGCAGTCTCTGAAAAAAGGTATCAGACCAAACACCATCAGACCAGGCAGCCTCAGAAAAAAAGGTATCAAACCAAATGCCGTCAAACCAAGCAGCCTCAGAAAAAAGGTATCAGACCAAACACCATCAGACCAAGCAGCCTCAGAAAAAAGGTATCAGACCAAACATAGTCAGACCAAGTAGCCTCAGAAAAAAAGGTATCAGACCAAACACCATCAGACCAAGCAGCCTCAGAAAAAAGGTATCAAACCAAACATAGTCAGACCAAGCGGCCTCAGAAAAAAGGTATCAGACTAAACGTGAGCTTGGTCAAACATACACTGGCTCATATGTCTTAAAGCTATTGTGTTTTCTCAATATAAATACCAGTCTAACATTTGCAAAGTGTCTTTCCACAGAACCACAAATGAGAGGCTGCGCTGTCAGCTGTTGTCAGCTGTGTGGGTGTCCGCTACTCCTAATGATTAAGGCAATTTTGTGACGGCGTTTGGTCTGATACCTTTTTTTCTGAGGTTGTTTGGTCTGATAACTTTTTTCAGAGGACATTTGGTCTGATGTTCACTTACACCACATCTGAGACATGACAATGGTTTTCCCAAGGTGCAAAGTCGTTTAGTCCAAAGAATGATGTCATTCTGTCTGATGCCCGAGTACTGATGCTGAGGTTTGAGGATGTCCCAAAATGTACACCGTACTGTTGTTTTTTCTGTTGCGAACGGTCTTAATATTGGATAATCTCCCACTCGCAAATTCAGCATTTAAGTCCTTTATAGCCAGAAACACTGAGAATATCATAAGTAGTTGTTGTGCAGAGCTGGGAGAATTTATTCTGACTGCTAACATTAGCTAGTTAGCTAGACTGATCTATTAATGTATCTTCCTAATATTGCCTCCACTGTAAAAATGTACATAATGCATCCAACACTAACAGATATAAGTAAATGTCTATGACCTCAGTGACTATTAACATTTTAAAAGTACATAAATAAATAAATACTCATGCCAAAGGGAATTCCAGCACATGACTGTACCTATAACCAGTGACAGCAGCCTCCCCTGAGCTCACGTCGATGTCCCCAGTGAGCATTTTGAACGTGGTTGTTTTCCCAGCACCGTTGACACCCAGAAGCCCAAAGCACTGGGAGAGAAACACGTCTCATTAGGAAATCTTAAATTTCTGACAGCAGGTGGAGAAACATGGCTCCACTTTACCTCTCCTGGAGACACTCCCACACAGATCCTGTCCACCGCCGGTTTAGTGCCCCCAGAGTACGTCTGAAAGGAGAGGGAAACGCTTTCATGAGCTCACTTTGCACAGAGAGAGAGACAGAGCATTACTGCTGCTGCTGCTGCTGTTAAGACCACCACTAGTGTTGTTTTCACCTTTTAAACCCTGTAAGGGTCTCTATGTGGGCCCACCCTTACATTCTTTGATCTCAGAACTATAATTTACACTGAAACTAAAAATTACACATCACATTTTAAAATAGACAGTGAAAATTTTAAAGTAGTTACTCAATAATTCATAGTAGGCACTGAATAATTTATAGTTGATAATGAATAATTCATAGTAGTTCCTGAAAATTTATAGTAGATGATGAATAACTTCTAGTAGTTACTGAATAATTCAAAGCAGTTACTGAATAATTCATACTAGCTACTGAATAATTTATAGTAGATACTAACTAATTTATAGTAGTTACTGAATAATTCATAGTAGCCACTGCATAATTTATAGTAGTTTCTGAATAATTTATAGTCAATACTGAATAATTTATAGTAGATACTAACTAATTCATAGTAGTTACTAAACCATTTATAGTAGTTACTGGATAATTTATAGTAGTGAATGATTTGTAGTAGATACTGAATATTTCATCATAGTCACTGAATAATTCATAGTAGTTACTGCATAATTTATAGTAGTGAATAATTTATAGTAGCTACTGAATAACTAGTTATTGAATTCAAAGTAATTACTGAATAATTCATAGTAGTGAATAATTTATAGTAGATACTGTATAATTTATAATAGTGAATAATTTATAGTAGCTACTGAATATTTCATAGTAGTTACTGAATAATTTATAGTAGGTAATGAATAACTAGTTACTGAATTTGAAGTAATTACTGAATAATTCATAGTAGTTACTGAATAATTCATAGTAGTGAATAATTTATAGTAGATACTGAATAATTAATTGTAGTTACTGGATGATTTATAGTAGGTGTTGAATAATTAGTCTTATTTACAAAGTTTTCTTACTGCTTTATGAGCTGACTGAATGGAAAAGAGAGCGACACAGATTTAACAAGAAAGAGAAAAAGATATACAGGCTTAAAAATGATGGTTCTTCAATGGTTCTTTAGAAAAGACAGCTTTTCTATATGGAACCATGCACACTTTAAGAATCATTTACATGCTTAATTGGTTCTTTGCCTGGTGAAATGGTTCTTTAGGCTGATGGAGGATGTGATGCATATGATTCTATATAGAATCTTTGAAAAGGGTTCTACATAGCTCCAAAAAGGGTTCTTCCATTGGTATAAGCTTGGCATTTTAACAATAGCAGAAGCCTTTTTGGTGCTATATAGAACCATATATCACACATTCTCAACACACTAAGCATGCAAATGGTTCTTTGAGAGTTCATGGTTCTATATAGAGCCAGTGTCTTTACTAAAGAACCCTTGAAGAACCATCTTTTTTTGAGAGTGTAGAGAGAGAGAGGGGGGCGAGAGAGTGACATGGAGACAGAGTCAGCCTGCCTGTCTCCTTATCACTGTGGAGCTGTTGTGTACCTTGGATAAGTCTTTGATGTGCAGGATGTCACTGCTGCTCCCTCCTCTGTAGATCCTCTCTCTCTCTTCAGCCACGTCCAGATCCTCGTCCATCACCAGCGGCTTCTTACAGTCCGGCATCCTGCTCACAATGTAAACAGACAGGAATGTTGTGATGCCCCAAACAGACTGAAATTCAGCTTTACCAATGAGAATCCATGCAGAAAGGAATTAAAAGAGCATGTATGCGTTGTTTATTCATGGCACACAGTGGAAAATCTTCATTAATTTAATATATAAATATACTTAGTATATAAATTTAGTATTAATAAGAATCATCAGATATGAACCACTGTGACATGTTATCATAATACAGCAGAATGAGCATAATTAAAAGGCCAAAATATGCACAAAGTGGTTTGGTGTGAAATCCTCTGTTCTAGATAAACTCACCGAGTCACCATTGTTCACAGTGGTGGTGATAGGAACCAGATGTCCACCTCTAAAAGCTCCCTCACAGAAAGTTATTAAATAAAATATGCTATGAATGCACTGCCTGATGCCTGAGACATTGTTTTGAGATTTTGAGTTTTAAAAATTATTTTTAAAAATGATTTATGGTGCAGAGATACATACATTTTTAAGGCAAAATATTCCCCAAAGAAAACTACATTTTTTATACATTTATCACTATTTTACCATCATCAACATTCCATATAAACTCAGAAGACTCGTGTAGGTTCACTGGTGGTTTTGGACAGTACATAAAACGTCTATATTTGTGTTGTAGTCATGGTGACCCCTGGTTTCTATCACCACCAGTCAGTAATGACCGAATTAATGACTAAAATTTTGAAAAATCAGTGGAATTGCCATTTAAAGATTGTTTATGTAAGTAATATATCTTAATAGTCCAGTTACTGTATTTGAAAACATAACTACATAGTGTTTATCATTAAGCACCATCAAGAAAATGTCACTGGTGAACTACTTTCACAAGTAGCTACAATGCAATAGTATTAAAGTAGTGTGACTGTTATGAATAAACACATTCAGTTCTGTGATGTTCTCTTCTGTTTAATTTACTTCACTTGCAGTATAGTGCTTAACATTCATACAAACAAGAAAAATGAGCTTTTTCTTTTATCTTTATTTATCTTTATCTATTTATTATTTATACAACGGTTAGTTCCGGCCACGCAAGCTGATTGGTTGAGAAGTGTGCTAATCGTGTTGTTATTTCACCATAACATCACGGGTTTTTCACAAACACTGTATCACTCCGCTGAGACGCCATTGCTAAGCAACAACTTTGACAGCTGTAGGAGACGCTCAAGCCATTTGAACGATTTTACTTCTTACTTTGCCACAAACAGAAAATGGACACTTTTAAGATCACATTTGACCGACAGCCGATTTGGTCAGACTCTGAAGATGAGACGACACTAAATTCCCAAACTGTCATCACCACTGAGCAGCTTTTCAGTCAACAGCTGTGACAGAAGAACAGCTGAACAACCTGGAATCAGCCAGAAATGAACCCAACACCATTCGCCAAACTAAATGGGCTGTAAGATGCTTTACAGACTGGCTGGAACAAAACAACATTAATACTGATCTGGCAAAAACTGACAAAACTGAGCTGAACTTGATATTGCGGCAGTTTTATCGCTCAGTCCGAACTTCAAAAGGCGAGGCTTACAGCAGGCTGAGCAGCGAGTGGGCGGAGCTCGTTACTCTGACGTAGCAACGAGCTGCTTGTTAAGGAACTATAATTTGGTGAAGGAACTGCGAACATTAAAACATATTAAACGCTGCGTTCACGGCCCAGTTTATTAATTTATTACTGTATTTATTTAACTGTTGTATTAAAGCAATAGAACACTCGAGGAGTGTGTTATCGCCAATAACATCACGGCTGTGATGATCTACGGCGACCAAATCACAGCCGTGATGTTATTTCGCGATAACACACTCCCTCTCATGTTCTACTAATCTTATTAGTCCAGTTACAGTGAAGCTTTGTGCATGAAATATGACTGTAACTGAAGCTGTGTTAGTGCTGTATGATATCAGGGGAGTGTGTGTTCTCACCAGTGTTCGAGGAAGAACCGGTACTGGATAAGCATGTTCAGAATAAAGTAGACGAAACCCTCCGCAGCCATGAACGCCACATTCTTCCCCACAAAGTCCCAGCTAAAGGGGTCCAGGCTGTAGTCCTCTCCTGCAAAACCACAGTGGAGGATCAGCATGGAGACGAATAGACGACTCAAGCATGCTAACATGGACAACATCGAAGGAAAGGCACTGGGAGCACTTCGGTGATCTTAGTTGAACAGTGGATTCCTGCTTATAATAGGGCTGAGTGAGACGACATCTCCATGTTTTGAGCCTTTTGGTGATGGATGATATTTCGATGTTTATGTAGTCTATCTGAAATGGCTTTAGAGAGTGTTTTTTTTTTTCAGTTGAAAGAGCCATAATGTGCACGATACAGGCTTTATTACACTGCAAAAATATTGTCTTGTCAAGTGAAATTATCTTAAATCTAGTCAATCTATCTTATATTTCTTATTGAGATGGGTTTGGACTTATTATAGGATAATCTGGCTTATTTCTAGACATTATTCACTTGTTTTAGGTAATTTTATCAAGTAAAATGATCTCAATATACTGGCAGATAATTTAGCTGGTTTCAAGCTTGTTTCTTAAAACAAGTGAAATTATCTGCCAATATAGTGAGATGAATTTACTTAATAAAATGACTCAAAACAAGTAAAAAATGTCTGGAAATAAGTTAAATAATACAAAATTAGGCTTACAACAATCTCAACAGGAGAAATATTAGATTTATTGACTAGATTTAAGATGATTTTACTTGACAAGACACTATTGTTTGCAGTGTAAATGCACTGAGAATTGGAAGTAAATTGTTTCCAAGCAGGCGTAGATGAGCAGGTTAATGTGCTACTGAAATGCAGCATTAGGAGTTAATTAGTACTTATATTCCCACCTGAACTGGGAAATATTCCACTGTCGAGTGCAGAGCATCAGTGTTATCCACTGTGCCTGATGTGGTTTTAAAGAAACTGCACTGTGTGAGATATTCACAACGTTGGCTAATTCTGTATATCCAAAATAACAAAAAAAAAACATCTAGAATATTATCATAAATGTTTGATATATCACCCGGCCCTAGCTAGAAGGTCCTGTGTGCGTCCAGTAAGTACGTGAAGGTGAAAGTGCTTCCACAGCCAAAACTTGAAAGCTACGTAGAAAGTTGAAAGCTACCTTACTTTAACATTCCTTTACACTTAAATTGAAAAAAAAAGAATATTTTCTTATTTCAAACAGATTTTGACAACGTATGATACACTTATCAATAATCGTTTATAATATACAAATACAGTGCCGGGCAGCACAGTGGCGCAGTGGGGCTGGATTCGATTCCCTGGCCAGGTGACCAGGGTCCTTTCTGAGTGGAGTTTGCATGTTCCCCCCATGTCTGAGTGGGTTTCTTCCCACAGTCCAAAGACATGCAGTCAGGCCAACTGGACGCACTAAATTGCCCCTAGGCGTGAGTGTGGGTGTGAATGTTTATGTCTGTCTGTCTGTCTGTCTGTCTGCCTTGTGATGGAGTGGTGACCTGTCCAGGGTGTACCCTGCCTTCCACCCAATGACTGCTGGGATAAGCTCCAGCCCCCCCGCCACCCAGAAGGATAAGCGGCTTATTCTTCTGGGTGGCCTCAAATATTGGCACCCCTGGTAAACGTGAGCAAAACAGGGTGTAAAAAAAAACATTTTTATTGCTTATCATTTTAAACTTTTATTCAAAATATTAACAAAAATATAACCTTTATTGGAAGCACAAATGATTGAAAGAAAAAAAACGGAAATGCATATTTTTTTCAAATCTATATGTGCCACAGTTGTTAACACCCCTTCATTTAATGCGTTGTGCAGCCTCCCTTTGCAAAGATAACAGCTCTCCTATAACACTTAATGAGATGTGGTGAAGGATCTGAGACCATTCCTCCATACAGAACCTCTCCAGATCCTTCAGAGTCTGAGGTCCACCCTATGGACTCTCCTCCTCAGCTCATCCTACAGGTTTTCTATGGGGTTTAGGTCAGGGGACTGGGATGGCCACAACAAACCCTGATTCTACAATCAGTGGATCATTTTTCTGTTGATTTTGAGATGTGCTTTGGATCACTTTGGGCACTTCTCTGCATGCCCATCTTTGCGTCCATGCCAAACCCATCTCTTGTATTTGTTGCAAAAAATCTCTATTTTGGTCTCATCTGACCATAAAACACAGTCCCACGGAAAGTTCCAGGAACATCTGGTAAACTGTAGGAACTTGTTTGTTGGTCTTTGACAGCAGAAGCTTTCCCTGCCAAACAACTTGTGGTTATGTAGGTGGTGAAATAGTTTAAATAGTTTAAATCAATAGTCTAAAAGCAATGACATCAAATTTATTAAATGAAAATTATGTAAAGCAAGGACGAAATCAAGATCAACTCAAAAAGATAAATATCAAAAGAGATGTAGAATTTTAATTAAATTAAAGAGGTAAGTTTTCAAATGTTCCTTAAAAGCGTGTGCTGAGCTTGACTGTTTTAGAAAAAGTGAATCGAGTTCCACTGTTTAGAAGCAGAACAACAGAATGAGTCTTTTCATGTTTTCTGTATTTCACAAAATATTTGCAGAAGGTCAGTATCTGCAGATCTAAGATCTCATGCTGCAGCATAAACAGACATGTTATAAGGGAATGCAGAGGCTTTAAAATCATTTAGGGCCTTAAGAACTAGTAGCAGAACTTTAAAACCCATCCTAAAAGATACAGGTAGCCAGTGCAGCTCCTTCCGGATAAGAGTGATATGAACTCTGTGGTTCCTTCATAAGTGGTGCTGCAATGTGTAAAACCTATAGGGTGAACTACTCTATCGGTCCTTGTAAACAAGTATTTATTCTCAGCCTCTCATCATAAAAAACAGAAGCACTGATAGTGCCGTTTGGAAAAACACACATGCCCACAGGCCTCTGGAATAAATGCCACACATGCACGGGTCCCTAATTAGCCACCACAGGCTTCCAGCAGCCTCACCGAAAACAGATCCAGAAGTTATCCAAGAATGGCTAGTGCCTCACAGGGACTCTCCAGTGAGGACATGGGCCAGTCTACTGTTTCCTTCCCTGAGGCAGATCAGCCTGAAGCTCTGTGACCTGTCCGAGATGCCCTGGGGTCCTGCCAGGGGCTGGGCTGAGGTTGCTTGCGGCAGCCTTACACCAGCCAGGGGCGTTGAGAGAGACTGAGGGACGCGACCATTCAAAGGTCTGAAATCAATGTTCTTAATAAAACAAAGCTAGTTTTGTTGCAGATAAATGTATGAAATGATTCTAATATACTGCTGAAAAATTCACAGTGGCTTTCTACTATCTGTGGTTTCGAATAATTAAGACCTTTAGATATTTGAGATGTGTCCAGAATGTGTCCATTTAATACTGAATGATTGTAAACTGACTGAAAAAGTAAGTAACATAAAAAATTAATATCAAGAATGTCTTGTGTTTCCAAAGTGGTGGGCAGATAACAAAAACGACTGCAAATATAAGTGCAATGTATTTTTGAACATTTGAATATTTAATATTTGAATCTACACCTACATTGTGTAAGTCCTTACTGTACAAATATATATATATATATATATATATATATATATATATATATATATTAATATGACTAGTGACTGAAAACCTAAGAACGGTAGTGTTGAGGTGACTCACCAAAGCGTGCATAGACATCCATCACTGCCTGGTTTACGGCCATGTCTATCAGACCTCGGCCCAGACAGAAGTGAGGAAAGATCAGAAGCACTTTCTTCAGCATCTGATTAAACATATACAGAGTCTAGAGAGAGAGAGAGAGAGAGAGAGAGAGAGAGAGAGAGAGAAATAATAGGAAAACAAGTGTTGGACACTAGAGGTGGGCAATACAGCAAAAATATAATATTGCGCTACTTCAAGGCATTTTCACAATACATGATAAGGCACGATATTTATTTTTTCCAACATCTGGGGCCGGACTCACGAAAGCTTTCTTAAGAAAAAAAAAAAACGTTCTTAGGACAAACACTAAGAAGTTCATAAGAATATTCTTATATGCAATTCTCGAGAAATTCTCAAATTATCATAAGATAATCTTAAGAATTTCTCAAGAAAATCTTCATTGTTTTCTTATGTAGGCTATGTTGCATTTTCCATGTACCATAACTGACACAAGATACATTTAGAATTTGTATTAACTGTTATTTCCATTATTCACAACCCCATTTCCAAAAAAGGTGGGACGCTGTGCAAAATGTAAATAAAGACAAAATGCAATGATGTGCAAATCATTTAAACCCTATATTTCATTGAAAATAGTACAAAGACAACATATCAAATGTTAAAACTGAGAAGTTTTATTGTTTTTTTTTTTAATTGATGCCCACAACACGTTCCAAAAAAGTTGGGACGGGGGCAACAAAAGGCTGGTAAAGTTGTGTAATGCTACAAAAAACACCTGGTGGTTAATTGGCAACAGGTCAGTAACATGATAGGGTATAAAAAGACCATCTTAGAGTGGCTGAGCCTTTCGGAAGTAAAGATGAGGAGGGGTTCACCACTCTGAAAGACTGCACGATCAAATAGATCAAATAGTAACAATTCAATAATAACTTTCTCAACATAAAATAGCAAAGAACTTCTGCTTTTCATCATCTACGGTACATAATATCATTAAAAGATTCAGAGAATCTGGAGAAATCTCTGTATGTAAGGGACGAGGTCAAAAAACAGTATTTGCTGGCTGTGATCTTTGGGCCCTCAGGCAGCACTGCATTAAAAACAGACATGATTCTGTAGTGGAAATCACTGCACGGGCAGAAGAAATCATACATAAAAAGGATCCAGAAATGCTGCCACCTTCTCTGGGCCTGAGCTCATTTAAAATGGACTGAGGGGGAGTGGAAAAGTGTCCTGTGGTCCAACAAATCAACATTTGAAATTATTTTTGGAAATAATGACACTGTGTCCTCCAGGCTAAAGACCACTCAGCTTGTTATCAGTGCACAGTTCAAAAGCCAGTATTCATGATGGTGTAGGGGGCATTAGTGCACATGGCATGGGTGACGTGCACATCTGTGAAGGCACCATTAATACTGAATGATATATACATGTTTTGGCAACATATGCTGCCATCCAGACGACATCTTTTTCAGGGAAGGCCTTGATTATTTCAGCAAGACAATGTCAAACCACATTGTGCATGTATTACAACAGCATGACTCCGTATTAAAAGAGTCCTGGCGCTAAACTGACCTGCCTGCAGTCCAGACCTGTCACCACTGAAAACTTTTGCCGCATTATGAAATGAAAAATGCAACAAAGGAGACCCTGAACTGTTGAGCAGCTGAAATCCTGTATCAAACAGAATGGGAAAACATTTCACTTTCAAAACTACAGCAGAGTATTTTCAGGAAAAGCACTTGTTCTTAGAATTATTCTTAAGAAAAAATTAACAAAGATAATTCTTAAGAAGACATTTGAAAAATAATAACTTTCTAAAGAATGAAGTTAAGAAAAAACACATTTAAGACACTTCCGTGAATCCGGCCTCAGATCAGTTGGAAGAGAAAAAAAGAGCCAGTAGTGCTACATTTTAAAAAATACTACCAAAAACTGTGAATACAATTATTTTTATTCAATATTTGGCATTTTGTGTTGCACTAAACCCAGATAAATGGGACAAATTTGCTCTTTTTACAATGAATTACGCAATGTGTCAGTGTTCTACAAGCACTGATGATATCAATGGTATTTTCAGAAAAGCTTCTGTAATGTATTGTGACATAATTTATCATGATAACGATACATATTGTCATATTGATGAGCCGTAACTGACCCACAGAGCATGCATTTATTACTCTTTTCAGGCTGCCTTTCTCCCGTTAATGAATGGATGGCAGGTTTTCCAGGCACAGATGAAGCCTGGCCTTACATTAAAAAAGATTTCCATCTGAGAATCCCTGCTGGCAGTGTGATTTAGCTCAGGACTGGGCACTTAGCCTGTATGTGGAAAACAGTAAGATGAAGTATGTTCTCACGGTTGTGCTGTCGAACAGGTCCAGGATGAAGGTGATAGCGCTGCTATTGATCCCAATGAACAGGTTAAGGCAGGACAGAGACACATAGGCTGTACTGGGGACGCTGAACACATACGACATGGGATACATCATCGGAGTGACGGACCAGCTGCAGGAAAGGGAAGGAGAAAAATGAGAATCTGTTCTGCACTGTGTAAAGCAGTTCTTGTGCTGTGCTATGAGGACAATCGCTCCGCAATTATTACCGTCAGACTGTAAAACTACACACACTGCAGATTCATACTGGATTAAAATCGCTCCGCAATTATTACAGTCAGACTGTAAAACTACACACACTGCAGATTCATACTGGATTAAAATCGCTCCACAATTATTACCGTCAGACTGTAAAACTACACACACTGCAGATTCATACTGGATTAAAATCGCTCCACAATTATTACCGTCAGACTGTAAAACTACACACACTGCAGATTCATACTGGATTAAAATCACTCCACAATTATTACCGTCAGACTGTAAAACTACACACACTGCAGATTCATACTGGATTAAAATCACTCCACAATTATTACCGTCAGACTGTAAAACTACACACTGCAGATTCATACTGGATTAAAATCGCTCCACAATTATTACCGTCAGACTGTAAAACTACACACACTGCAGATTCATACTGGATTAAAATCGCTCCACAATTATTACCGTCAGACTGTAAAACTACACACACTGCAGATTCATACTGGATTAAAATCACTCCACAATTATTACTGTCAGACTGTAAAACTACACACACTGCAGATTCATACTGGATTAAAATCTCTCTACAATTATTACAGTCAGACTGATTCATACTGCAGATTCATACTGGATTAAAATCACTCCACAATTATTACTGTCAGACTGTAAAAACTACACACAGAACCTCCTCAAGACAACTAATCCAGCTCAAACAGAGCTGAAAACTGTGTGTAAGATATATTTTACTTAAAAAATTAATCGAAATGTTACAGTAAATCACAAAGCAAGACAAAACAAACAGGTAATACTTATTCAAGAAATAACAAAAGGAAATTTCGATTAATATAAATATTCCAGTAAGTATTAATGTTCTATAACGTAATATCTCATAACATACTAACTCTGATATATTAGAATGAACTGTACTATTTACTTCACTGCTGACAAAAACCCCTATTTCAAGTTTCCATTTTCTGACAGCGCACTGCAGCGTCAGGTTTAGGTTCAGCGGAGAATGTTTTGTGATTTGAGAGCCGCCTCTCCCACACCTTTATGCCTCCTGTTCAGAGCTGATGGGATTTCGTGGGAGGGGAGGGGGCAGCGTCTACTTTGGAGAAAAAACACACAGACTAAAGCAGACACTGACAAATCACTCTACGCCCAGCCAGACCTTCAACTGTGTGTTCCACTCCAAGCTATTCATCTTTCTCCACCAGCCGCAAAGACCTCCTGTGACATGCCTAAACAAACTCGGGAAGGCTATTTAGAGTGGAATGCATAAACAGACTGTTCAGACAGGAAGCTCCATATTGGCTGTCCTTACCCATACAGCATCAGCAGGGCTATCAGCGCGTGCAGGTTCGCAGGGGAGGTGTAGCACTTTTTATCAAAGTTGATAAAAATCTTCACGACCAGGGCCACACTGACAGAGTAGCTGATCTAAGAGGAGAAAAGAGGAGCAGGATTTTCACATCACTTTCTTTTACAGGTTTAGAAATGAAAGACATAAACTATGAATGTTTGTTAAATCCTCTAAATTATACAAGCCACTTTATTAGAAACCTGGTGAGTCTACTTTGTTGGTGTACAGTTTGAGACCATCTCTGGATGCATAATTTCCGTTTACCATCCTCTTGTGTTGTGGATTGCTGAATAACATTTTGCTATAACCTGAGCTGGCCGTTGTTTATTAAAAATACGCCAAAACACCAACATCAAAATAAAGGCAGTTGTAGTGAACCTTGAAATAAGCTCCCCGGACAAAAATTAGTCACCTTGTGTGTTTAAGGTGGTAGCTACTTCAGGCTCCTGCAGATGGTGTTACACAAGGATGATCGAGCTATAAATACCTGCGGGATGTGCGACAGGATTCATAGACTGAGAAAAGGTGGTACAGTGAATGTCTCGTTTAATGTGTGGAAAATGGGTCACAAAGCAGATGTTAATGACTGCCAAAAAGGATTTGACTGCATTTGGGCGCCAAAGGCCACAGTGTGAAGGAAGGAGCTGAATTTGCAGGTGTATCAAAGCGTACGGTCATACGGGTCGACCAGCAGTGGACAAAATCCCAGCCTACAGGAAATTTTCATCAGAATTGTGGCCAAAAGATGAAACTGATGGACAGGGACCGCCGGCGTGTTTCACAGCTTGTGAATACAAATTACTTCACTTCTTTGCTCCTAGAAGTCAACACAGGTTCTTCACAACCAATTTCTGAAAGAACTCTCCATAGGGAACTGCATACCATGAACATGTGGAGCAGAGTGGCACGCAAGAGGCCTTTGCTCACTTCTGCTCACAAAGTTGTCCAGTTACAGTGGGTGAAGATGCTCAAGAATTGGACTGTTCATAACTGGAAACGTGTTATCTGGTCAGATGAATCGCGTTTCTGCCTGTGTGTAAATGATGCTCGGCGTCATGTTCATCGTAGACCTCAGGAAGCCTTCAATGAGGACTGTGTGCAGGTGTGGTTCAAGCTGGAGGAGCTCTGTGATGTTCTGGGGCTGTTTTAAATATGCAGAAATGGGTTCTTTGGTTGAGGTGACAGTAAATTTAAACCACAGTGCCGACACTGAGCTGCTGGACAACCAGGTTTTCTTACCGAGGAACATTACATTCCTATCCCTGTATCCCAAGAAGACAATTCTCGCGTTCACAGGGCTGCAGATGTGACTGATTGGCATGATGAACATTCAGGAGCCTTAACACATCTGGATTCACCTGCAAAATCCCCAGATTTTAATCCTCTTAAAAGTCTCTGGGACGACCTGGAACAACGAGTAAGACGCCAGGGAAGGCTCCATGAAATCTGGCCGAACTGCGCAATTCTTAGATGCAGGATTGGCTGAACATTGATGTCACCTACATCCAAAAACTTGTCCAGTCCAGGCCAAGAGATGCTATTAGGTATGTTTCAGTCACAGGTGACTAATTTTTTATCCGGTGAGCTTATTACATAATATATACTTTAAATATTCAAAAATAAATTAGGTAAATAAATACACACATAAATAGGCTACAGTACACAACATTATACACATCACAATAGGCTACATTACATTACATCATGCACATTATGCTGCAGTGCATGCTGGGAAGTGTAGTGCAGCGTGTTGTAAAACAGGCTAATATGAGTAGAAAATGAAAATTATTTCGAGCCAGACAGAATTATGCTACGGGTCTGGCCTTGTCTTTGACACAGGGGCTCTGAACATTCATCAGTGGTCAGTTTCTGACCACAGAACTACCCTTGCCTTGCTATTTATGAGTGGTGGACCTTTTTCAACATAGCAGTGACACTGCTGTAAACATGAAGAGTGTCATGCTGGTGGTACAGCGGTTAAGACACCTGTGGCCCTAAACAAAGCATTGCCAGTTTGAGTCTGGGGCATCAACAACACCTCTGCAGTCCCACTATCTGCCTGCTGTGGGCCTTCAAATTAAAGCTGTAACCCATATAATGCAAAAACTAACAGAATTTGAATTGTGATGGCCAAGTTTTCAAGGAGCCCTTCAGCAACTGTTTAAAAAAGCACAGGAGTCACAACGATGCCTGAGGATTCCTCTCCTCGCCTCCGGAGCTGGTGCTCGTCCCAATATTGGGTTGTTTCCCAGCTTCCCAGTCAATTTCAGTGCTTCATCTAGCCAGACATCTCAGACTAGCTTTTACAAAGCCTTGTAAGTTGTTACTGCAATTTTGAGCATTTATCGATTCCCCTTCTTCCTGTTTTTGACCTTTTCCTGATGTTTACCTCAGACTTTCAATCTCAGACTGTGTTTCTGTCTTTTTTCTTGATCTGCCCTCATTGAACACTTGTTTACTGCTGAGTTGGACTGGATCTGTATGTACACATTACATTAGACCTGCAAGTGGATTCTACTCTGGAGCTTCGGCTAAGTTACAATGGGAAATGAATCTCCAGCTCCAGTAAGTTGAGAGAATGTAATATTTAAATATGTGTAAATGTCGCACCTCTGTGTAAATATCCAAATGCAGAATGTTGACTCTTCTTACAAACTACCACCTCAGTGTCACTGCTGTGCTGAGAATTGTTCACCACCCAAAAATGTCTAGTCAACAATGGTCCTGTGGTGGTCTCTTACCAAATGGGCTTTAGTCTGTAATTGTACATTTATATATGGGTCATTCTCCATTTCACAAAGGTTGCAGGGCTTAAAACGAGTATTAAAATATCAGGCACAGCTCCAAAAGTCGGTATGTACATTTACACAGTTGACCTAAGATTAAATAACACTTCTCCCTCATAATTTCTCAGATTTTTCTTTTTTTATCCTGCTTCATATTCGCTCTGCATCTGTAAAACAGCTCGTCACAAAACCAATTTTCAACATTTGAGAAATAATTCTTAATATAAAACAATATTTTTAAAAGGTTTAACTTAGAAATTTGCATAATACAGATTTAGCTGTACTTATTATATCATTAACGTTATACTATGTTTAAAAAATATGTATTTTCTTTTTAATAATCACTTGTCACAGAGATTTTGGTCACTGGTGTTATCAGGACTCTTATTTTACATTTTAACACAGTATTTTCAGCTCTATTAAACTGCTTCTGGCTGTCATCTGACATGGCTGATATAAAACATAACATAGCTGCAGAAGAAAGGCTTGAAAATTTCTACCCACTCCCACAGCTAGAACTAGAGAAGATTATCTCCTCTGCAAATTGTACAACCTGCACACTTGATGCAATCCCCTCAAAATTACTCAAAGAAGTACTACCAGTTATCATTAATCCTCTTTTAACTATAGTAAACTCGTCCCTTAGCCTGGGCCATGTACCCAGAGCTTTTAAACTAGCAGTTATTAAGCCCCTGATCAAGAAACCAAACCTTGATGCTAGTGTATTGTCTAATTACAGGCCTATATCTAACCTGCCATTTATATCTAAGATCTTAGAAAAAGCTGTAGCCCAGCAACTTAGTTCATATCTACATAAGAACCACATATTTGAGAAATTCCAATCTGGATTCAGGCCACATCACAGCACTGAGACAGCTCTAGTTAAGATAACAAATGATCTTCTTCTTGCCTCTGATCAAGGCTACGTATCCCTGTTAGTGCTACTTGACCTCAGCGCAGCTTTCGATACGATAGACCACAATATTCTCCTTGAAAGGTTAGAAAACATGGTTGGAATCACAGGGACCGCCCTATCATGGTTCAAATCTTACTTAACGGAACGTTATCAGTTCGTAAAGGTAAATGACTTATCTTCCAATTATTCACAAGTAAGATCTGGAATTCCGCAAGGCTCTATTTTAGGACCATTATTATTTACATTATACATGTTACCGTTAGGCACAGTTATAAGTAGCCATGGCATTAACTTTCACTGTTACGCAGACGATACGCAACTGTACATATCAGCCAAGCCTGATGACAAATACAGGTTAAAGAAAATAGAGGACTGTGTAAAAGATGTGAAGGGTTGGATGTCGCGTAACTTCCTCCTCCTAAACAGTAACAAAACAGAGGTTCTCCTTCTGGGTCCAAAAGTGGCAAGAAATAAATTATCAGATTTAACTTTAAATCTCGCTGACTTTCCAGTTATACCAGGTTCAGCAGCAAAAAATCTTGGTGTAATACTCGATCCAGATTTATCATTTGATCAACACATAGGCAGCATCACTAGGACAGCTTTTGTACATCTTCGCAATATCGCCAGAATAAGAAATGCCTTATCGCTGCACGATGCAGAAACATTAGTACATGCCTTTATTACCTCAAGGCTAGATTACTGTAACGCATTACTGTCAGGATGCACCAGCAGGAATTTAAGTAAACTTCAACTAGTTCAAAATGCTGCAGCCAGGGTTCTCACTAAAACTAGAAAATTTGATCATATCAGTCCAGTTCTATCATCACTCCATTGGCTGCCTGTTAAATTCCGTATTGATTACAAAATTCTTTTATTGACGTATAAAGCCCTACATGGGCTCGCTCCTGAGTACCTGCAAGACCTTATTTCCCTTTACGAGCCACCACGATTACTCAGATCACAGAGTGCTGGCTTTTTAATAGTTCCCAGAATTCAGAAGGTTTCATCTGGGGGAAGAGCCTTTTCTTATAAAGCCCCCAAACTCTGGAATGATCTTCCAGAAAATGTTCGGGACTCAGACTCAGTCGCAATATTCAAATCTAGGCTGAAAACTCATTTGTTTAGTTTAGCTTTTGGTAGCTAATGTTTCCCCTTGGATAAAGGCAGCAGATCCAGGGGTCCATGGACGCAGGGAATTATAGTAAACTGAGACGCTGGTGCTGTCGTCCCGCCGCTCACACGCGATCACTCAGGTTTGTGGACGGTGGAGCGGAGGAATGCCAGATTGTTTCAGGGTGCTCCCGTGTCTGTGTGCCCTTTTGGTTCTCTCCTTTTAGTTAAGCTGTTATAGTCAGATCTGCCGGAGTCGTTAGCCACACTCTGGAAATGTTTTACATACTACTATACATACACCCATACAGAACTAAACTAACTCCATTTCCCTACCTTTCTTCCGAGAAAACGACTGCTCACCTGTCCGGCCGGACACTGCTGGATGATTGTTTGTAGAGCTCTCCGGCTACCCGCTTCAGACCAGTTACCCACAACCCAGTCACCGCCACCTGCCTTGGACTGGCTGCCCACTCTACACTGAAGTCTCCTAACTATTACTACTATTACTATTAATATTAGTAGAATAATAATTTTGTACGTAGTTTGACCAGAGGAGGATGGGTCCCCCCATGTGAGCCTTGGTTCCTCCCAAGGTTTCTTCCTCAACTGAGGGAGTTTTTCCTTGCCACTGTCGCCCCTGGCTTGCTCACCTGGAGGATTTACATTTCATGTTGAAACTTTGTTCTAAACGGATTTCTGTGAAGCTGCTTTGTGACAACATCAGTTGTAAAAAGCGCTATACAAATAAATTTGATTTGATTTGATTTGATTTGACTTCTGTGGGTCGAGGCTCATCAGAGAAGAAGCCTCTCAAGGCATGAGAAGGCGAGTCACACTCGCTCACTATATTTCATTAATTTATTAATAGTTTAATTCATCAGGCAGCACAGAAGTTCTATATGTCAATGGTGTTATGTGCTTTAATGGCTGGGTTATTAAAATTGTGTCAAAATAATGTCATATTATCATTTTTTTTACTGATTTTAAATAGTTGCACAAGATCACCTGATCAGTCAGTGAGTCGGCCAATTTACAAAATCCCAGTTTTAACCAGAAAGTCACTGGAGTCACCGTCACTGGTGTTACACCACATTCATACAACACCAGTGACTGTAAAATATGTTTGGAATTAAGCTCTCCTTTTGCATATATGATAATAGGAGATGTTAATAGGCATATTAAGACTATTTTGTTTTGGGATGAAAGAAAATATATATTTTTTAAATGTATCCACCTGAAATCCCACTCCAAATGGAGAATGACCCATATACAATCGACACTGACTCTGATTTGATTTTGTTGGTTGTGGTGGTGTTTCTTTGTTGATAGTTTTGTGTGCTGCCTTTTAGTCCAGGCCTCACTTGTAAAAGAGAGTTTTAATCTCAGTGTGATTTCCCTGGTTAAATAAAGGTAAAATAAAATAAAAAAATGAAGATATAGTAGATCTACAGGTAGGTGGAGCTAATAAAAAGGTGAGTGAGTGGATGTACAATGTTTCTAATAACGTGTATAGAAACGGTACATATAACATGCTGTGTGTTATTAAAAGAAAATAATTTAATCTGCACACTGACCATGTCCCAGAGGAAGTTGGCTGTCCAGTAGACCAGCGGACTGACCCCGCTCACAAACTGCAGATGCTTGGCCTGGGTCACCCTCTCCTGGATCAGGTACAGGACAAAACTGGCTGGCACGAAGGACATGGCAAAGATCACGCACATGGCCACCACAGCGTCCACTGAGGTGGTCAGGCTGAGACAGAAAGCAGGGGACGGGAAATAAACACTCAGTTCATGGATAACTGAAGGGGGTGTGACTGCAGGACAAAATGACATTGGGAGAAGATATTAAACCTTAGAAGCCTTAGAGTTATGATGGTTGTGATGCTATGCAGTCAACTGAACAAGTTTGAACATCCCTGGTCAAATTACATGTTTTGCTGATTTTCAAAGTAAAAATATCTACTGAGAAGATTTTTTTCCAATTTTGTCTGCAAATGTTAGTGCACAATTTCTATTATTTGCTGAATTTAACATAACATAAATAAATAAAACATACAAACATAATATAAAATGTGTCATAACTTTTGCCACATTTTATTTTTTTTTTATTCAACATATGTTTTTGACATATTTAAGATGTTAAATTCAGCAAATAAATAGTAATTTTGCATTAAAATGTGCAGAAGTGTGTTCTCTGTAGAGGATGTGATAACCCCTTAAATGCTCAGGGCCCACCAGCAGGCCCAAAGTTGTATTACACACTTCTATAACCTAAGAATAGCTCGACCAGTTTGCATTGAAGTCCCTGTAGTTACTGAAAAATAAGGCTTAGTATGTAAAAACCTGAGATTTTACACTTTTACAAAAATCAACAAAACATAATTTGAGCAGGGTGCCCAAACTTTTGCATATGACTGCATATTTGATTTGCATTACACAATAAACAATTAACATTCTGTATTAGCAGGTTTGCATTCTGACTTTTTTTTGTTAAAAGTCCAAAAATTGCATCATTGTATGCAAACAAAAAAATATTGTTGTATGAAAGACAATAACTTTCAAAATGATCAAATTCAAATTACAAGGAATTTGTGAAATCGTAGAATTTGCACATTCACCAGAAATTCTATGCCTGTTTCAATGAGCTAATTGTAAAATAATTAATAAAGAATTCAAACAATACTGTGTAACAACATAGTCTGGAGTCTGGAGAGGCCATGAGCTGTTGCTATGATTTTCTGGATTGTTATCTCGAGATAAAAAGTTAAATATCTTGTGATCTCAAGATAACAACTTTGTTATCTTGAGATCACAAAATAACTGGCTTGTTATCTCAAGATAACAACCTTCTTATCTTGAGATCACAAGATAATTAACTCATCTCAAAATCACAGCTTTGTTACCTTGAGATTACAAGACAACTAAAATAAAAAAGTTTTATCTCGAAATAACAAGATAACCAACTTTGTTATCTTGAGATAACAAGATAATTAACTCGTCATCTCAAGATAACAATCCAGAAAACTTTAACCACCTCATGGCCTCTCTGGACTTCCGTAACAACATATCGTCACTGTCCAAAGAAAACCATGCGTCTCCATTTTTGTTGATTTTTATTTTTCTACATTATTTTAACACACCAGCTGTTCTTTACATTGTGTGAAAATACCATGATGAATGGACCAATAGAAATGCTCTAAAATGCTCTTGGAATATAATCTCTTTACATTGACTTACACTGAAAGGTACGAGTGTTTTTGCCCTCTCCTGTAAAGTTACTATTTTGGAGATAGTTGTTTTTCTTTTGACAGCGTCGATAAGCTTTTGTCACTGCCGTTGACTGAAACTGCAACAAGAGAATGAACGTTTTTAATGATTTATTCTGAAAATCCAGTCAGGCAGGGCCACGGCATGCTTCAGTGTTTTCTCTCCTCTAAACACCTGTTTGGACGCCTAGACGTCGGGATAATTAGCTGATGAGCTGAATCAGGTGCAAACCAGCATGGAAAACAGCAGAACTGTCAGTGCTGTGTCCCTCCAGGGCTGTAATTTAAGATTCACACCCATTTAAACCTTCCTTCAAAACACATCAATAAAAAGAAACAATATTACCAACAAAAACACTCTATCAATCATCGCCCTAGTCCCTGTGCCCAGACTCGCTCTGTGAATGACTCAGATTTAAGGCACATACACGGTGACCTCGGAGAGCTGCTCTTTGGTGAGGTTGAGCGGGTGATTGATCACGGTGATGCCGTATTCGCTGGGGTTGGCATTGGTGGGAAGGTTGGCTCTGAGGATGGCGTTGTTGGCCACGTTCAGGAAGGCCACCACGGCATGCCAACCTTTATTGTTATACCACACCTTTAAAGGCAGAGAGGTTAAGAATGTTTATGTGCACATGAACAATAAACATCATGACTGACAAGTGATTTATTGTGAGGTTTAGCTACACATTAAAACTTACCTTGACATTATATTCAGTTTCCATATATCTTAGGAACGTACCAATATCCCTGAGAGCGACTTTTAAGTGTTTTCCCTGTAAAAAAAAAATATATATATATATTACAATTAGGTTAAATTAGATTTCTTTACATGTAAAAAAAAGAAAATCATCATATATACACATTTGTACGGCTGGACAAAATAGCACAAAACATCTAATGATAAAGGACTGTAATTCCAATAAAGTCATTTAAATACAATCTAATTAATCATCTTAATCTTGTGTCTTAAATGACAATAAAATTGTCAATCGATCAATCAATCAACCTTTATGTAACTTGGAATACACTGAGGGAGACCCTCATTTACAATGTAGTCGAGTCAAGGCACCTACACCGGTACACGGGGCTTATATTTGACTGGATGACAGTTAACAGTATAGATCGTTAGCAGACGTATGGACTCGAGTCATGAATTTGATGACTTTAGACTCGACTCAAGAAAATCGAGAAAGACTTGTGACTCGTCTTTGACTTCAAGACCAGTGACTTGGACTTTGACTCGGACTTCAGTCATATGACTCAGAAAGACCCAAAGTGAAAGAGACGTGGAGAATCTGACAGCAGACGGCTACACAGTCGGTTACTTTTCATGTGAATGGATTCGTTTCCTGGCGTAAATCTGATATACAGCAGTGTCGTCAGATGTCTGTCACGAGTGAAGCGTTTAGAGCTCAAGTTCACCTCCACAAGCTGGAAACAAGCGAAGCATCAACAGCCCTCAATCAATGCACCCTCAGCACTTAAACTCCTACTGGAGAAACTCACCAGGCGAACTGACCATTTTCCTCATGGTGGCAAAACTAAAGAAACACAGCTCTGTTTGACCACTTCTGCAGGTAAAACTGTTACGGGACGGCAGGGAGGCGGACCCAAGCGCAGAGAGGAAAACCTGTGAGAAAGGGTCTTAACTGAATTTATTGAGGTGATGGAGTGTGAATTTGGTGATTGTGCACGTTGGAGTTGAGGTGGCTCAGAGCCAGGCTCCAACCGCTGATGTACTGATTGGTGGTCCGAGGAGTTACCGCTGCGACACCGGGAAGCACAGGAAAAAACGGGAAAAACACCTCAACGATTGGGAAATAAAAAAGGCTGGAAGCAGCGCTCAAATAAAGGCTGAGATAGAAAGGTGATATAAAAGATAATCAGAAAACAAACAACACTTCCTCTGTGATTCTGAGAGAAAGGAAGACTTTATGTTTCACCTGTTTGCTCTTTGTGGACAAACACCTTTTGTATGGCTTGGAGCCGTTTGTTGCTCAAGTCTTCTTTTGGTTTTTAAATAGTTTTGGGGCAATTTCTCTCTTTTTGTTTTTCCAGCCCTCTTTTCTTTTCTTTCCTTTCCTTTTGGTTTAAATACCCACCTGGGCTAAGTACCGTACCGGTCACCCCTCTACAAAGGTGTGACAAAGGGCTGCTGTTTGCCACAGACTTAAATAGAGGAGTCCACAGATGTGCCAGGTTAGGCCTAATCAGCCCGAGGGCTTCTGGGAATTGGAGTTCCCTGACTTTATGGCACCATGCAGGCTGGGCCCTTACAAAGAACAAGAGAGTGTGTGCTACGGCTGCATGATATGGAATGAGATGTTTGATAAAGGGAAAAATATACTTTACTTTTAATGTAAGTCAATGGAACCAGACGTTTTTTCCACATAATTTTGGGCCAATATTTTGATTCATCGTGAAATTACCTTACAAAATAAAGGGCAACATGCATTTTCAAATTATGTAAAAAAAAAATTGAAAAACGACAAAATGGAGATACGGAGATGGTTTTTTCTAACAGCAGTCATATATATATATATTTTGTTTTCAATATAGGCCTACATCAATGAATAAATATACATTCAATTCCTAAAAAAGCTCATTATGATGATGCAGATTTATTATTATTTATTATTATTATACACACAACAATAAGAGGGAGAACAGTTATCATGTTTGTACAAGCTAGTCTTTCAGGATAGCTGAACGGTTATGTTAGTTGTTCTCCAGAGCACTTGTTGGGCTTTGCTACGTTCCAGCCAGTTGAATTACGTTTAGTCTGGCGCTGCACGTAAGACAATTCGATCCATTCTGTAATCACAGCCACTGTATTATGATAACAGTAAAAATAAGATTCATCAATCAGCACTCACTTTTGGCCAAACTGTCCATTTCCAATAGAGAAATGAAAAAGGGTTGTTGTGTTGAAGCTTGATAAACATAAAACATCTGTGTACAGAATTTTTTAAAATAACCTTGAATCGCAGTAAAATACTCAGCACTAAGATGTCATGATGCACTGAATCATTTCCTAAAGAATCAGATCTACACCCTAAAATATATTCTTTTCCAGAATAATGTCCATCTCCCACGTTCGCCCTCTAACACACAAAACCCCATTCAGACAGACTTATTAGGCACTGACCCCTGTTATGTTAAGCAGCCGTCCCATTTCTTCTGCAGTGTCTTGAATCATTTTGGGGCTCACACCCACGACAGGCAGCCGCCCCCCTACAGAAATGCCTCCGTACCTGTAAGAGCGCAATCAGTGAGACCGCAAACATCACCCACGCTCATTAACCACTAGAGGGGGACATCGCAACACTGTACAAGATGAGAATACCTTTGTTCGTTCACCCAGTACTTGCTCTTCAAACTGAAAGACAAAAGAGGAATACAGGAGTCAGTGTTTAAGGCATTAATCACCTGAGAGGATGTGAACCATGTTTTACAGATAAGAGGTCTACCTTGTTCTGATGAGCGTTGGGTAAGTCTTCACCAGATAGTCCGAAATGTTCCTCCCAGTTAAATCTATTAGTACATCACCAGTAGACTGAATTCTCTGAATAACACACAGACACACACAAACACACACATATATATATATATATAAATCATGTCCATCTCTCATGTTAGCCCTTTAACACACAAAACCCCATTCAAAGAGACTTATTAGACAATGACCCCGTTATGTTAAGCAGCCGTCCCATTTCTTATATATACATGCAGTACATATATATATATATATATATATATATATATATGCCCTGCGATGGACTGGCGACCTGTCCAGGGTGTATCCTGCCTTATATATATATATATATATATATATATATATATATATATATATATATAAAACCTTGTATCTCCAAAATGGTAACTTTACAGAAGGAAAAAACCTACTTTACTGTTAATGTAAGTCAATGGAACCAGACTTTTTTAATTTTGGGTCATTTCTTTTATCATGAAATTTACACACAATGTAAAGAGCAACAGACATTTTAAAATTATGTTAAAAACTGAAAAAACTTTCTTCCGACAGCAGCAATAATATATGTGTGTATATATATATATATACACACATTAAGAGTATATTGATGCCAATATGGTATTAAAAGAATCAGCATCACATCCCATTTACCAAGTTTCGTGGAAACTACTCTACTAATAATAATCAAAACTTGATATCCGAGTACAGCGTATGAAAGTAAAGTGGGCAGAGAGGGGGTGGGCCAAACGCTATGGACACACCTATACCCAAATGCCATATTTCTGAGGAGCTTACACTTGCACAGGCCAGAATTTATGTTTTATTAGTTTTCAGTAAGTTAAACTGAATAATAAACAGTATTGTGTATTAATATGTGCACAAGTGTGTTCTCTGTAGAGGATGTGTAACTTTTTTTACTTAGAAAACACAAACATGTCATTTGACTGGTGCCCAAACTTCTGCACACAAGTTTTATAATAAAATCAATTATTTCTTAGAGGGCTGGCATGGCAGCCTCTGAAACAAATCATATTTAAAATGATGATTTCTCAAATCCCCAAGGCAAAGAGAAAAACAAACAGCCTAAATTTCACACAAAGTAATTTTTGGACCTCATATAATGTCACTGTATAACTGAATGCAGCGCAATTTGTCACACACACACAGTAAATTTGGCCTTGTCACATAAACGACTGGCTGACTGATATATCAGGCCAACATTCATATTCCTTTGAGCACCAACTTTGGCCAAGGAGGACACTCACATAGCCAGTTAATCTTCAAGCACCAGAAGCTTTTAAAATACAGAAGTGACTCATATGATGTGCGACTCCCTCTATACGCCTTGGCTTTGCACCTGAAAGAATGAAACCTGACAATCTAACGCTGATCTTACACCAAGGACTTTTTAAGCGATTTCACAGACAAATAAAATCACGAGGGTCTTGCTAGAGTTGCGTTGCGCTCACATCATCTCGATTGTTTAGTGTGAGGTGGTCAGGGTGGTGGTTATAAGTCAGTCTTTTTCTCATCTTGACGTTGCGATAAAATCAACTGTGGCTCATGTGAATAGTGATGATAGAGAGAGAGAGAGAGAGAGAGAGAGAGAGAGAGAGAGAGAGAGAAGGCAAGGGAGAAAGTGCATGTGTGAGAGCCTGAAATCACTGTAAAAAGGTAAATGTGCTCCAATTTAATACATTAATCATATTAACTTAAATGTAAACTGGCTGTTTAATGTTTCAGGTTCACTCAGCCTGTAACAGCGATGTAAGGAAATAGACTTTAAGAATGGCATTATTGAAGAAGCATCATTTTTTATTCCATTTTTGCATCTGTTTTTTTATTTTGTTTGTTTTTTTATGGTTTAGTTCATAACACCCAGTCAACAGTGCTGAATCACCACGTTGTGTTGAGGTGTGAATCTTCATATTAAATAAAAAAGTAACTGCACATTTTACAGGTTCATTAAAAATTACTGGGTGATGATCTGCCAGAACATGCAATTCTACAGTGAACTGGCCTGAGCGTTCCCAGCCAGCGCGTCTTACTATTTGTACCACTACAGAGTGGAAAAAGAAAAGGGTTTCTTTTTTTTGGACATTTCTACCAGGTGCACGATAGGAAAAAAAATCTCAAAAATCTAGTTGCAGCCTTGCAAAATCACAGTCTGTGACTGAAAACTCTGTGACATTGTCTTTAGATGTGAGAGGGTGTCAGACTTTTCAGAGTCTTTTCAAAGTCTAGTGTACGGTGAGCACAGGACAATATCCTTAGATCACTACCAGAATGAATGCTTTGTGTTTAAAACACACTTCACCTTCCTTAATCTAACCTTCAATGCAGTTTAACTGGCTATAAATCAAGGTAACAGTTCAGCACATCTGCGGGGCGTGGCTCTTACAGGAACAACTTCACAAAACATGCTAGTGTGGCTAACAATGAATAGAAGCTACCATCCACCAATCCACCTGAATTATTCCTTTAACAGTATCGGGGTACAGACCTGTGGTGGGGGCAGCCCCCCTGCTCCCTCAGGGCAAACAGGCAACATGGTGAGTTTGCTGGGAGTGCTGCACTGACAGTCTGGAGACGGCCTGAGCTCCGTCCACTGCGGATCGGCCAACATGTCGATAAGAGCAGGGTTGACCAGGGGCGTCTCCCACTCTGTAGTGATGTTATTGCACGGGTACTCCCTGGGAGGAGGGCAGGACACACATAGGTGGGTGACGAAGGGTCTCAATGAGCCAGAGTGTTCAAAGGTTCATACTCATGTAGTTTTCCTCACTTACAGTTGTACACTCTTAAAAAAGGTTCTTAAAGGGTTCTTTAGTAAAGAAAATGGTTCTATTTAGAATCATGAACACTCAAAGGACCCTTTGTATGATTTAAGGGTTCTTTGCATGGTGAAAGTTTCTTCAGATTGATGGAGAACGTTCTGTAGATGGTTCTATATAGAATCTTTTTTGAAAAGGGTTCTATATAGCACCAAAAAGGGTCCTTCTATCGTTAAAATGTCAAGCTTGTAATAATTTAAGAACCCTTTTGGGTGCTATATAGAAGTGTGTATGCAAAAGTTAAACAGCATGAAATCATTTAGCAAATTTTAGTGACAAGTTCTATTTATTAGTTTAACATACTGGATATATATATATATATATATATATATATATATATATAATGAGCCAGAACTTTTGCACAGGCCACAGTTTATGTATTATGTGTATATGTTCCATAATTTGTTAAATTCATTACGTCATTCGTTTGATTAGGGGCACCCAAATTTTGCATATAACTGTATTTTAATTTTACACATATTTGTCCCCGACAAGACACACTCATACATGTTTTATACCATGTCAGGACGTGGGGTCATGAAGATGTTCCACATGTATTATATATGAAAGACCCTATATGTAACACACATACTTTAGAGGTTCATCCACCATGCAGCGTGTCCCGAATCCAGGCCTGTTTAAAAGCACATCAGCAAAATACTTCATGTCCACCATCTCCATCTGCTCGTTACTGCAAGAGAAAAGAGCAGAAAACATCCTCAAAATGGCTCAGACTGATTAGAGGTTCAGCCGCTGCGATCTTGTGAGCTGTGGACTCACCTGAAGAAAGTAAACTGTCGGCCGTACATCCACGGGCTCAGGGTCAGGCTGGGATACTCTCCAAACGGGGGGACGATGAGGGTGAACATCAGAGAAACCAGAACAAAACTGGCTGGCAGAACAATCTGATTCAGAGAACATAAAACACAAATAAACTCCTCTATGGACTGACTAGAGAACTAGATAACATGAGGACGGTGGGACGAAATCCTCAAAAAGGACAAACTACGTTTTTTGATTTTCTAAGTAAACAAGTTTACACATCTTCTACACTCCTAAAAATGATGGTTCTTCACAAGTTCTTTAGAAAAGAAAATGGATCTATATAGAACCATGAACATTCAAAGAACCCATTGCATGATTAAAGGGTTCTTTGCATCATGATTTTTGAAAAGGGTTCTATGTGAATGTGTTTTATATGGTTCTGTATAGAACTTTTTTGAAAAGGATTCTATGCAGCACCAAAAAGGGTTCTGCTACTGTTATGATGTCAAGCTTGTAACAATAGAAGAACCCTTTTTGGTGCTATATAGAACTCTTCAAAAAAGTGCTATTGGCACATTCTCCATCAATCTGAAAAACCCTTTCACAACGCAAAGAACCCTTAGAACCCTTTCATCATGCAAAGGGTTCTACGGGTGTTCATGGTTCTATGTAGAACCATTTTCTTTACTATGGAACCCTAGAAGAACCATCTTTTTTTGAGTGTGTACAGAGGACACACTTCTGGGCATTTTAATACACGATTACTGTTTATTTGCTGAATTTAACATATTGGGAAAAAACATCTAACAAAAATGTTGCCTGTGCAAAAGTTATGGCATATTGTATAATTTAATGTTTTCCAATCTTTGGATTTTTCCAGTATTCCAGTATATAATTGCAATAATGTTAAACTCATCAAACAAATAGAAACTGTGCACTAATATTTGCAGAAAAACGTCATATGTCAGCGTGTTCTCTGTCGAGGATGAGTTAACTTATTTTCACCTAGAACAGAACATGTCACATGACCAGGGGTGTTTAAACTTTTGGATATGACTGTATAAGATGCACTTATATAGATAACTGTGTGACATACATATAGTGTCAAAAACCACATAAACAAATCTGTGAGATTACTGATAAGGTCGGCCCCCCACTGACCGTATGCCACTACTGGTCCCACCCAGATTATTCTGCATCCAAGGTCTAACTAGTTTGTAATCTCTTCAAACAGATTTTTAATGCACACAGGCTTTTATTTTGGAAAATAAATATTACAAACAACTGCGAGGAAATATTTAATACTCCTAATATAAAACTATTTTGTTGAAAATGTTGTTTCTGACATTGTTGTTCTAGAGAGGTTCCAGCTGCATAACAAACAGGCTTTATTTGTGATTTTAAAGTTATTTACTAAACTAATATGAAAGAAATGAAGGAAGAATAAGTCAATTTAGCTGTGGCTGCAAAACGAGCCCTGAAAAGTGTCATTTGTCTAACACTCTGCTTCAACACCGGCAGGCTGTCTGTAAGATGCTGAGCAAAAAGACAGTGGGCCTCCAGCTTTGCCATCAGCAGACAGATCTCACTATCCTCTTGCTATCTGGGTTCAGTGCTGGCACAGAACGTTAGATAACGGTGGGTGTTAGTGTCAGCGAAAGACCATCTGACCTGGGCGAGGAAATCCTTCCCAGAGCGCGTGGTGTGGTGGAACCGCTTGATGAGCAGAGCAAAGAACTGCTTCACCACCAGAGACACACCTTTCACCTGCCTGGAGCCTTCGCCCCCTCTGCTGGCCGAGCCGTTGGAGAGCGTCTGACCATTAACGCATGCCTTCATGTCTGCTTGTTAACACACCGCACAGAGAATTATCAGGCAAGGCTGTTAAGGCCCAAAGAGAACGACATACTTCAGCCAAAAACACTGTGTTTTAAAAAATGTGGAAAGTATTAAAAGCATTAGCAGCCTTTTCTTCCCAACTTCTACATTCTATACAGCCAGTCTACTGAAGCAGAGCTTCACCCATCAAAGAGCAAGCTGTGACAGTATATCTGTCCAGTTTGAAAGCTGCTTTAAAATATGCCATACTGTAAAAGCACTATCCAATAAAACTGATCTGAACATACAGAGCTACTAAGGCTGTGCTATTCTGTAACAAAGCCCCCTTTGCAGCCCTGCAGACAGCATGTAATTCAGTTGCCCATCTGAAAGCTGGTCAGCATAACGCTACATTAGCCAGTGCCCTGATAAGACTTCTCATCACCTTCTGGTTCCTCAATATTCACAGTCACTGTGGTGTCTCTAAAGACACTGGAGCGAGATTTCTGCTGCAGCGCTTTCAGGTCTGAGGGGTTCAACAGGTCACGACAGGTCACAGACAGCACCACATCACAACACAGAAAACAGAGTCACAGACACAGTCGGCCTGAGGGGGGTTACAAAACGATGAGAGAATGAGACAGAAAATCTCACCAGATACTGATTTTCCATGAGCGGTTTCTCCTTCAGCTGTGACTTTTAGAAAGATCTGCAAAAAGCAGCATTTAGTGTCATCATACATTAGAGTTCTGAGTAATATGTGGATAAGTATTTTATATATTTGAAATACATTTCAAACACATTGCAATCCATGCCGAAAAACATAACACCAAAATGTGTTTCAGAATATTTTACGATATTAACCAAATATATTTTAAAATCAATTTATTTTAATTGTATGTGGAAATATTACACCTAGAAATGTACCATAGAAAAATAAATGTAAGTAAATATGCTTATCAAACGTATGAAAACAGCCCAAATCCTGTCTAACGCACTTCACTGTTCTGATACCTTTTGTAATGAATTTGTATTGCAGTATCTTCATTTTAAATATTAGTAAATGAACCTTTTACATGACAAAAGTGCGTTTTGTAGGATTGATACTCTGAAAATGCAGTTATGATTTGATATCTTGTTTATTTGTTGGACATTGTGTGAGAGTCTCACTGCAGATGCACATGGTTAATGCAAAGTACAATGCAGAACACAGAAGTCAGTACTGTCCATTCAGCTCATGTGTATTTAGTTATATTTGTAACTTTTGAACTACATAAAATTGAAAAACTATAGTAACAAATAAATGCATTTTAAAAATCTATTTAATAAATACATTTTTAGCCTTTTTCATACATTGCAAAAATATAATTAAAAATACATTTTAAAAATACATTTAAAATACATTTTAAAATATATTTAACAAATACATTGTCCAGCCATTTTTTTAGATTGCAAAAATATATTTGATAAATACATCTGGAATATATTTAGAAGTGATGCACCGAAATTCACTTTCTTGGCTACAATTGAAATGCACGACACACTGGGCCAAAAAAAAAAACAAAACCCAAAACCAAAAAAAAGCTGACGATAAATAAAACCAGTTCACATAAACTTAACTTACTGAAATGATTACAGTGAAACGATTTAGATGATTCAAATCCGATGACGTGAAGTTGAGCGACTGATGCTGAAGGGACAGAAAGGTGTTCTGTGGTGTTTGGGTCGGCAGCAAGACTGGCTAACTTAACATTATCTTAGCGAGCACGCTACAGACCCAAACAGGGCCACACACCTCAGTACAGGTTTGATTCTGACTAACCGCTGCTCTGCTGAAACGAGTGTAGATGATAAAAACTATCTGAGAGAGCAAAAGTGGAGTTACTGGTGTTGGAATGACAGAAAACCCAAATTGAACCTGCTCTGTTTGTTTAGGACTGTTGCATTTTGGCTAAGCTAATGGTAACATAAGAGCGCTATATTCCGTACAGTATTTCGGCATGTTTCGCGTTTTAGTAGTTATTGCGGAAATACCCGAAGTCATACACGATTTAATGATTGGTTGGACTCTGCAAAGTCTGCCCAGCAACCAGTATGCACTTTGATTGGTCACATCTGGACCAATACTTTTAAAGAAATAAGAAAAAAAAAAGTCATCTGTGTCTTCGGTTTGTGCCGTCAGTATTCCGCACACCAGCTTCCCCAGAGGGAGCGGTTTTCCCTACAGTGTTTTCCCTGCATTTTATTAGAAGTTTTATGAAATCTAATTGCATAAAAATAGACATTAACTGATTATACTGATTATAAAATTGAATTATTATAAATAATATGTGTAATGAATGATGCTACCATGAAAAAAAAGCCCAGTAAAGTGAGGCAGTGCTGTGAAGCTGCGCAGCTGAAAGGAGTCTGCTGAGGTAAATTAGCTGACGGTGTAAACTTAGATTAACAGCTCAGTACTAAACATACTGTGTTTCATGGTGATGATCCACTGTTTAATAATCGTTTAAGTGTTAAATATGATGTTTAAACGTGTTTAAATGCAGTTTAACTGGCCGTGAAATTTTCCCCACCCCACTCACATTCGCATCCCTGGATTTCCCCACCCGTCATGTTCGTGTGGCGCTGGGGGGGTCGGTCACTATTTGCATAGATTTGATGTCCAAACCCAGCTTAGATGGTCTTTCCAACCGATTTAATGGAAAAAGGGATATATGATCATGTCTCAGATGCATCTTTGACAAATGTCAAGAAAGTGTTTTTTTATTACACAGACAGAAATATTTGCAAGTGTACGGAATACCGTGCTCTTACGTTAGCTCTCTTAGCAGGGCACGCCAAACCTGCCACACACCAGAATGTGCTAAAATGATACTGTTTAAAGGATATCCGAGAGCGCAGTCGAGTGACCAGTGTTAAAGTGAAGGTGTTCTGTGTTGTGTGCAGCTCTTAGCTGACGCTTAGCCGACCTTATGCTTAGTTTTTGAGGTTTTTCCTGGCTCTAATTTCCCCCCTCAGCATAAAAGGTGGGGACTTAGTCAGTAAGGTTAAGGCTCTTTGAGTTATGGACTGCTGTTCTCACCTCTCCTTGTTGCTTTTCTCTTTCTTTCTCTGTTTTGCTGACAGTAGAGCCCTGCTGGTATTAGAGCACCATGTAGCTTACCTGACTGCCGCCAGCTGCCCTGAAGAACCATCCCTTATTCAAGGCATTTTTCTTTTAATTTAGCCTCTTCAGAAATGCTCCCTCTGAAGTCTTTTCCCCCTTTTGAATGGACTTCCCCAAAATTTTTGTCCTTGCTCCTAGTATTCTCCTTCATACTATGTCTAAACATTCCTTGTTTGCACTAGTTCCCACTCCAGACTCCCTTTCTGGTCAGCATTCTGCCCTCTTGCGGGTGCGAGAGCCTCACAGTGTGTATGAGACATCAAAGTTTGGGTGTGTTTTTCTGTGTGTGCGATAGACTGACCTCCTCCAGTGATGTGTCGGACACTCCAAAGCTGCTGAGGCCGATGTCCGCCAGCGTTTCCTCCAGCTCCCTGAAGAGGCTGGCGTAAGCCCGGTGTTTAAAGCCCCGACTGGGCAGCAGGAAGGTCAGCTCCTGCCCCACAGCCTCGACCAGCCTGGCCTCAGGCACATGGTGGTGCACCAGAGTTGTGATGGTGTCCACATCCCCTACACACACACACACATTCATTTTCACCAGTATTCACTCTCTACCTCTGTACTGCAAACACTCAGTATGTTTAGAATATCATATGATGTGTGTTACTGATGTATTCTGAAGAGCTATTAATGGAAAAACAAATTCCCTTTGTTTGTTTGAACTAATGTATGATGTAGTACATAATCATTAGTCCATACAGCCCATATATGGAAACTAAGCTGTGAAACATTTTGAATTCATCATGGTTGTGATGTCACAACCATAAAACCTGCTACCTATTCACTATGAAGTTATGAGTAATGTTGTTCCTGCAGACAATTTGTAGCAGACCTATTGGAATAGAAGATGTGGGGACCATGATTAAACGTTGCCCTGAATGCTGGGAAGAAAATGGATCACGGTAGCTTTCCAAAAGATCCAGACATTCCAAAGGAGCGGCTGAAGTTTTCAGCTTTTTGGCTTTTTTATGGATTATTCTGTACATTTCAGATAGGACTGCCATTTTAACGCGGCGAGCCTCAGGTAACTTGGGTCAAATCAGAAAAGAGGTCATATATCAGTCTTAAAAACACAATAACAAAAACGGCCTGTTTAATTCTATGAGATTAAGAGACAAAAATGATCAAGTAAAAATGGATGATGACTATTTTTGGTACATAAAGCTACATAAAGGTCATAAGTGGATTTCAGGGGTTAACACAAATAAGATTATGCTAATTGTCCCCCACTAGTTTTTCAGTGAAATCAGCAGTTAGAATTAGAATAAACTATCCCTTTAACATCAGTAGAACTGCTACACGAATTTAACAGGCCTAAAATCTACATTTCTCTTAAATTTTATATTTTATTTTAATGTTATATTTGATTTTTGCTTTTTAGTTTTAGGTAGAATTACAGATGATGTAATATTTCCTTCTATGATAATGTTTTCACCGTTCTTATCAGTATATACTCGTAAATAATGTTTTCATATTTCTACGCATCTTACCGTCCATCTGTCGTCCGGTGGCTTTGGGCTGGGTGCAAACGCTGTCTTTATATTCTGTACAGACGGAGCACTTACAGGAGCATTCATCCTTACAATCACACTGGCCCTGTTACACATACATACACAGAAAGGTTATCATAGATTTAGATGGAAAAGATCTTTAAGTGTCTCCAAGACACACACACAGAGGTGGGAACAAGTCACTAAGTTGCAAGTAATAAGTAAGTCTCAAGTCTTCACACTCAAGTCCCAAGTCAATGTAGTTGAGTCTCGATTCAAGAGCAGAGTCAGCACAGGCAAGTCTCAAGTCGAGATGTAGATATACATATATATATATATATATATATATTAGGGGTGCGGGAAAAACTCCATTCTTAGATGCATCGCGATGCGGACATGAACGATTCTGAATCGATTCACAAGTGTCAAAAATCGATTTTCTAAATATTTAATATATACCGTAATGTTGACGGAATGCAAAAGGCGGAACTGGAAGTGGGAAAGTGCAGCGCCCGGACAGTCTGTGGCGGCACATAACAAAAACACTACTGGATGAGCGAGAAATCCGATCGGCTCCCTCTGCATTAAAGCCAGGTTAGGTCAGGAGTCACAACACAAATGATCAGAAGAGTCATTTTGTCCTTTCAACAAAGTCAAACCACCTTGGGAGCCACAACATTTAATGTCCAGTGTGTGTTAATGTCGTAGTATGGGCTAAAAATATAAACGAGAGCGCAGATTTACTTCGCTCTGCTTTAAGCTTCAGCTCTAGCCGCTTTCCTCCCGTCTCTGCCAGAAAACCTTTCTTCAAAACTAGAAGAGTTTCTTGTAAAATGTCTCAGCGTCCGGCTGTTTTATGAGGCTGAGGTCGCTTCTCATTCACCAGCTTCTCGTTCTAATTTTCACCTTAAATTCTGCCTTAGGCGCCGAATGTAACTGCTGCACCATTTAAGGTGGAACGGGAAAATTCGAAAGAGAAGCGAGTTTATTTTCGCAACTTTTTTTAAACTCTCGTTGCAGATTTTTTTTCGTTCGCTACTGGCGAGGCCAGACCTCGGTGCTGTATGACCTGCTGTCTGCTCACTGTTCTCGGTCGTTCAGAACCAGGGCTTTCGCGCTATGCTGCACACTTTGGAGCCGAGATTCAGCGTCCAGTCTCGAAAATACACCTCCCTCTACAACGAGACCAAAAGTTATAAGATCACTAAAGAAACCGGGAAGGATGGCTGTAACGCGCTGCCTGGACACCCATCACCACTGTTTCAGGGCAACAGCGCATTTTATCGCAGATGAGTGGCAGCAGCGTCTCTGAATGAGAGCCTTCTAGTCCACTTGCCACATCACTTCCATTTGATTTATTAATAAAAGATATTTTAGATATTTAAAGCAAAGTATTTGTAATGATCCGTAATGCATTTACAATATGGATCATTACAAATACTTTGCTTTAAAACTACCAAGTCCTCAGACAGTAGGAAGATAGAAATCCTGCATAGAGTAAAAAGATGCATCGATAATCGTTTTATAATCGCATCGCAGCCCTCTGAATCGTAATCGAATCGAATCGTGAGGTGCCTAAAGATTCCCACCCCAATATATATATGTGTGTGTATGTATATATATATATATATATATATATATATATATATATATATATATATATATATATATATATATATATTTGTGCAGATAACCATGACAGGCATGCTGTACACACAAAGAGTAGTGCCATTACACATGAAAATAATTTTAAAAGTGCTACTGAACTTAATTAATAAAAAACTTACAAAGATCATTTTTTATGATTTTTGGGAACACTGGGCGCTGAATGAGGCGCATTGAAAATGTTGACGCTTTGCTTGTTTCCAGCTTATGGGATCGAACTTGAGCTCTAAACGCTTTTCTTGTCTTCCGAAATAAAATAAACCGAGCATAAGCGCAGTAACAGACATCTGACGACGCTGTTTATTCGGTTTACAGCAGGAAATGAATTCGTTCACACGAAAAATAATCGACTGTGTAGAGTCCTGTCTGCAGTCAGATGCCTCTCCACATTTCCTCCACTTTGAGTCTTGAGTCATGAGGATCAAGTCCGAGTCAGAGTCTAAGTCGCTGGTGTTGAAGTCAAAGTCTAGTCCCAAGTCTTACTCGATTTTCTCAAGTCACGTCTAAAGTCATCAAATTCGTGACTCAAGTCTGACTCGAGTCCAAGTCATATGATTTGAGGCCTTACCTCTGCACACACACACAGTAAGTAGCATGCTGGTTGTCAGAAACCCAGCACTCCACAATAGAACGTCTGCACTCGTTTGGGACGAGTGAAAAATTGTGCTGGACAAGATGTTGTGACTTCAACTAGCTGAGTTATGTTACAGATCTGTTTAGGAGATGAGAAACCAGTCTGTCTCTTTAAGAGCTAAACTTCTAGAATTCCCTTGCAGGTTTTGTACAACAAACACTTTATAACTTTTTTTGTCCCTTTTCCCCAAATAAGTGATGTGAAACATCTCAGTAAGTTCATTTGAAGTAGATAATAAATACTCGAGTATTGAGAATGATCAGCATATACCTTGAATCCGTCCGTTTTCCAGCAGAGTAGTCAATTTTACGCATGTGCACAGTGTTTACAAACGGCTAAAAAGTCTGTATCTTCATTAGACCTATCAATGTTCACTAGCACATCATCGCCCCCCACTTTGAGCTCCCCCTTCATGAGGTGTTGGATTGGTTTAGAAATCTCACACTCAGGTTTTGAACAACCCTAATAAGTCTACATTGCCTCCCACATTTAGCCCAAGATTTCTCATTTCTTCTGTCCCCAGACATTCTCATTACAAGATCACATCTGGCCCGAGACTTTTTGTTAAGCTCCCTCAAATTGTCCAGGTGGAGACAGCACATGGGCTCTGCATTTTGCATTGCCATTAAGTTAGTTTATGCTACAAAGCATGTAAGTTAAAGACCGTACAAGCACGCAGCTGCAGTGGGATGTGTTTGTATGTTTTACTCCTTATCTTTTCCTCAAACTGTTTGAATGTGTCCGTGTGGACCACCGCAGGAGAGAAAACAGTGTTTGTAATAACTGTTTCCAATTTTCATTATCATTTTAATTACTTGTTAGGTGTTAGATTTTGACACTTTAGTGTAGAACTATTCAATATTTTGCTTTTTTTATTTATTTATTTACTTATTTTTTGCTTTTTCAGCCACATTTGGTCAAAAATGTTCCTAATTTCAGTGCATCCCCGACAAACAGGCTTGTTTATGTGGTTACTGACACTGCACATACTGTTATCTATAAACACGGGCAAATATATGGACAAAATTCAGGCTTAAAAATGGCTGGTGCTACTGTTTTTAGCTGTGTTATGTATTTTTGTTCATTAGATAACATCTGTACAGTCATACAATGTACGTGTCTAGCCTGTTAAACTACATTAATAGTAAAGGGGAAATTGTGTATAACAAATTATATGAACACTGTTTATTTTAACCCCTTAAAATCTCAGCCTTATTATATAATAAGGCTTAATATTCAGAAACTACAGGGACTTCAATGCAGACTTCACTGGCCATGTAAGGGGATAACCCCAGTTTACTTCACGGGGACTGTGGACACCGTTGGCTAAGTAACATGCACACCCACATAAGTATGGACAGACATAAGCTTATGAGAGAAAAGCAGGGGACTGGCCTCCTTCCTGGTGGACAGTGTGTCGTCCTTCATGCGGCGGACGAGTGTGAGGTAGAATCCAGCCCCCAGCATGCTCTTGAGGAAGAGCGGAGAGCCGCAGCAGTGCAGGCGGCCTTGAGATATTATAGCCACGCGGTCGCTCAGCAGGTCAGCCTCATCCATGTGGTGCGTAGAGAGGATCACAGTACGACCTGCAACCAACAAACATATCGAGTTTTATTATTTCACAAATTCCTACAAACTAGCATTTAATACATAAGTTGTCTTTGTCATGATAAATCAGATAATAGAAATTACCACCTTTACCTTTAATTAGAAATAGATGTTAAACTAAGAACCCTTTCTGTTTCAGGGATAGAAGGGTTTTTATTTTTTTTTTGGCAGCAACAAATGCAAACCATGCTCAAAGAAGGTAGATTTCACAGTGTTCATATGGCGTTCACTGCAAAAATAATATCTTAAATGATATTTTGTCAGCTGAAACAGAGTTGAGGAAGCTGCAGTGTACATGATGGATTCAGTTTATTTACACAAAAAAATAGTTTTAGCACTAGGATTGCGCATTTTAGCGGTTTTTGCTATTCAAGTGTCTAAATATTTAAACGTATGATGACTGTGATTATCACATTCCCAATAAGAAAACCTTGATATTGTTATGAATAAACATGGCCACATTAGAACTCTGAAGGTGCTCCGATAAAACAATAACATTAAATAAAGCACTTAGTATTTAATATCATGAGATTGTGAGCTCGATCCCTGGTGATGCTACAGCCATCAGCAGCTGAGAGTCCAAGAGAGCACAACTGGCCTTGCTACCCCCATAACTCAATGTGATGCCAGCTAGCACAGGAGTCTGATAGCTGACATAAAAAACCTAGCAGTTAGTGTTCTCCTCCAAGCATGTTGAGCTGTCCAACAACACTGTGTTAGCAGCAGTTCAAAATGATCTGGCTTGTGCTAACCTTCGCCCCCTTAGCGCTGGGGGTATTGTGTGATTGGGAGAGTCCTTACCAGTGGGTGGAATTGGATATGAATAAATTGGAAGAGAAAATTCGAGAAAAAGTATCTATCTATCTATATATATATATATATATATATATATATATATATATATATATATATATATGACAGTGGTTTACTTTCACACACTAGGTTTAGACTTTTGAAGCTTAGAACTGCTAGTACTGGTAATGTACCACCTTAAAAAAAAGCCATATCCTGCACTTCATCATATGATTATCATGAACATGCCGCAAATGTCAGTATATAACTGGGTTTGGTGTTGTTAATAGTAGTCTTTGTTTATCAAACCGTACCTCCAACCGTAACGCCAGTTTCTGCTAGCTGGTATATGAGATTTCCATTATATGTTAGCATGAAGTTCGTTTTTTCCCCCCATACTCGGTTCAGTACTACTTGGCTTGAGTCTGCACACTGACTTTTGACAAAACAAGGCTTATAACAGACAGAGGTAAAAGTTTTTACTTTGTATCATGCAGTTTTACAGTGAGTTTAGGATAATAGGGTTAGTGAGGTTAGTTCAGTGTTATTTTGTGACTTTACCGTACATACATGCACTTTGTGACTGAAACTATGCATGTATTCCTGAGACTGAGCAATTTTACCTTCTCCAAGTTGGCTGGAATATAAATTTTCACCATTTTGAAGGAGAAAAAGTTCTCTGTTTGCTCCTCCTTCTGCTGTGCTGTGGCTTCTCCACTCAGAGAAGGGAATGTATCATGTGATGTGTGTTAGTGTGACAGTGTAGTGGGAGCTTGTGAAAGTAACTCTGATCCACATACCTAAAAAATATCTGCTGAAACTGTAACTTGTCTGACTAAAATGCAATAACAATATTTCAAAGGGTCCATAATAACATTATTGTGCATATTTAATATTGCGATGTATCAAATTTCTGAATACTGGTACATGAACCTGGGCGGTATTTGAGCAGCAGGTCCCAGATGGAGCGTCTGGAATACGGATCCACCCCTGAAGTCGGCTCGTCCAGGAAAACCACTTTAGCTCCACCCACAAATGCCATGGCAACAGACAGCTTCCTCTGCAGCCCTCCTGTATGGTGTTACATTGTAAACAAAGCACAGATTATATTAGGTGTTGTTACAGGCTTGACACTGTAACCACAGCAGAATGCTATATAGAACCATAAACACTCAACTTTTTGCATGAAAGGATCTTCAGACTGATGGAAAATGTGCTATAGATGGTTCTATGTAGCACCTTTTTGAAAAGCGTTCTTGTTTACAAAAAGGTGCTATATAGAACCATTTACAGCACATTCTCCATCAATTTGAGGAAACCTTTCATGATGCAAAGAACCTTTTAATCATGAAAAAGGTTCATTGGGTGTTCATGGTTCTATTTAGCACCAAAAAGGTTCTGCTACAGTTATGATGTCAAGCCTGTAACAGTAGAAGAACCCTTTTTTGTGCTATAGCACCTTTTTGAAAGGGTTCTATATATAGAGCCATCTACAGCACATTCTCCATCAATCTGAAGAACTCTTTCACCATGCAAAGAACTCTTTAATCATGCAAAGGGTTCTTTGAGTGTTCATGGTTCTACATAGAACCATTTTCTTTACTAAAGAACCCTTTAAGAACCTTATGATTCATATTCTGCTTCTGTATAATAGACACTGTAGTCTAAACTGAGACTGAACTGAGTTTGAACTGAGACGGAACCGATGAAGGCTAACACCCAAACACGATGAGAGATTCGTCCACAGCCATGTCATAATAAAGGTACACAACTAAAATGATGGTTCTTCAAAGGTTCTTTAATAAACCATTTGCATGCTGAGTCATAATGTGTTGTATACACCAATCAGGCATAACATTCTGACCACCTCCTTGTTTCTACGCTCATTGTCCATTTTATCAGCTCCACTTACTACATAGGTGCACTTTGTAGTTCTACAGTTACAGACTGTAGTCCATCTGTTTCTCTGATACTTTGTTAGCCCCCTTTTACCCTGTTCTTCAGTGGTCAGGACCCCCATGGACCCTCACAGAGCAGGTACTATTTGGGTGGTGGATCATTCTCAGCACTGCAGTAACACTGACGTGGTGGTGGTGTGTTAGTGTGTGTTGTGCTGGTCTGAGTGGATCAGACACAGCAGTGCTGCTGGAGTTTTTAAACACCTCAGTGTCACTGCTGGATTGAGAATAGTCCACCAACCAAAAATATCCAGCCGACAGCGTCCTGTGGTGCAGCGTCCTGTGACCACTGATGAAGGACTAGAGGATGACCAACACAAACTGTGCAGCAGCAGATGAGCTATCATCTCTGACTTTACATCTACAAGGTGGACTGACAAGGTAGGAGTGTCTAATAGAGTGGACAATGAGTGGACACAGTGTTTAAAAACTCCAGCAGCACTGTTGTTTCTGATCCACTCAGACCAGCGCAACACACACTAACACCCCACCACCACGTCAGTGTTACTGCAGTGCTGAGAATGATCCACCACCCAAATAGTACCTGCTCTGTGAGGGTCCATGGGGGTCCTGACCACTGAAGAACGGGGTACAAGGGGGCTAACAAAGTATCAGAGAAACAGATGGACTACAGTCTGTAACTGTAGAACTACAAAGTGCACCTATATAGTAAGTGGAGCTGATAAAATGGACAGTGAGCGTAGAAACAAGGAGGTGGTCATAATGTTATGCCTGATCGATGTATGGTTCTTGAAAGAATCTTTTTGAAAATGGTTCTATATAGCACCCAAAAGGGTTCTGCTATTGATGATTGATAATGATGTCAAGCTTGTAACAATAGGAGAACCATATACAACACATTCTGCATCAATCTGAATCATTTTACCATGCAAAGAACCGTTTAAGCGTGAAATGGTTCTATACAGAGCTCATGGTTCTAAATAGAACAATTTCCTTTACTAAAGGACCTTCTTTAGTAAAGCTGTGTTTTTTATTCAGTGCCCTGGAGATTCACTGGGTTTGAACTGACACTGAACTGATACTGATGTGTTATGATCTCTTAATATTATCCAGATATAAAAAATCTCCACCCTCTAATGTATGTGATGCTTAGCTGTCACACCTGAGAGGTTCTGGGTCTGTTCGTTTCTCTTGTGTGGTAAGCCAAAGTCTTCCAGCATGTTCTCCACCTCCTGCTGAGCCTCGGCTAGCGGCCGACCCTTCAGCAGAGAGTAGAACAGGATGTGCTCAGCTACCGTCATGCTGCATGAGAAAGTGCAGACAGAGGACACACAGCAAGTTAGACTAATGCAGAGAGTGTCCTAAAAGTGCTGAAGCACAAAAAGCACCACTAGATAACCATAAAATGAATATTACTTTGAACAGATTTTCTAAGATAATCCTTCCTGTGCTAAAACACATTAGTATCAGGATTGTGTAGTAAAGGACTGCAGTGTAAATAGTGTAATAAGGAAGTTTTTTGATATTTCTTTGTATGATATCCCTGAAAATGTATATCCACGTTGCTTGTTGTCACATTCTACTGTGGTGCTTGAAAGTTTGTGAACCCTTTTGAATTTTCTAGATTTTCGCATAAATTTGACCAAAACTTCATCAGATTGTCACACAGATGCAGCAAAACAGGCCCAAACCATGATACTACCACCACCATCTTTCACAAATGGAATAAGAGTATTATGCTGGAATGCAGTGTGTTCCTTTCTCCAAATTTAGTGCTTCCCATTTAAACCAAAAACATCTATTTTGCTCTCATCCATCCACAAAACATTGTTCCAATAGCCTTCTGGCTTGTCCATGTGATCTTCAGCAAACTGCAGATGGACAGCAATGTTCTTTTTGGAGAGCAGCGGCTTTCTCCTCACAACCCTGCCCTGTACACCATTGTTGTTGAGAGTTCTCCTGAGGGTGGACTCATGAACATTAACATTAGCCGCTGTGAGACAGGCCTTTAGTTGCTTAGAGGTTACCCTGGGTTCCTTTGTGACCTCGCAAACATGTCTATGTTACATGTCTTGCTCTTAGTGTGATCTCTGTTGGTCGACCACTCCTGTGTAACAGGAGTGTAACATGGTCTTGGATTTCCTCTATTTGAATCTGTCTGACTGTGATTGGTGGAGTCCAAACTCTTTAGAGACAGCTTTGTAACCTTTTCCAGCCTGAAGAGCATCAACAGCTCTTCTTCTGAGGTCCTCAGAAATGTCCTTTGTGCCATGATGCACTTCTACAAACACATGGTGTGAAGATCAGACTGTGGTAGATCCCTGTTCTTTAAATACAACAGGGTGGTCACTCACACCTGATCGCCATCCCATTGATCGAAAACATCTGACTAATTTCACCTTCAAATTATTTGCTAATCTTAAAGGTTCATTTACTTTGGCCACTCACAGATTTGTAATATTGGATCATTTCGCTCAATAAATAAACAACCAAATCTAATATTTTTAGTCTCATTTCTTTAATTTGGTTGATCTATTATTAGGACTGATTAAATCTGATTAAGTTTTAGGTCATATTTATGCAGAAATATAGAAAATTCTAAAGAGTTCACAAACTTTTAAGCACCACTGTAAACGTTCTTAATTTAATGTTTTAGATGATGATGACAACGACAATGATTATGACACTAATTTTTTATTTTGGTGTGTTTTCTTTCGCGCTAACTGACCTTGTTGTAGGGTATAGCTGTAAAGCCTAAAGCCTAAATCACAACCGTCAGAGAACTCTGTATATTTCTGTGTTTTCTAAAACACCGGATTCAGCTTATTTCAAGGACCTTGATAAATACCTGATGATATAGCTGAATCAGTTCTGTTAAAGCAGGGAAAATAGCTGCTGAAAATGTTTTTAAACAGATGTTTGCATGTATCCTAGGAATTCAGCCACGTGATTTTTCTGTTGTGGCCGCCATATTTGGGACTAGATTCCTGGCTTTGCTGCTCTGCACGAACGTAACTAGAGGTGAAAGATGGCTAAAATGACTTTCCTTACTTTGGAAGAGAAAAAACAAGTTTTCTCTACAAAGTGAACAAAACAGGCTGCGAATCTTATACAGTTTCCCCTGAACTCCTGGTCCCACTTAAACTGGTGAAAAAGCTACTAAATTTGTGTTTTCCTGACATTTATATTTATCTCATACACGACCCCTGTCCCTATTCCAGAGAGTCTCTCAAAGCATTTAAAAGCACAGAAGCCCACCGGCTCTTCACATCAGGGTGGGTAAAGGATCTAATGCTTTTGCATAAAGAGGAGAAAAACTCTTTGTCAGAAGAGCAAAGAAAAATGGGTCACACTTTATTTAAATGGTCCCCTATAGATGCTTTACAGATCCTTAAATCATTAACAAACCCTCTGGTGACGTTCACTTGATTATCAACAACATTATGATTAGGGTTTAAGGTTAGGAGCAGATGTAGGTTTTGCTTTGAGGTCAAGGTTAGGGTTAGGTTTAGGGTCAGATTTAATAAGCTCTTTCACACTGAACTTGAAGTTCAGTTGCATTTAATGGGTATTTAGTTCATAGACAGACCGAGCATTTACAGTCTTCTACAGTGGACCATCCAAATAAAGCGTTACCGAAAAATGCCATGGTCTCTGTTGAATTTCTAATTAATATGTAATTTTTTACGGCTGCAACGATCCACAATGCAACACTGCAATGATAGAACTCCTCTCATGGTGGTGGGCACATAACATCGGTCATATTTCCATCATTTCAACATTTTTCTTCGTTTTTCTTTTCGATGAGAACAGAACTGAGTAAAATGCCTTTCGAACCAGAAGCAGGAACCATGCTGCCACTTAGAATGTGCTCCTGAGTTTTATACTGCTTTCCCATCACCCTTAACCCACCCTCCGCTCACCTGACCCCAAGAATCTCCTAAGTTTCTGTCACTAGAATCACATATAAGCAACCCAAACATTGTAATGTTGAACATCTGCCACTCCAACAGCCGAGTAACTTGTATCTGATATGATATATGATATACTGGTTAAATATATTATTTTACAATATCTTCCAGTTAATCAATGTCGTCAGGAGAACATTAAGAGTCAGGGTTGTTTAATCTCCATATTTACATGACTTGTAACCCTTGAGTCCAACATAAGGGTTCTACATACTGGTGGAAGATGATGTTGTGCTGAGGGCACATGCCCAGAGACTGGCGGATCGTGTCCATTTCTGTGCGAATGTCCCTGCCATAGATGTAGGCCGTGCCCGAAGTAGGAGGGAACAATCCAGTAAGTATAGACCTAAAACATGGAAACAAACATTGTTTATCTCAATATGGTGTCTCATCAGCTTATTATATCATACCATTTTCCTGTCCCTTGCAACACAATTTCTTTCCCAGTGATGCTACACTGCCATCTGCAGTTGGAAGCTCATTTAGGCTCTGTGCAAGCATGGCATAAGGAGAGAGCCTAGCCACATAACAGTGGGCCAATGTCCAATATCAATAAGTTTGTTCTAAAATGTGTTCTTGAGAAAGGTTCTAAGAAAAAGTCTACGTCAAATTCATGACATGTTGCTAAACCGCAGAACTGTTCACACCTTTGTGCTCTTGAGTGTGTAGATTCTGTTTTTACCTATGAACAAATCCCAGATAAGGTTAGTGAATGTCAGAATCTTTGTGAAAACTGCGTAAGTGGGTTTTAAGAAGAAATATCTTCTTAAGAATGGTTGGTGAATGAGGCCCACTGTGTAGACAAAACAGGGCAGTTAGCACTCTCCTCCAAGCGTGTTCATGTGTTCTTTATTAGTACTAGCATTAATAACACTCAATAAGAATTGAAGCTCTTATTTTGACCTATTTGGACCTGCTACAATATCTTGCGGCGCGGGACTAATTTTCAGTGTAGTGTGTGGGAGCGGGTGGGAAACCAGCCCACTGCAGGTGGGAGCAGGACGAAGCACACATGAAGAGAAGCCAGAAGCAGCCTGAAGACCATGACTGCCATGTTATTTCAGCAGAGGATAATGTATTTGTGAACAGACTGTGTCAGATATTGGATGTCAGTTCGCCTTGATGGAACTCTGCAGGCGGGAGCAGGACAAACACTCCGGTGCGGGCGGGAGCGGGATAAATGATTTTGCAGGCATGAGTAGAAATCTTTGGGAACGGGTGGGAACGGGACTGAAATAACAGTCCAGCGCAGACCTCTACCTTCATTCTTCCAGGTTGGTATCTACTGTACTACATTTGGGTGGGTATATGCAGTGATTAATCAAAAAACAAGAAACACAATGTGTTTTTTCCCTTTTACCCCAAACGTAGTTCATATTTGGTGTTTGAGGTTTGCTTCTCTAGTTTTGCACTGCAGCTACAGGGATGTAACTAACAAGTAATGGAAGCTTATACTCCTTATACTCCACCAGTCTGTATCAGGCTACCTGCATGCCTATCATCACATGCTCACCTCAAACAGCATTGATTTGGTAAGTAATCTCAACTTCCTTATGCAGGTGTCTGACACTGTATGACATTCTGTTATTGATAAAAATAAACAAAAATATGTTGCATAGCAGAAAATAGTGGAGGCAGCCATCTGGAAGCCTGAATTTTGTGTGTACTTTTGTCCATTCGCCTCGTAGCTAAAATGCAAATCTAAAGGAGCAAATTTCCGTCACAGATTAACTACATTTGCTGTAAGGGGAAACTTTTGTACATTAGTATTGAAGCTCTCTTCCAAGGTTGGTATCTATTGTACCAAACAAGAAATCTACAGCTGGATGGGTTTCGGCTGGGATTTTCTTTTGTTAGGACAATGACAAAAACAACACAGTGTGTGGTATAAGGCACTTACATGGTGGTTGTCTTCCCGGCTCCGTTATGACCGAGGAAGGCAGTGATTTGGCCTTCGTAGAAGGTGATGCTCAGGCCATCCACAGCAGGTTTGGAGCTGCCGCTGAACATTTTGACCAAGTTCTCCACACGCACACCCACCACCAGGCCGCTCGGCTCTGCTTCAAAGAACATCTTCTCTGTGGGGCGAGAGGGGATGCGAATAGATGTGAGGCAAAAGACAACAGGTGCATGTCTGCAGAGAACACGTTTTGATTTTGGCAGTGGAGGGAGGACGGATAACTTGGCCAAGATTGAAAGTACGGACAAATTTTTACTGGTTATGTTTGATGTTTTTTATCTCCTATGCTAAACACTGTTCATGTAACTGAGTGATACTAAAAAGCTAGAAAGGAAACTGGGCAGTTAACAAATGGTGTGATATCAGAATAAAGGAATTCAGCTCACCGTAGCAGCACAAAACACCTCCAACACACATTAACTATTGATAAGAAGGTCAACATTACAGCCAAAGAGAACACAAGGCCACAAGCTTCCCGCAGTGGTCTAGGAATGTGTACATGTATCACACTACTGGAATTTTCTTAGTAATATTTGTCTTTCACTGTTACTTTAAAAAAGCTGCAAAGGATTTGTTAGCAAAGACTCCTACATACTATTCCTTTGGGTATTTATCTTCAACATTCAGCTTCATGTTCATCAGATTGTCTATTCTGTTATGAAGAGCAGGTTTTATTAAGTTGTGATTTGACATTTTCTTTCCCAAACTACTCTCTAAGGCTCATACTGAAACTCTTTTGCGCTCGAAGTGGTTGAATTACCTGAAATGTTTGTGCTACAAGGGGAGAAAATGTCCTTTGCCGTTATTCTCAAGGTAGCACTGTCACTATTAACCATGTTTTTTTCTCAAAACAATTTTGATTAGGCTTTAATATATTAATTTACTCCAAACAAAAAAGAAAACATACTAATGTGTGTAAAAAAAAAACAAGCAAAAAATAAAAATGAATAACTAGGTGCTCCTAAACTGCAGAACAGTGTATGTTGGCTGTTTGTTTATGCAAAGGTGTAACAAGAGATCATTCTTATGCAATAAACTATTAAAAACAACTTGATATGAAGGCTTTCCTTCAAAAGCTCCACCTGTGGTATGATTTAACTCCAGCACACTTTCTTAAAGGTGATATATTTCATATTTTAAACATTAATATAGCAGCAAACAACTATTTTCTATGTAAAGACATAGTGGAGTAACAGCATCCTGATCAGAGAATGAAGTCACGTCCCTCCTATGTGTGCGGTAATCTGAGCTTCTCTGTTTTCGTTTTCATAGCCGGGATGGCCACGCGTACATGTTCGTCCCACCCTGTGAACATGTCGGCCCTCTCAACGTTTTGTCTTGTCCTCCCCAAACAGTGACAGCCCACACAGCGTGAGAGCCCAATTTAAGGTGGAACGGGAACATTCAAACAAGAAGCTGGCAAAAAAGAAGCTGACTTCAGCTTCACTGAGAGTTAAAAAGCATGAAAACGGATGAGGAGGTCGCACCTGCTGGATAGGTGGGCAACATTAACTAAGTTCTGCTGTTTCACGGAATCAATAGGTCAGTATTGTTTAGTCTTGTTTGAGAACGTTTGTGACAGCAACTGGTCAGATTCACAGCACCAACTGTAGCGACAGTTTGCTGACCACTACCGAGCTAACGTTAGCTATTACTTGCTGTGTGGTTGCTCACTCTAACATTATATCATAATATATGTGTGTAAGGTTTGTGAAGGGTTTTATTCGCATCCACGAATTTGGGGGCGGAGTTTCTGAAGGAGCACTGAAGGGAGGGGTGTGTTTGTTTTGCTTTGTTTTGTTTGAGTTCAAATATCAACAATCGTCCTCCAGAATCGTATACTGCTCCTTCAACATTACCAGGCTTTTGGTGAGCTGTGTTCATGGTATACCTCCAGACATAATACTCTGGTTCTGGTAACTGCTTTCCTCCTCATCCAGCTTTTTGTGCAGCTCCAGTTTCTCCCGTCGCTCTCCATGTTTGCAGGATGCCGGTGGTTCCGGAGGTTGGACCTTCTGCTCCTCATTAGGTTGGGCAAGATTATTAGCATTTTCTTCAACTTGCTTTGCTGTGTTGTCAGTTGCTGGACTCACCACCTCTGGCTTCTCAGGGTCTAGAAGAAAGGAAGGGATTATTAAGGATTATTTGAGCTGGAGTCGTTTCACAGGGGGAGCTTCTGTAATGTAATTTGTAAACATTTTGAATGTCAGATTCATATGAGATGAAGTATAGATTGAATTTCTCAAGATGCCCACAGACAGCCTGAATTAAAAGGTCATAGCGCAGTTGTCTGCCTTACGTGACGGAATGTACTCAATAACAATAACAACACACTGAACAGCCGTGAGTATTAGCAGGATTTGTTAATCTGTTAGGGATCCAGCTGAGTTCTGGTTCTGCCAATCACAAAAAGCCTCTCACTTCACAATTAATACTGTCAAACTATAAAACTACACACGCTGCAGATTCATACTGGATTAAAATCACTCCACAATTATTACCGTCAGACTGTAAAAACTACACACACTGCAGATTCACACTGGATTAAAATCACTCCACAATTATTACCGTCAGACTGTAAAAACTACACACACTGCAGATTCACACTGGATTGAAATCGCTCCACAATTATTACCGTCAGACTGTAAAAACTACACACTGCAGATTCATACTGGATTAAAATCGCTCCACAATTATTACTGTCAGACTGTAAAACTACACACACTGCAGATTCATACTGGATTAAAATCGCTCCACAATTATTACTGTCAGACTGTAAAACTACACACACTGCAGATTCATACTGGATTAAAATCACTACAATTATTACTGTCAGACTGTAAAAACTACACACACTTCAGATTCACACTGGATTAAAATCAAGGATCTAAATTACAGAACTTCCCCATATGAAAGTAATCCTGCTCCAACAGCTTTACACACGTTCGTCTTACATTACTAATGAGGACTTCTATTAATTTCCATTGATCTACACTTAACCTAGCCCTAACCTTAACCTCAGTATGCAAAAAACAATCTTTCTGCTCTTTCAGTTTTTTTCCAAAAAAAAGCTGAATTTGTGATGAAAACAGCAAATGTTCAAGTGAGGACCAGTAAAAAAGGTCCTCACTCATACAAAATCTCACATGTCCCATCATTGTGACGACATTTGTTCCTCAAAACAACAGCAATAGAAGTACACACACTTACACACACATCCTTCCTGTAGTTAGGCACTGACTCACCTGGTTTTGGAGAATCAGTGAGGTTCAGCCAATAGGATGGCTGAATAGGGAAATAAAAAGGTCTGCCAATGCCGTACTGTCCTGAAACACACACACAGATGAAACAAACATGAACATATTGCTACTAGAAATATGACACTATGTGTATTGTATGCTGTTTAATACACACTACCTGGATACATACAGCATGCTTCTAAAATGTGGAGTGTGTGTGTAATTTGTAGCATGTCTCTTAAAGTGACAGTGCGCCAAAATATAAAATATAGACAAAAATATTCAAATAATGAGGCTAATATTTACTTATAATTTAAAACTGGTACACTGTTAGAAATAAAGGTGCTGTGCAGGTATATTTTTGTTCATCAAGGTACAAACAGTGTAAATGTTCCTCAAAGGTACAACAGTGGTTTTAAGGTCCGACTGTGAACCTTAAATAAGTTTTTCCAGGTGAAAAGTTCGTATTTGTATCTTTTCATAACCGAATGTTTTAAAACAGAACAGTAAAATAAAAGCCTGGAGACGAGACGGGGTGTGTGGAGTCAGTACAGCTTAGAACATATCATTTCAGTGGATTATGGTTCAGTTATGTTCCCTGACTAAAGGTACTGAGATGCACCCCTGAGGGAACCACCCCAGTGACCATTTAGTATCTTTATTTCTGAGAGTGTATTTAGGAGTATTTTATTTTCTTCAGTTACACAGATATCGTGATGTATTGTAGAGGATTGTCTTGCAATATATCGAGTATCACAGAATTGCAGTATTGTGATATCATCATTATCGTGGACAACGTAGCGTGATAATATCGTATCGTGAGATGCCCTGTGATTCCCACCCCCAGTACTGTAGCTGATCCTGTACCTGGGAACACACTGTCGAGATACCAGGCAAGAACAGCATAGAGCACAGTGTCCAGCAGCATCATGATGATGGAGGTGTGGAAGGAAAACTCATCTCCTTCTAGTGGGCTGGTGTGAATATTGTCCCACTGCAGCCCCAGGCCCTGCTCTTCATAGCGGGAGAGGTACTCCGTCCCAAAACCGAACGCCACCTGGGAGAGCAGGCTCTGACAAACAAAATCACAGAGAAACTGCCACTGAGAACAACGGACAAAATTACAACCACACAGACAAGTCGTTACATTATAGCTGTGGTTTTGTGGTATTCTTAATTATTACTGTCAGACGGAATCATACTGGATTAAAATCACTCTACAATTATTACAGTCAGACTGATTCATACTGCAGATTCATACTGGATTAAAATCACTCCACAATTATTACTGTCAGACTGTAAAACTACACACACTGCAGATTCATACTGGATTAAAATTGCTCCACAATTATTACAGTCAGACTGTAAAACTACACACACTGCAGATTCATACTGGATTAAAATTGCTCCACAATTATTACAGTCAGACTGTAAAACTACACACACTGCAGATTCATACTGGATTAAAATTGCTCCACAATTATTACAGTCAGACTGTAAAAACTACACACACTGCAGATTCATACTGGATTAAAATTGCTCCACAATTATTACAGTCAGACTGTAAAACTACACACACTGCAGATTCATACTGGATTAAAATCGCTCCACAATTATTACAGTCAGACTGTAAAACTACACACACTGCAGATTCATACTGGATTAAAATCACTCCTCAGTTATTACTGTCAGACTGTAAATAAAAATATTTTCTCAGAAAATTTAAAAAGTAATGCCATTTGATTGCACATCTTTTAAAACACAACAGTGTTTTTGTTTCAGACCAGGAAACAGTCCCTGTCCCACAGCCATACACAGTCCTAAGCAGAACCCCTATTACTGGACATTTACTAAAAGCAGTTTTTAATGTTATCAGTTGGAGGTAAACAGTGTGACATACTGCCATGATCTTCATGTCCTTGGTGATGCGGTCTTGCCAGGTGAAGCAGGCAAGGTGGGGTAGATAGAAGCTGAAGTAGAGGATCCCGCTGCAGGCCGCCGCCAAGTTGGCCTTGTTGAAGAAAACAGTCATCAGGAAACACTGCATGATGGTGGCCGTGGTGAAGGTGAGGAGGAAGAGGAAGAGGATGATGGGATTGCTGTAGTTCAGAACCTTCCCTCCCTTAAAACAAACAAAGAGAAAGCAAATGGTAATGCTACTGTGTGCATTCTTGAACTGCATAACCCAGTGTGACTCATACTGATGGCCACTAGAGGTCAGTGTGATACAGAAATAGCCAATAAACCAGAAGAGCACCTATGAGTAAACATGAGAAGAGAACTCAACGAAAATCAAAAACAACAGTGTGTTGTTGTTTTTTTTGCACCTCCTAATGCATTTTGGGACAGTGTTGAGTGTTTCTAATGTGTTTACTGATATCAGAGTGGCTTTTATTGTGTTCACTGCTGAACCTCAGCCCTGCTAAACTGACAGTGAGACTTTATTTGATTGTCTATGGAGAACATAGACTTGCATACAAGATCATATCACGCCATTTGGTTTTATCAACTGCTCTTACTCCCCAGTGTAAACGATCAGGCGTAACATTATGACCGCCTCCTTGTTTCTACGCTCATTGTCCATTTTATCAGCTCCACTTACTATATAGGTGCACTTTGTAGTTCTACAGTTACAGACTGTAGTCCATCTGTTTCTCTGATACTTTGGTCAGGACCCCCATGGACCCTCACAGAGCAGGTACTATTTGGGTGGTGGATCATTCTCAGCACTGCAGTAACGCTGACGTGGTGGTGGTGTGTTAGTGTGTGTTGTGCTGGTCTGAGTGGATCAGACAGCAGTGCTGCTGGAGTTTTAAACACTGTGTCCACTCACTGTCCACTCTATTAGACACTCCTACCTCGTCAGTCCACCTTGTAGATGTAAAGTCAGAGTCGACAGCTCATCTGCTGCTGCACAGTTTGTGTTGGTCATCCTCTAGTCCTTCATCAGTGGTCACAGGACGCTGCCCACAGGACGCTGTTGGCTGGATATTTTTGGTTGGTGGACTATTCTCGGTCCAGCAGTGACTCTGAGGTGTTTAAAACTCCAGCAGCACTGCTGTGTCTGATCCACTCATACCAGCACAACCTAACATTTCTGGGATTTTGTTTTGGTATTTTTTGGGTCAATTACAATTGCAATTATAAAGTATTTACATGTGACGGTCACACAGGTCATATGTTGTCATTACTGCTACTGAGCGCTGACTGGTTGGCATTACTGCTACTGAGTGCTGATTGGTTAGCATTACTGCTACTGAGCGCTGATTGGTTAGCATTACTGCTACTGAGCGCTGACTGGTTAGCATTACTGCTACTGAGCGCTGACTGGTTGGCATTACTGCTACTGAGCGCTGACTGGTTAGCATTACTGCTACTGAGCGCTGATTGGTTAGCATTACTGCTACTGAGCTCTGACTGATTAGCACTACCGCTACTGAGAGCTGACTGGTTAGCATTACTGCTACTGAGCGCTGATTGGTTAGCATTACTGCTACTGAGCGCTGACTGGTTAGCATTACTGCTACTGAGCGCTGATTGGTTAGCATTACTGCTACTGAGCGCTGACTGGTTAACATTACTGCTACTGAGCGCTGATTGGTTAGCATTACTGCTACTGAGCTCTGACTGATTAGCACTACCGCTACTGAGCGCTGACTGGTTGGCATTACCGCTACTGAGCGCGGATTGGTTAGCATTACTGCTACTGAGTACTAATTGGCTGGCAAATGGAGCAGCTCATTGGCTGTTCACGCTCACTGATGTCATGAATGTAAATAAAGCGCCATTTTAAACGTCTATAATTTGAGTTCAACAGCTCTTAAAACTATAACAGCAGCGTTGAAATGTTTTATGCTGTTCTGTGTTCAGGAACTGAATGTATTATTTTACATTAAAAATGTTTAAGCAGTTATAAACTATGATTTTGCGCAAATGCAAAACCCATTCAGTTTGGACTCACTCAGGAGCGCCCTCTAGCGTTTGAGAAGACATTACAGAGCGGTAATTCTCCTCTCTACAAGTTCTCAGATGTAATGACGTCTCTCTGGCGCTGTGTGAATGACATTAGATCTTTTCTGTCATCGCCGCTTTAACGATGCGTTTAGCGCTTAAACTCGCGATAACAATAAAAATATGATGCATCGTGCAGCCCTAGCTTGGACTCTGTGAAGCTGCTTTGTAACAATTGCATTTTATTAATAAATTTAGAACTGAACTGAACTCATTGGTGTTGCAAGAACATCAGTTATTACATCTTCTCAGGTCACAGTAGCTGCTTCCTCTTACCATGATGATGGCAGTGAGAAGGGCGGTGCTGGCGGCCATCATGAGGAAGCTGTCGATGAACCAGGCGCACCAGAGAACCTCGTTAGTGACGCCCATGGCCTTCAGGGTCTCCTTCAGCCTCATCTCCTTCTCCAGCACGATGCTCTTCACCATCATGGAGACCGAGTACACCCACGCCAGCACAATGAAGATGGGGAAACAGCGGCTCAGCGTCAGCATGAACCTGAATTACACACAATACACACACAGAGGGAGTGTATGAGAAAGAACACTGACAGCAGTACAACGTCAAGAGTTACAGCCTGAATGGGCAATGAAGAAAGAAACACGCGCAACTCTTGGTTTTATGGACATTTTATGAAAATGCTTCCCTGAACAAAACACTAGACAAGGTTTTTTCTCAGTGTAAGTAGTTTTCAGTAGCCAAACATCAAACCGTTTCAAGTTATTACTCATGCAACAACTGAATGTATGTGAAATATGTGACCTTCGATGGAAAAGACAGAATAAAGTATTGGCTGACTAGAAAGCTTGGAGCCCTCCTAAAAGGGTAATAAATGAAATGAAACAAACCTTTTTTAGCCAACTGCGTCTGAACACATCGGAATTAGACCTCCGCATTTAACCCATCCGGGCAGTGAAACACCACATACACACTAGTGGGCAGTGAGCACACTTGCCCGGAGCGGTGGGCAGCCCTATCCACGGCGCCCGGGGAGCAGTTGGGGGTTAGGTGCCTTGCTCAAGCGCACTTCAGTCACGTACTGTCAGCTGAGGGGATCGAACCGGCGACCTTCCAGTAACTAGGCTGGTTCCCTAACCTCCAGCCCATGACTTGCCCCGGCAGACTATGGACTATATGCAGTAGACTCTCTAATGGGGGAAGAGCTTCGGCGCTCACAGAAGAGAGTTGTACTAGATGATAGTTTAAGTTACAGCTGAGGTCCACTCTTGTACGTATATCAAGTCAAGTGAAAGTTTATTTATATAGCGCTTTTTACAACAGGTGTTGTCACAAAGCAGCTTTACAGAAAAATCCAGGTCTGAGCCCCCATGAGCGTCGCCAATGGGGACAGTGGCAAGGAAAAACTCCCTAAGAGCAACAGGAAGAAACCTTGAGAGGAACCAAGACTCAAAAGGGGAACCCATCCTCCTCTGGTCCACACCGGATATATATGTATATATGAATATGGAGGGTTGTGTGAGGTGGGCCTATGGAGAGTTGCGCAGGAGGGCCCTGTAAGGAGGGAACAGTCTGATAAGAGTCAGACCAGAGTGGGTTTTAAAAAAAGACATCATACGTGTTTGATTTAAAGGCTACCAAAAAAGGTGTAAGGTTTGGTATGGAGCTGAGTAAAAGGGGTGGGGAGATGACCTCATCACTCCAGAGGGGAATGAAAAGGGATGCTTTGAGATGATATTCGTACTGTGGTTGACCGGGAACCATCTTGCCATTTGATGATCAATAAAGCGAAGGCCTTTTCCTTCCTTCCACAAGAACTCAGCAGCTGAAGTCTTTTTCATTCCTTTATATCCTTTTTCATTTTTGTTGATATTCTTTGATTCTTTTTATTCTTTTTGAAGACTTTAGATTATAGACAGTTATTAGGGCAATAGTATAGATAATATTAGAGTTATTATAAATAACTTTATGAATATTTAAATATAGGGGGCAGTCGTGTGACCGGAAGGTCACCGGTTCGATACCCTGAGCCGACAGTACGTGACTGAAGTGCCCTTGAGCAGACACCCACCCCCCCAAATGCTCCCCGGGCGAAACTGAAAACTCTTTTAGGGAGGAAAAATTACACCATGCTATTGTTATGTTAGGGTTCCTGTCCAGCATCAGACCACAGCACAACCCAATTCTGATCCAACAAACCTAATCTAACTCAGTAGCTAATTACCAAGCTACAAGCTGAATCAGGTGTGCCAAAACAGGTAAAAAGGAAACTTGCACTGGTCAGAAACACAATCAGACTTACAGGTCATCCACATAGCATGGGTAAGGCATCTGCTGCAGATAGACGCCCAGAGGCCATTCTTTCCCCGTGTGGGTCTTTATGACCGCTTGCTCCACCATATCCTGCAGATAGGCAAACCCTCCCCACACATAGCGGAGGTCATCCATGGGGTCAGCTCGAGGACCAGGATCCCAGTACCTGACCACAAATGGAAAGACCAATCAGTACAGAGGGAGTGGGTCAAAGTACAGCAAACCAGAGGAACCAAGAAAGTGGCTAGAACCTTTTTGTGTGGGCTACTGTCTAAAAGGTATAGGTGTTAACGGTTTCTGTGTTCTGTCTACACACTTAAAAATGATGGTTCCTCAAGGGTTCTTTAGTAAAGAAAATGATTCTATATAGAACCATGAACACTCAAATTATTAAAGGGGTTCTTTGTATCGTCAAAGTGTTCTTCAGATTGATGGAGAATGTGCTGTAGATGGTTCTAAATATGCTGTAAAGCACCAAAAAGGGTTGTTCTATTGTAACAAGCCTGACATTGTAACTAGAAGAACCTTTTTGGTGCTATATAGAACCGTTCTCTATTGAGCCATCTACAGAACATTATCCATCCTTCCACGATGCAAGGAACCCCTTTAATCATGCAAAGGGTTCTTTGAGTGTTAATGGTTCTATATAGAACCATTTTCTTTACTAAAGAACCATTGAAGAACCATAAATACACAACAGTACACACAGAGAGACCTAGACTTTAACCTGTCTTTGATCTTGTTGGTGCGCTCCACAGCGTCGATGTCCATGCGGATCTTGAACTTGACATGGGGAGGGATTTTGGTGGTCCAGGGGTGCATGTCCACAAAGACCAGGCCGGCCCAAAACTTATTCTCAGAGATCAGGTCCAGAGCTTGGTGGGTCAGCTGGTTCTCATCCGGGAGACCCACGAACTTATCCAGAACTAGACACTACAAAAAATAATCACAAATAAATAAAGAAAATAAATATAATAGACATATTATATTTATTTTAATATATATATATATATATATATATATATATATATATATATATATATATAAAAAAATAATGTTTTTTTACTGGTGCACAATGAGAGTCCTGCTGAATTACTTGCTGAGAATGCATTTTTATTAAATTGACTTAAAGGGTAATTCCACCAATTTTTGGAGACTTACTGACTCTTTACAGTGGTGGTGATAGGAACCAGGGGTCACCATGACTACAACACAAATATAGACATTTTATTTACCATCCAATAAATGTGAACATTCATGTCTTCTAGGTTTTGAACTACAATGCTGATGATGGTAAAATACTTAATAAACCTGAAAAAATATATTTTCTTTGGATACTATTCTGCCCTATACCATGATTTCATTTTCTTTTTGAAAAATATATTTTAGACCAAAACCTTCTCAAAACTATCATAAAACAATGTCTCAGAGCATATTCCTCACTTTGTAAGGGAGCTTTTGGAGGCATTAAACCTCAGACGTCTGGTTCCTATCACCACCACTGTGAACAGTTCTGAAGCCAGATTCACGAAAGTGTCTTAAGAAAGAAATTCTTAAATGTGTTTTTCTTCATTCTTGAGAAAAAAAGGTAGGAAAAAATGTTATTCTTCAAATAACTTCTTAAGAACTTCTTGAGATTTTCTTCTTAACTCTTTCCTCAAGAATAATTCTAAGAACAAGTGCTATTCCTGAAAACATGTTCTTAAATGTTTTCTTAACCTTATGACAGCCTCACACAGTCTCAGGCTGCAAGAGTTGACATGATTTGATCTAAATCAGTTATCAAACACGTACATTGCTTCTGCTACTCCTGCCCATCCTCATCTCTTGCTTTCCGGAGAGGATTCTTCCATCATCACCATTATTTATTATTTGCTATTTTTTAACACTTGGTTTGGTGTTTTTATTCTATTTAGCTCCTCTCAGTGAGCTAAATAACAGAAAAATCGGTTAATACAAATTCTAAATATATCTCATGTTGTTTATGGTAAGCTGTAAAATGCACTATATAAGAAAACAGTGGAGATTTTCTTAGAAAAATCTTAAGGAGATAATTAAGATTATTTTAAGAGAATATCTGAGGACTTCTTAAATTTTTTCAAGAATTGAATTTAAGAACATTCTTATGTTCATCTTAGTGTTTGTCTTAAGAACCTTCGCAAGTTTTTCTTAAGAAAGTTTTCGTGAATCCGGCCCCAAGAGTCTGAGAATGTTCTTACATGCAATTCTTGAACAAAAAATCTTAAGAAATTCTCAAATCTCTCTTAAGATAATCTTAATTATTTTCTTAAGATTTCCTAAGAAATTGAATTTACTCTAAATGACGCAAGATACGTTTTGAATTTGTATTAACTGTTATTTACATTATTTAGTTTAATCCACTCAGAGGAGCAAACTGGAGGAAAACATCAAACCAAGTGTTTAAACAAACCAATTTTTAGCGAACAATACCTACAAGTAATGGTGGAAGAAACCGCCAATAGGATAATACCTATATTTTTGTCAATAAATTGACAAATTTACAACCCCATTTCCAAAAAATTTGGGATGTTGTGCAAAATGTAAATAAAAAGAAAATGCAATGATGTGCAAATCATTTCTCAACATAAAATAGCAAAGAACTTTGCTTTTCATCATCTATGGTATATAATATCATTAAAAGATTAATAGAATCCGGAGAAATCTCTGTATGTAAAAGACAAGGCCAAAAACCAGTATGAGCTGCTGAAATCCTGCATCAAACAAGAAAGGAAAACATTTCACTTTCAGAACTACAGCAGTGTCTCCTCAGTTCCCAAACGCTTACAGAGTGCTGTTAAAAGAAGAGGTAAACAGGCCCCCGTCCCAACTTTTTTGGAACATGTTTTTGGCATCAAATACAAAATGGACATATATTTTTCAAAGAACAATAAAATTTCTCAGTTTCAACATTTGGTATGTTGTCTTCGCAGTTTTTTCCTTTAAAAATGTGGTTTACTTGATTTGCACATCATTGTGTCTTATTTTTATTTACATTCTACACAGTGTCCCAACTTTTTTGGAAATGGGGTTGTAGATGTTTACCTCTTAACTCTCAACTGTTACAGCTTAAGATAAATGTGGGGCTATTGTAAGGTTATTAAACGTTTAAGAAAATAATATTTTCACAACTAGCACTCGTTCTTAGAATTATTCTTAGGAAAAAAGTTAAGAAAAGAAAATAAGATAATCCTTAAGACATTATTTAAAGAATAACATTTTTTCATAACTTTTTTCTTAAGAATGAAGTTAAGAAAGGTTCCAGAGTGGTGCAACTGTCTAAGCGTTGGCCCTGCCATCAGGAGATTGTGAGTTTGATCCTTGATGATGCTGCAGCCATGGCCGGGAGTCCAAGAGAGCACAATTGGCCTCTCTCTCTCTCTCTTTTTTTTTTTAAGAAAAAACACACATTTAAGAAGATTTTCTTTCTTAGGACACTTTCATGAATCAGACCCCTGATTTTCTAGAGTGTCTTTAAGGTCTTCATGTCTTTAATTATGTAGAATTTGGAAAAGTCGCCTCGCCCACACAAAAAGGAAAGACATGGAACTGAACAGGACTAAAGAGAACTGAGTGTAAGAAAACTGAACTGATAATGACTGAAACTGTACTGAATTCCACTGAAGTGAACTGAACCTCACTGAGCCATATCAGAGTGTCTCAGAGGAAACTCAGCGATACTCGGTTGCCCTTCCAAAAATGCCCTTCCATAGCGCTCTTATTGTCTCAGTAAGTCTCGGCGCTGGGCTCAGGGACCTCACAAAAGCCCGTGCCAAAGTTCACATTCTCTCCTTCTCTGCTTGACAGCTCAATGCTGGACTCCCATTACGGCCGGACCGTGTCAGATTGAGCAATGCGGCCGGAGAAACCTGCACTTCAGCACTTTAGCACTTCAGCACTGACATCCACAGTGTGTCTGCTGCCCACCCAGCCGAACGTCAGCTTAATTAAATTGTTGTGTGTTAATTTGTGTGGAGTTGGCCTGTGATAGCAGATGCCCGCTGTGGTCCCGGGTGCCTATAGGGCCTGTCTCTTTGTGGGCGGCTGAAAGGAGGGCCGAGTGGACTGACAGCTGTACCTAATTGGGCTCAATCGGAGGGGTTTGTCACCCCCGAGTGTGGCAGGCTGAGGCAGAGACAAAGACTGAGAGGGTCTGAGAGCTTTACACTTAGACAGCAGCGGTGTTGCTTTCTCTGCCCCATACAGCGGGGGCCTCACTCTGATTAGGCTGAAGGGTGCTGGGCTTTGAGCCCCACTGCTGAAGGACCCTCTGGACACTGCTGCGCTCTCGGGGAGAAATCGCCGCTTTTTCTTTCTGCTACTCCAGATCAGCAGAGCACAAAGGGGCTGAGAGTCTGTCCTTTCTGTCTCCGTCTCCTCGCGGGATTTTCCATATCCGAGTGTACAGGCAGAGCGGAGAGTGGAAGGATGATCACCCACCCAGAGTGAAGCTGAGCTGACCTGTCATTCCAAAATCTCTCCAAGAAAAACACAACACAAAGACCTTCGTTTTGGTACACGTTAAAGGGGAATTCCACTGCTTTTTCAACAGTTCAGTCGTGGAGGTGTAAACATGTCATTTAGAGTGGTTTGATGAGACTTGCGGGTTCTTTTCTGTGGGTCTATTTAGCCTCAGAACACCCTGTATGTACCCTTCTGCCATGAATTCATAAAAAAAAACAAAAAAAAACAAAACAAAACAAAAAAAAATATATATATATATATTTAGACTACTTTAACTCTGAGTTACCTGCTAGAGATACTGGCAAATACATACATACATACATACATACATACATCATCTAAACCACTTATCCTTCTGGGTCGCGGTGGGGTGCTGGAGCCTATCCCAGCTGTCATTGGGCAAAGGCAGGATACACCCTGGACAGGTCGCCAGTCCATCGCAGGGCAGACAGACAGACATACACAATCACACACACACACACACACCTAGGGGCAATTTAGCATGTCCAATCAGCCTGACTGCATGTTTTTGGACTGTGGGAGGAAACCGGAGTACCCGGAGGAAACCCACGCAGACACGGGGAGAACAGGCAAACTCCACACAGAAAGGACCCTGGTCGTCCAGCAGGGAATCAAACCCAGGCCATTCTTGCTGTGAGGCGACAGCGCTACCCACTGCGCCACCGTGCCGCCTACTGGCAAATAGAACTATGTATTTAGTCTATAATTCATGGACAATTGCTGTAATAGAGGGGTTTCTTTTTCTCCCTTCTTCTTGTATGTGTGGTCTTGTTTATTGTATGATTGTATGTGTTGCATGTTGTTTACATTCAAAAAGTCAATAAAAATATTTGAATAACAGTTTTCTATTAATTATTTCTCACTCAGGGCTCACTGATCCAAGCAGAGACATTCTGTAAAAAGTAAACTTTCAACCCAAACCATTTCTGTATCTGTAAGCAGAAGAGGAGATACTTTACGATTTGAATTTAATGTAAAGTTATTATCGTGTTTACAGTCCTGATTTGCAGAAAGAAAAAACGTCCTACACAGAGGAGCCCACCTCCATCTTTCTCACCTCTCCATACTGACTGATCATCCGCAGCGCTCTGTCAGTCAGGTTGAAGATGTTCCTCCAGTCAAAGCGGACCATGCCGGCGTCCCGCTCCTCCTCCGGGCCGGTGTACAGGAAGTTGAGGATGTGCCTGACAGTCAGCTTGCTGTCCTTCAGACCCCGGTCCATGTAGTCCATCACTGAGGGGTTCCTCATGATGTCCTAACAGAGGAAATCAGATAAAAGCTGATAAGCCAAGAATTCATATCAACCATTTTTAACATAACTAACCCAAACAGAAGTGTGACACTCATGACAGCTGACCTGTTAGGTTTTAGTGGATGTGCTGAGTTGTGCTTTCAGAACCTGGAACCCTTTTATATGTATAGTTTCATGAAAAGGTTTTAACACCCTGAGTCAAATGACATTTGGTTGATTTTGTAAGTGAAAATAAGTTAATGCATCCTATTCAGAGTCCACACTTCTGCACACCTTAATGCACAATTACTGTTTATTTGCTGAGTTGAACATATTGGAAAAAAAATGTATATAATATAAATAAAATCTAAATTATAAGATTGCACAGGTCAGTCAGGTGTTGAATTCAGGTGTTTCAGCCACACCCATTGCTAACAGGTGGATAAAATTCAGCACATAGTCTTGCAGTCTCCATAGACAAACTGGCAGTATAATGGGTCGTACTGAAGAGCTCAGTCACTTTAAACATGGCGCTGTCGTAGGATGCCACCTCTGCCACAAATCAGTTTGTGATTTCTGTCCTGCTAGATCTGCCCCAGTCAACTGTAAGTGCTATTATTGTGAAGTGGAAGCACCTCAGAGCAACAACAGCTCAGCCATGAAGTGGTAGACCACAGAAACTCACAGAGCGGAGCCGATGACTGCTGAAGCGCACAGTGTCTATCCTCTGCTGAATCACTCACTAAAGAGCTCCAAATTGCCTCTGGAAACAACATCAGCAAATGAACTGCGCATTAAGAGCTTCAGGAAATGGGTTTCCATGGCTGAGCAGCTACACAGAAACCTAAGATCAAAATGCACAATACAGAACATCGGATGGAGAGGAGTAAAGCGCCGCCACTGGACTCTGGATCAGTGGAAACATATTCTATGGAGTGACGAATCAGCTTCTCTATCTGTCAGTCTGATGGACGAGTCTGGGTTTGGCGAATGCCAGGAGAACGTTACCTGCCTGACTGCACTGTGCCAGCTGTAAAGTTTGGTGGAGGAGGGGTGATGATATGGGGCTGTTTTTCAGGGGTTGGTCTAGAACCCTTAGTTCCAGTGAAGGGAAATCTTAATGCTTCAGCACCAAGACATTTTGGACAACTGTACACTTCCAACTTTGTGGGAACAGATTGGGGAAGAACCTTTTCTGTTCCAGCATGACTGAGCCCCAGTGCACAAAGCAGCTCCATTAAGGCCTGACTGAGTGAGTTTGGTGTGGAGGGACTTGACTGGCCCTCACAGAACCCTGACCTCAACCCCATCAAACACCTTTGGGATGAACTAGAACAGAGATTGTAAGCCAGGCCCTCTCGTCCAACATCAGTGTCTGACCTCACAAATGACCTTCTGGATGAATGGACAAAAATTCCCACAGACTCTCTCCAACATCTTGTAGAAGCTTCCCAGAAGAGTGGAAGCTGTTACAGCTGTAAAGCGGGACCAACTCCACGTTAATGTCTATGGATTTAGAATGAGATTCATAAAAGCTCCTGTAGGTGTCCCAATACTGTTGTCCATACAGTGTGTATATATAGGAGTGAGGAATTAAACATCTGGACCCTCTGGCAGCTCCTAGACACCTAAAAAGGAATTTTACTGATCTCTCAGAATTTCTGCATAATTAATTCTGAGTCTGTAAGTTTCTCCACAGTGAACCATTTCACACCAAACCACTCTGAATGACTTTGAGTATCTCTGTGATTGAATCATGTGAAAATTCTTGAAAAAAAAAAAAGAGATACATAGATCATGTTTTGTGTTTCTTTCTTTTAGTTCTTCTTCTCTTTCTCTCTTTTAAACTCTCTCTCTCACCCGTAGCATGTCCATCTGGATGTTGTCCTGGAAGAAGTCCCACAGCTGTGGACCCACCTCCTCCCACGACCTGATGATGTTCCTCAATCTCTCCAGCTCCTCAAACGTGGAGTTGGCCTATAGACACAAAAACACTTACTGTCGTTCCTTCTCACCACTGACAATGTTGAGTGAGGAATAAAATACAGACAGTTAACGACACAAAAACTACACAAACAAACAAACTGGAACCAGAACGCTTCCATACGATAAATCAACAACCCAATAAGCCGAACGATAAAGGAGTAAAACTCCCTTCTCTGAGATAAAATCACAGTAACGCACGGCCTTAAGTGGTTTATTGCTTTTATAAAACTATGGCCACACAAAACAATTTTTCAGAAAATAATTAATTATTAACTTAATTGTGGACATAAACAAGTATTCGGCCAAGAAATGTAGTTCCTTTAGAGTACGGTACTGTTCCCAAGCAACCATGGACCACTGAATGAGGAGTTCGGCCCCCCATCGCTGTAAATTTCAGTCATTTCTTGAACTTGTTAACTTTTTGTTGCGAAACAATGAACGTATGATATCACAGCACTGTTTAATGCAAAAACCTTCGCTTTATAGGTACATTTTTGTCACCAAATTAGCACCAATCCAGCGAGGCCCCTCTTCTAACTCTGGGGCTGAATCTCAAATAACTCCCTGCTCCCTACATAGTGCACTACGTAGGAGTTTAAATACTGGATGCTGCAGCCCAACAGAGCAAAATACAGCTAAGAAATAGTCATTTGGGACTCATCCACACTCGATAGATGATGCATTTGGCTATTTTTCTGTAGAGCCTAGAAATTAAAATCTTCCATAGCACGATATTTAGGGAATACGGAGCCGTTTGGGATGCAGTCTGGGTTTGACGTGACTTCTGACTGAAACACGGACAGTTTTTTATGAAAGTGACTTTTATATTGCAGTTTTACAGTGAATTTACAGAGCCCTGCTGGTGACGTCCCGTATAAATAAAAAGGCATGGGAATGAGATAACTAAGTCATTGCCACCACTTAGTAAGGCGTGGAAACGACATCATGCCTTAATGAGTCGTGGTCACGCATTAGGATTTCATTCCCACACCTTATTAATTCATAGCCATGCATTAGGATCTTGTTCTCAAAGTCGTGGCCACAACCTAATTATCTTGTTCCCACGCCTTACTAAGTTGAGGCCACGCATTTATTTGTATTTATACAGGATGCCACCAGCCGGGCTCCATATGAATCATATCGTAAGTACTTTAAATTCAAAAGGATTCTGTGTAGCACCAAAAAGGGTTCTTCTATTGTTTACAATGTCAAGCTTGTAACTACAGAAGAACGCTTTATGGTGCTATATAGAACACATCTCAAAAAGGTTCTATATAGAACCATCTATGGCACATTCTCCATCAATATGTATAACACTTTCACAATGCAAAGAACATTTTAATCATGCAAAGGGTTCTTTGAGTGTTTATGGTTCTATATGGACGATATTCTTTACTAAAGAACCCTTGAAGAACCATCTTTTTTAAGAGTGTATGTAAAGCTGTGAAGCAATGAAGCCATATGGGCACAATCACCGCCGTATCTGCCTGTGTGATGGTGGCGATGGCCAGTGATGTGTTTCAAAGTGTTTTGAACACATGCGAATGTTTCTAACAGTGTGTTTTCATGGAAGGTTTTGTTTATGAATGAAGAACTTTCCATCACTGCTCCGTTAAAAACTGGAATATCCGGTTTGTCGTCGTCCATCCACCACCAACATGTAAACACAGCAATGAATCCCAACCTTTTTGTGTTTGGGAGCCAAACAAGTCACCTACTCGTCAAATATCTGATGGAACTGACGCAAAGAAATGAGAAGAATGGTCAGTTGGTGGTGAGGGTCCGGCTGATTTCCCTCAGGAGAAGCTTGTAGAGTCTCACTGTCAGGCCAGCATGGCACACACTGACACCGGAGCGTGCTCAGGCCTGCAGGGACTGCTGACGTGGCCCGGCGCCCAGAACCTCTCTAGCGTGGCCCGACGCTACACTCTATTTGATAGGGTGAGGAGCTCGGGCATCCGGGAGGAGCTCGTCTACTCCTCTGCATTGAGAGGAGCCAGCTGAGGTGGTTCGGGCATCTGATCCGGATGCCCCCCCGGACGCCTCCCGGTGGGGGTGTACCAGGCACGGCCTACCAGGACAAAACCCCGGGGTCGTCCTAGGACCTGCTGGAGGGATTATATCTCCAAGTTGGCCTGGGAGCGGCTTGGGGTCCCCGGGAATGAGCTGGAGGAAGTTGCGGGGGGGACAGGGTCGTCTGGGATTCTCCGCTCTCCCAACTGCTACCGTGACCCTATCTGGACTAAACAGTTAACGATGATGATGATGATGATGATGATTCTATAGATTATTGAATATATAATCATATATTCTATATAGATCCATATATTAAAAAGTTCTTTGCATCATGAAAGTGTTCTTCAGCTTGATGGAGAACATGTTGAATATGGTTCTATATAGAATATGGTTCTGTATAGCACCAAAAGGGTTCTTCTATTATTACCAGCTTGACATCATAACAATAGAAGAACCCTTTTTGGTACTATGTAGAACCCTTTTTAAAAAGGTTCTACATAGAACCATTTTCTTTACTAAAGAACCCTTAAAGAACCATCATTTTTAAGTGTGTAACTGCATCAAAATTTGATCATCATCTCTGAGATATGAGCCATTCTGAATATTTAATTTATTACTTTAATCTGAATCAGTTTCATTTAATTTTTGATATTATTTTCATTCTCAGTCATTTAAACTAATTTACAGCAAATGTTCATCAGGTTCATCTAGTTTCTATCAACTATAACAACAACAACAACAATAATAATAATAATAATAATAATAATAAGTTTAGCTTTTTAGTTTGCTAATTATTTGAAACTTGCAAACTTGTGAACTTGCGAAGGTCTAGAATGTAAGAATCATTTTAAACATTTATTTACAAACAAATTGTTTATAATTTACAAACTTAAAGAAGAAGGTTCTTCAAGGGTAAACAAAATAGTTCTATATAGAACCATGAACACTCAAAGAACCCTTTGCATTATTAAAGGGTTCTTTGCATCATGAAAAGGTTCTTGAGATTGATGGAGATGATTCTGCTTTTATTATGATGTCAGGCTTGTTACAATAGAAGAACCCTTTTTAGTGCTATATAGAACCATCTACAGCACATTCTCCATTAATCTGAAGAACCATTTCACAAAGGGTTCTATTTAGCACCAAAAAGGGAACTGCTATTGTTATGATGTCAGGCCTTTTACAATAAAAGAACCCTTTTTAGTGCTATATAGAACCCTTAAAAAGGTTTTATATAGAACCATCTACAGCACATTCTCCATCAATCTGAAGAACCATTTCACGATGCAAAGAACCACTTAATCATGCAAAGCGTTCTTTAGTAAAGAAAATGGTTCTTTATAGAACAATAAACACTCAAAGAACCCTTTTGCATGATTAAAGTGTTCTTTGCATGGTGAAAAGGTTCTTCAGATTGATGGAGAATTTGCTGTAGATGGTTCCATATAGATCCCTTTTGAAAAAAGTTCTATATAGCACTAAAAATGGTTCTCCTGTTGTAGAAGGCCTGACATCATAACAACAGCAGTTCCCTTTTTGGTGCTAAATAGAACCCTTTTCAAAAAGGTTCTGTGTAGAAATGTGTACAACACACTCAATCTGAAGAACCTTTCACGATTGAGTGTGCATGGCTCTATTTAGAACCATTTTCTTTACTAAAGAACCCTTGAAGAACCATCATTTTTAAGTGTGTACTGAAAATGCTGCACCCAAACTTTTGAAGGGCAACGTTTATCTCCCTAATTCTGGGTAGGCGGTCAGGGTGTGAAACTCAAGGCCTTCAGTGCAGTGGGGTCAGTCAGCCTGGAGGAAAGACGCTGGGCGGCCCGGCCGGTGTGTTGGTATCACTCTGCGATGGCTTATCTGTAACCCCTCTTTCAAGGCAGGTCAGATTCCCACCAGAGGAAAGCAGAGAAGAAAGAGAGCCTCAGGGCCACACAAGGGAAGTGTGTTTGAGCAGCACTCGGCCGTGCAAAGCCTCAGGCCCGCTTACATAACAGTGAGACAGAACACAAGGCAAGCGGGCTCGACTGCAGAGCTGCTGATACCTCAACTCAGCCAGTCCTCACTCAAAATGCTAATGACTATAATGCAAACACTGACTGAGAGATACAGAATGGAAGCTAATACTGAACTCCAGCACATAATCAGGACAGCAGAGAGGATCATTGGATGTATCTGCCAGGGCTTCAGGACATCTACAACAGCAGGGTGATGAAGCACACTGACAAAATTACAGCTGACCCCTCTCATCCTGGACATCACCTTTTACAGACACTTCACTCTGGTAGAAGATGTAAGACCATCAAAACCAGCACAGCCAGACATGCTAACAGCTTCTTCCCAAGAGCTGTAGCTCATCAACCACAGTGGACAGTTTAAAACTACACTAAACCAACAGCCTCCACACTGTATTACAGTAACTTCTCTGTAAGACAAAGCTTATTTAAACAGCTGTACAGATGTTACATTTTTACAATAATAATAATAATAATAATAATAATAATAATAATTTTAGCTTTTTAGTTTGCTACTAATTATTTGAAACTTGCAAAGGTCTAGAATATAAGAATCATTTTAAACATTTATTTACAAACTAATTGTTTATAATTTACAAACTTAAAAAAGATGGTTCGGTAACACTTTACTGTTGGGTGCTGTTCATAAGACTACATGATACCTACATAAGATAGTCATTACAACTGACATAATCCTACATAACTGTTTATAAATTCTTGTTCCAATAAGCATCATTTGCTATAAAGGTTACATTTGCCAATTTTGATAGCCTTTGATAGTAGCCTTTATGTCAGATGACGCCTGTTGTAATAAGCATTTATAAACAGTTATGTAGGGTTATGTCCGTTGTAATGACAAACTTATAGAGGTGTCATGTAGCCTTATGAACAGCACCCTATAGTAAAGTGTTACCGATGGTTCTTCAAGGGTAAAGAAAATTGTTCTATATGGAACCATGAACACTCAAAGAACCCTTTGCATGATTAAAGGGTTCTTTGCATCATAAAAAAGGTTCTTCAGATTGATGGAAAAAAAAGAATTTATATAGAACCATCTACAGCACATTCTCCATCAATCTGAAGAACCATTTCACAATGCAAAGAACCATTTAATCATGCAAAGTGTTCTTTAGTAAAGAAAATGGTTCTGTCTAGAACCTTGAACACTCAAAGAACCCTATGCATGATTAAATGGTTCATTGCATTGTGAAATGGTTCTTTAGATTGATGGAGAACGTGCTGTAGTGTCTGGACATCACCTCCTCCAGACACTTTTCTCTGGTAGAAGATTTAAGACCATCAAAACCAGCACAGCCAGACACGCTAACAGCTTCTTCCCCAGAGCTGTAGCTCATCAACCACAGTGGACAGTTTAAAACTACACTAAACCAACAGCCTCCACACTGTATTACAGGAACTTCTCTGTAAGACAAAGCTTATTTAAACAGCTGTACAGATGTTACATTTTTACTAATGGGCAGTCGTGGGCTGAAGGTTAGGGAACCAGCCTTGTGACCGGAAGGTCGCTGGTTTGATCCCCTGAGCCGACAGTACATGACTGAAGTGCCCTTGAGCAAGACACCTGACCCCCAACTGCTCCCTGGGTGCTGTGGATAGGGCTGCCCACTACTCCGGGCAAGTGTGCTCACTGCCCCCTAGTGTGTGTGTTCACTAGTGTGTATGTGGTGTTTCACTGCACGGATGGGTCAAAATGTGGACGTGAAATTTCCCTGTTGTGGGACTAACAATGGTCACTTAACTAACTAATTATTTACATACGTTTCTTGATTAATCTACATACTTATATTTGATTATATTAAATAATCTACATACATTTGATTATCTTGCATAATTTACATACTTACTTTAGATTACCTAATGTTCATTTCACTCTGCGATATTCTGCATATAATGGTTATTATACTATATGTTCTGGTTCTGATTCTGAATGAGACTGTGTTTACTGTATCCAACTAGTGTTGAAGTCAGCCAGGTGGGCATCTGAAGATGCCCACCTACAGTCTTATGGTCATTATCTGAGGTGTCCAAAGCACCAATATCTGAGTTTGTGGCTAGCTTGTGTGATTCTGGGCTGGAGCATACTGTGAAAATCTTTGGTGGTATTAACGGTAACACTTTCTTTGAATTTGTAAGCATCTAAGATTTGTAAGCATCTATAAACACATTTATAACATGTTATAATGCCTTCATACGGCATTATAAACATGATTATAAACATTTATAACAATGAATTACACTGGAGTACACTATATAGCCATGTTTATTATACATTATGAATTGTTAATATAATGCATTATAAGTAGTGTTGATAACATGTTATAATGTCTGTGCCAAAGAAGTCAGTCCCAGCTTGGAGAGCGTAAAGTAAAGACAAATACCAAGCTAACGGTGGTGAACATTACCTTTCCCACATTGGGTAAAACACTGATGGCAGCACTAGTTTAAACATTTGAAGCCTGTAATGTGCTTTATTGTGTATGTTTTAGTGTTTCAGTAAATCCTTCAGTAAATACTTCAACTTGAAGCCTCACTCTGAACACTGGAGGAGGCTTTAGTACAGTACGCTTCACGTTACTTAGAGCGGACAAATACGACTTATGAGCTCTTATAATTTGTTATGATCAATACTTATAATGTATTATGTTAACAATTCATAATGCATAATAAGCATGGCTATAAGGTGTAATGCATTTTTATAAATATTTATAGCCATGTTTATAATGCCTTATGAATGCATTATAACATGTTATGAATGTGTTTATAGATGCTTACAAAGTTGACATTCATAGAAAGTCTTACCATATTAACTTTAAGAAAAAAGTCACAAACTGGGCATAAAATTTTGAGGTCAGTGAATTCCAAAGTTAACTATTCAATTAACTAAACTAAACAGCCTGGTTACAAACTTTAAGTTAACTCCTTAAAATCCCAGGTTTATTACATACTAAGGCTAATTATTCAGTAACTACAGGGACTTCAATGCAAACTAGCTGAGCTATTCTTAGGTTATAGAAGTGTGTAATAAAACTTTGGGCCGGTGGGCTCCGGCCATTTAAGGGGTTAAAACAACATTTTTGAACAGTGTAACAGGTGCAAGGAAGTTGGAACAGCATCACAGATACTACCAAGTTGTGAAGACTAGCACACGCCTCCTCTAAGATACATGAAGTACCACCACATCTTCTCAAGCTGGGACAGCTTAACACACTCAGAGGAGAATGCTAACTGCTCAACTGTGAAGGCATGAGCTAACAGACACCCCTGATTGGCTGGCATCCAGGACAAAACCTTGGTCTGGCCTGTTATCCTTCCTTTCCAAGTAATTTCATTGTCATGTTTCCTCGTTCTCTTACTTGACTACACTCATACAACACTCTGCCTTTTAGCTGAAAAGTACCACAAGCGCTTTATGACCAGCATTTTTATTCTCTTACGTTCTTGATGAGCTGACGGATGGCGGGTGAGTCAGGACTGTACAGGATCTTCCCCATCAGGAACGGCTTCAGCGTGTTCCACACAAGCCTGGTTGCCGGACTAGACTCCAAATCCTTCATAACATTATTACAAAATGAAGCTGAAAGAGAACGAGAAAGGAAGAAATGAGAGATTTTCAGAAAAATAACCACACAGACTCCAAAAATAACAGGAAAAATTATTAACCCCTTAAAATCCCATCTTTATTACATACTAAGGCTTATTATTCAGTAACTACAGGGACTTTAATGCAAACTGGCTGAACTGTTCTTAGGTTCTAGATGTGCATAAAACTTTGGGCCTGCTGTGGGCTCTGGACATTTAAGAGGTTAATTATTACATTAATAATAACAAGAAGTTTATTCATAGCACTTCTTTATACAACAAAAAGGGTTCTTCTATTGTTACAAGTTTGACATCGTAACCATGGTAGAACCCTTTTTGTTGCTTCATATAACCCTTTTAAAAATGTGCTATATAGAACCATCTACAGCACATTCTCCAATTTGAAGAACACTTTCATGATGCAAAGAACCCTTTAATCATGCAAAGATTGATGGAAAATGTGCTGTGTATGGTTCTATATAGAACCTTTTTGAAAAGTGTTCTATGTAGCACCCAAAAGGGTTCTTCTATTGTTATGGTGTCAAGCTTGTAACAATAGAAGAACACTTTTGGGTGCTCTATAGAACGCTTTTCAAAAACGTGCTATATAGAACCATCTACAGCACATTCTCCATCAATCTGAAGAACCCTTTCAAGATGCAAAGAACCCTTTAATAATGCAAAGATTGATGGAAAATGTGCTATGTATGGTTCTATATAGAACCTTTTTGAAAAGTGTTCTATGTAGCACCCAAAAGGGTTCTTCTATTGTTATGGTGTCAAGCTTGTAACAATAGAAGAACACTTTTGGGTGCTCTATAGAACACTTTTCAAAAACGTGCTATATAGAACCATCTACAGCACATTCTCCATCAATCTGAAGAACCCTTTCAAGATGCAAAGAACCCTTTAATAATGCAAAGATTGATGGAAAATGTGCTATGTATGGTTCTATATAGAACCTTTTTGAAAAGGGTTCTAGGTAGCACCCAAAAGGGCTCTTCTATTGTTACGGTGTCAAGCTTATAACAATAGAAGAACCCTTTTGGGTGCTATATAGAACCCTTTTCAAAAAGATTCTATATAGAACTGTCTAAAGCACATTCATGCACATTTTCCATCAATCCGAAGAACCCTTTCATGATGCTAAGAACCTTTTCATTATTCAAAGGGATCTTTGAGTGTTCATGATTCTATACAGAACCATTTTCTTTACTAAAGAACCCTTGAAGAAGGGTATTGGACATGTACACCATACTGGGGCTTATATGTCTTCACAGTCAGGGCTTCCTTGAAAAAATGGCTGGCGGGACTCTGTTCTCTGTTGTAAACTCTAAGATCAGCTCTCAAATCGCTCTAGAACCGACACCAAAAAACGTGCACTCACTAGCGGAGGGGTCATAGGAGTGTTCTCCCTGGCTCCGGGTGTTGTTGATGCCCAGAAAGGCCTTGTAGTTGTTGTCTTCGTACCAGTTGAAGGAGGTCACTCTGGAAAAAGCTCCCTCCGTGTAGCCGCAGATTAGGCTGGAGGCGGCGGCCATCAGCTGGCTGAAGGAGGGGTTTCCCGGGGACTGGAACAGGGGCCACAGCACCTGAACAAGCTCTTTGAAACTGCTCCTCTCAAATAACTGCACAGAAAACAGGACCATGAGGCATGCTGGGACACGGAAGGGTCTACAGTACAATGCACTTCAGTTCACGTACAATGCAGCCTGGAGCTTCTTTTACACAGGGATAGAAAACATGTTAACATACTAAAAGCTCCAATTCCACATACTGATCCATTTTACTATGACCAGCATAGACATTAATGCAATAGTGGTGAGTTTCATTAGTTAAGTGGGTCAAAGACAAAGTCTCTGAATGTATCTCCAGTAAGACATGCACACTTTGGAGACTGCAGCCCACCCCAGTACATATCTAGAACCTGTTTGTCATTTCAGTGTAATCTAGCTTACCTGTTTTGAAACTTCCCATCTTGTTATTTAAAGTAATTATCTAGTACTTTGGAGTTTGTGCCTCTTACCTGGTTAAGATCTAGAACTGGGCTCTTTTACTGCCCTGTTGTGGCTCCACAGCAGGATTAGATTTGTAGGTAAAAATAAAATAATCCTCCTTTACAGTAAAATAAAGCTCTGCTGATCGTTCAACACAGTTTAACAGTAAATGGTCTTAAATGCTGGAGTTAATGTAGAACTGCTAATTCACCCTTTAACCCTGACGATCAGCGCAGACTGCTGGTCACCATAGCAATGCAGACAACAATCTCGCCTAGCTAGTAACTAACGACACGGCAATTAGAGAGATTTAAGATGAACATCGATGGAACCTCCCAAAGTACAAAAGCACTTTGTACTTTTTGTTCCTTGTTGCACCGTGTTATTCCTGGAGGAACCTAATTTCACTCCACTGTGTACTTTTACATAGGTGGAATGACAATAAAAGCCTCTTGACTTGACTTGACTTGATAATTTGGAGATGAATGGATTTCGCATTTATAATCACTCCAGCTGGTTTCCTGATACGTTTAATCTGCAATGATAAACTGGCAAACACTAAAAAGTCACGAAGCTGAAGTCAGTTTCTCATTCATCAGCTTCTTGTTCCAATTTTCCTGCTCCACCTTAAATGGTACAGCAGTTGCATTCTGGCGCCTCAGGCACCATTTAAGGTGGAACGGGAAAATTCAAACAAGAAGCTGTTGAATGAAAAGCGACTTCAGCCTCGTAAAAATCAAACATTTTGAGACATTTTATAAGAAACTGTTCCACTTTTGTGGAAAAGTTTCCTGCTAGAGATGCGAGAAAAGCAGCTATAGCTGAGCTAAAGCTTAAAGCAGAGCAAACTAAGTCTGCAATTTCATTCATATTATATATTAGCCTATACTAGTACATTAGTAATACTGAAACATATTTACAGCCAAGATGGTCAAACGTTACTTCAATAAAATGGACATAAAATGTTGAGGCTCCCCAGGTGGTTTGATTTTTGTTGAAAGGACAAAATGGCTCTTCTTAACATTTGGGTTGTGACCCCTGATCTCCAAGTTAACAGAGTGTAAAAGAAAGCTTTATCACACAGCCTACTTTTAATTTAAACATACTGAATGCAGATGAATACACAAATAGCCAAAATGAAAGTAAAATAAAGACAGAAAAGAAAGTAAATAAACAGAGAACACGTCTTTGAAAAAAGGAGCTATTTCTGGAGGGGTTTTTTCTCCCATGTTTGTCTGGCCAGTGCCATGGAAAGTGACTCAAATGGAATCTGGAAAATGAGTAAGCAAGCTGAGTGACGAGCAGAAGTCCAGCAGCCTCGCCGCCAGGACGCCACATTTCCTACTCCTCACAGTTCCTCTTCAGCGACACTGTCGAGCTCCCTTCCGGGAGACGCTACCCAGGACCACAAAGAACAGTCTGAAGAATCCTTTATGCCTCCAGCAGCTTTGCTTTGTGAATTCTAAATTCATTCATTCATTGATTTATTTATATCGCTGCTGCTGGAACAAAACCTTGTATGTTCATTTTTGACGTTTTTTCAGTTTTTGACATAATTTGAAAACGCCTGTTGACCTTTACGTTGTGTGTAAATTTCATAATGAACAGACCAAAAGAATCGGCCTAAAATGAAGTGCAAAAATGTCTGGTTCCATTGACTTACATTAACAGTAAAGTATGTTTTTTCCTTCTCCTGTAAAGTTGTTAGAGGTTAAAGGTTTTGTTCCGACAGCAGCGATATTAAGTGAGGGAATTAATCAATTGTTTATCTTTACCAACTTATTTATCACAATTGATTACTGGAAGCTGTTATCTGTTTTGTTTCTAGAGGTTATAATGTGTGTCTGAAAAGCCATGAAGAGAAAAGCAAATCTCTGGAAACTGACAATGATCTATATATCAGTCCACTCTTTGTCTCCCGTCAAGCTGCCTCCCTTCAACACCATGTAATCAGTCTAGTGTCCTGCTTTAGACTGCACTGCTGCACTGGCCAGCACTCACTGCTGGACAGGCAGATTTATAAACAGCGGAGCTGCATGGAGCATCTGAAGGGCATCAGCTCGATTTAGACTTCCGCAAACGCACAAACGATCTCCCTGCTACTATGCGCTTGCGTAAAAAAAAGCAGGCAGAGGAAACCACGATTTCCTGACTGTTAAAAATACTGCAATATCTAGACCTTTTGGGGGGGGTGACCAGTGGAACACAATCATACGTACCACTCTGAGCTTTCCGGACACAGCAGACAGCGCACGGGCCCAGAAGTGCAGGTCAATGCCGCTGGAGTATTCATCCAGAAGACGCGGGAGCTGGAGGGGGGTCACATGGAGAAGGTAACACATCTGCAGTCACACACTAACATTCAAAATATCATGTGTTGGTCATATCACAGAATGTCCATCCTGAGCAAGTTCACAGGTTTCAAAGAGTAGGAAATGTTGGATTGTACAGACGGATGAACAGAGCTGCTGAAGATTCTAAAATGACTGTAGAACATCAAAAATGAACTTCTAATAAAATGAATAACCAGAACGTCAAAGGTGGTGATCAAATCTTGAGGCAGCTAACTTGACAAAAACTTGATAATAAATAGTCATGCAATTATTAAACAGATAATTCAGGTTTTATTTACAAGCCCATTTCCAAAAAAGTTGGGACGCTGTGCAAAATGTAAATAAAAACAAAATGCAATGATATGCAAATCATTTAAACCATATATTTGATTGAAAATAGTACAAAGACAACAAAACAAAAGTTGAAACAGAAACTTTATTGTTTTTTGAAAAATATTTTGAATTTGATGCCAGCAAAACGTTCCAAAAATGTTGGGACGGGGGCAACAAATGCTGTTGAAGTTGTGTAGTGCTAAAAAAACACCTGGTGGTTAATTGGCAACAGGTCAGTAACATGATTGGGTATAAAAGAGCATCTCAGAGAGGCTGAGTCTTTCAGAAGTAAAGATGAAGAGGGGTCAAGAATAACGTTTCTCAACGTAAAACAGCAAAGAACTTTTGCTTTTCATCACCCCTGATTGGCTGGATCAGATGTATTAGAGTTCAGTAAGGGGCAGGGCAGCTTATTGGATACGTGTTGCAACTAAACTCTGCATGAAAAGTAGCTCTCCAGGAGGACGGTTGGAGACCACTGGTCTATATAGTCTACAAAGCATAGATGTTGGAGTATATTTAGCATTGCCATGTTATACTGAACTGCAAAAAAAATGATATCTTAACAAGAAAAATCATCTTAAATCTAGTCTAAATATCTAATATCTCTCATTTTGAGATGGTTGTACGAATATTATAGGATTATATAACATTTCTAGATGTTTTTTATTTGTTTAAAGTAATTTTAAATTCATAAATTTTATATTGGCATAATTTTGCCTGTTTCAAGCACATTTCTTAAAATAAGCAAAATTATCTGCCAATACAGTGAGATAATTTTACTTAATAAAATTGCTTAATGCAAGTAAAAACATGTAGAAAGAAGTTAAACAATCTTATCATAAGCTGACAATAATATCAACATGAGGAATATTAGATATATTAACTAGATTTAAGACAGTTTAACTTGCCAAGGTACCATTTTTTGCAGTGTACACACAATACACTCAAAAAACAGAGTTAATTTCTTTAGAATTAGAGTTTAGTATTCAACTGAGACGCTGGTGATTTTGCTGAGCACACGTTAGGAAAAGTGTCTCACATCCTGTATGCTGAACGACACCACTTCCAGAACTGGTCTGTCCTCTCTTGCCCTCTCAGTGCCTGGAAGCCGTTCAGCTGACTCAAAATACAATGGAGAGTTTAGGAAGCAAACTTCCAGAATAAGACATCCTTCCTCTCGGACGTGCCTGACTCGTCTCGGGTAGACGCTTCAACGAGGGAGAGGAAAGAACTATAATTTATGGCGTGTGTTTGAGGTGGAAGAGTGGAGATAATAAAAGACAGCAATATAAATATGTTTTGCATGACAACCATGACTAGTTGAGTAGTTATTCAACAAAGTAGTGGCTAGTCATGATTTACCAAAGTTAAAGAAAAAGCAATAAAAGCATTTTATTAGTATATTTTTTCTAGTGGCTGCTGTGGCAGATGCTACATTTCGTGCTGGTTATACGTAGCAGAAACATTTTCTTTACATTTTTTTTTACATTTTCAGTGTTCTTATATCATATCACTGATGTCGGAACAAAACATTGTATCTCCAAAACAGTAACTTTACAGGAGAAGGAAAAAACATACTTTACTTTTAATGTAAGTTAATGGATGCCCTGCGATGGACTGGCGACCTGTCCAGGGTGTATCCTGCCTTCCGCCCAATGACAGCTGGGATAGGCTCCAGCACCCCACCGCGACCCAGAAGGATAAGCGGTTTAGATGATGTATGTATGTATGTATGTATGTAAGTCAGAGGAACCAGATTTTTTTCCAAGTCATTTTGTGAAATTTCTTTTAGTCCAATCATCATGAAATTAATACATAATTTATGCTAATAATTAATTTATGCTAAAAACTGAAAAATGGCAAAAATGGAGATTTTTGTTCTGCAGTGATATGAAATCAGCGCTGGAATTCATCTCCTATGAAATGAATTGCTTCTGCCACCACCCACAGCACCCAAAAGTGGATGGGGATGTGCATTCTGACTATGTTTGATGTTCTAATATACATAAGAGTTCATGAACGGATATCTGGTTTGACTGCAGAGAAGAAAAAAACAATGAAAAGGAAAAAAAACTGGACTGCAGCCAAAGGTAGCGTAGGGCTGTACGCTCACTTTTAATATGACAGCACTGGAGGATGAAATTTGCAAACGTTTTATTATTCAAAAATAGCCCAGGGAAATAGGTTTTTGCGTTGGTTGAGGAAAGGAAACTGCCTCTTCAGAAGAAATAATGAGCTAACAATAGGACTGCGCTCAGACTCTGGAGCGTATACCAGTCAAAACACCATTATATTCCACAATAGGACGTGAATTCTGTGGGCTCCTCTCGCTCTGCCGCAGATCGCAGATTTTTCAGCCGTGGATCTTCACGGATCAAGCTGAAAAACTTTCAACTTCAGCGGATAAACTCTGCTCATCACAGGTCATCACGGGTCACTTTTGACAGGATAACCAATCCACAAAAAGGATGGGTAAAGTTGAACTGGATAGCACATACTTGGCTGTGTACTTGCTCATATTTACGATTAAAAATATTCAGTTTGACGCTGTATTACTAGCATATGCACCATCCTCTACATTGCTTTCTTTGAGGTTTGCTAAAAGTCCTTGAGAAAAGGACGATGAGTCAGTGTTCATTCTTTTTAATTGACCCTGTGGTTGCACTTTAATCATGAAATAAAAGGTCACCAACGAATACTTGTACAACCCCATTTCCAAAAAAGTTGGGACGCTGTGCAGAATGTAAATAAAATTAGAATGCAGTGATATGCAAATCATGTAAACCATATTTTTAAAGGAAAATAGTACAAAGACAACGTATCAAATGCTTTCCCATTCTTGTTTGATATAGGATTTCAGCTGCTCAACAGTTCGGGGGCTCATTTGTTGTACATTTCATTTCATAACCATCCAAATGTTCTTAGCGGTGACAGATCTGGACTGCAGGAAGGCCAGTTCAGCACCAGGACTCTTTTAATATGGAGCAATGCTGCTGTAATACATGCAGAATGTGGTTTGACACTGTCTTGCTGAAATAATCAAGGCCTTCCCTGAAAAAGACGTTGTCTGGATGGCAAAACGTATCTATCATTCAGCATTAATGGTGCCTTCACAGATGTACACGACAGTTCTTTGCTATGTTATGTTGAGAAACGTTATTCTTGAATTGTGGCACTATTTGATCGTGCAGTCTTTCACAGAGTGGTGAACCCCTCCTCATCTTTACTTATACCTAATCATGTTACTGACCTGTTGTCAATCAACCAACAGATATTTTTTTAGTATTACACAACTTTACCAGCCCTTTTGTTGCCCCCGTCCCTACTTTTTTGGAATGTGTTGTTGGCATCAAGTTAAAAATAGACAAATAGTTTTTAATAAACAATAAAATTTCACAGTTTCAACATTTGATATGTCGTCTTTGTACTATAGGGTTTAAATCATTTGCACATCATTGCATTTTGTTTTTTATTTACATTTTGCACAGAGTCCCAACTTTTTTGGAAATAGGGTTGCACAAAATTTTAATTGACAACATTTTATTTCATGACTAAATAGTAACAACAACATTAATGAAAAACATACTGTCAACAAAGATTACGACAAAATCTCTGTTTATTACACCCTGACGAGTAAAGATGAGACAAAATAACTGCCTATTATAGAACCTATAATAGAACCTTTTTTGAAAATGGGTTCTTCTATTGTCACAGGCTTGACATCATAACAAAAGAAGAACCCTTTTTGGTGCCTTTTGAAAAAGATTCTTTTCACTCACGTCCTTAACGACATGCTTATGTCCAGGCACTCCTGTTTCATAGAAGCAAAGCATAATGTAATTCCAAAAAAGTTGGGACGCTGTGGAAAATGTAAATAAATGCAAATAAAAACATTATGCAACAATCTGCAAATCTAATAGACCCATATTTTATTCACAATAGAACATAGAACACATATGAGATGTTGAAAGTGTGACATTTTACCATTTCATGAAAAATATTAACTCATTTAGAACTTGATGGCAGCAACGCATCTCAAAAAAGTTGGGACAGGGCCATGTCCACCATTGTGTAGCATCCCCCCCTCCTCTTTTAACAACAGTCTGTAAACGCCTGGGAAGTGAGGAGACTCTTCTTCTGTGAAGCCATGCTGTTTGAAGGATGCAGTATGTGGTTTAGCATTGTCTTGCTGAAATATTCAAGGCCTTCCCTGAAAGAGACGCTGTCTGGATGGGAGCATATGTTGTTCTAAAACCTCTACATACTGTTCATCATTGATAGAGCCTTTCCAGATGTGTAAGCTGCCCACGCCATAGGCACTAATGCAGCCTCAGACCATCAGAGATGGAGGCTTTTGAACTGTGAGCTGATAACAAGCTGGATGGTCCCTCTCCTCTTGAGTCTGTAGGACACGGTGTCCATGATTTCCAAAAAGAATTTCAAATTTTGATTCATCTGACAAAAGGGCAGTTTTCCATTTTACCACAGTCCATTTTAAATGAGCTTTGGCCCAGAGAAGACGGCGGCGTTTCTGGATTATGTTGACATTTGGCTTCTTCTTTGCATGATACAGCTTTAACTTGCATTTGTGGATTGCACGGCGAACTGTGTTCACAGACAATGATTTCCGGAAGTGTTTTTAATGCAGTGCCACCTGAGGGCCTGAAGATCACGAGCATCCAGTATTGACCATCGGCCTTGTCCCTTGCGTACAGGGATTTCTCCAGATTCTCTGAATCTTTTGATGATATTATGTACTGTAAATGGTGGAATATCCAAAGTCTTTGCAATTTTACATTGAGGAACATTTTTCTGAAATTGTTCCACAATTTTTTGACGTAGTTTTCCGCAGATTGGTGAACCTCTGCCCATCTCAGCTTCTGAGAGACTCTGCCTCTCTAAAATGCTCTTTTTAGCCAGTCATGTGAGTTAGTTGCAAATTGCTCCTCTAGCTGTTTTTTATTAGTACCACTTACTTTTCCAGCCTTTTGTCGCCCCTGTCCCAACTTTTTTGAGATGCGTTGCTGCCATCAAGTTCAAAATGAGTTAATATTTTTCATGAAATGGTAAAATGTCTCACTTTCAACACCTGGTATGTGTTCTGTGTTCTATTGTGAATGCAATATTGGTCTATGAGGTTTGCAAATCATTGCATAATGTTTTTATTTACATTTATTTCCATTTTACACAGCATCCCAAATTGGTAATTGGGGTTGTATAATGTACGTATTTAAGATAAAATCTGCATTATGGGTAAGTGCATTTTCTCCATCTTTTCATTATGAAACTTTACAGTATTTGAATATTGACAAACTCAAACATTTAACCAAGTTAACTCATGGACCCATGCAGATCCCCAGTGGACACGTTAGTTGGCGAGTCTATGCAGCCTCTAACACAAAGTGAAGAAAAGGGGCTGAGAATATAGGAAGGGAAGCAGCACAGGGTTTTATCCTCTGATTACTGTGAGGTATATCCTCTCTGCACTATTACACAAAGCTGTCTTGCACAGCGACACGTCCACTCTAATCTCGTTACTGATATAGGTCAAGTCTGCTATCCCTGTTCTGGTCAGCACTCATCCCCTCCCACAAGTCTATGGCCAGACAAAATGGATCCCGCAAAGCTCTAAAGGAGAGAGGAGCTCAGTGAACTGCTGGCAGCATCCACCACTATTGTCACCCATGCTGATGGATGTGTCTTAAGAGAGTAAAGGTCAACTGTCTAGCCAAAGCAGCAGTGATACGATGAGAGCACAGAGCCCAATCAGTGCAATGCTGCGTCCACTCCAGCGTCAAACCCTCAGCTACGCAAATTAAATGAACATTGAGCTGCTTAAGGTGTACCTAAACCCAGCATACCACATAAGCAAGTCTATTTAAGATCACTGGACAACTCGATTAGATGATTCTTCAAAGGATCCTTAGCAAAGAAAATGGTTCTAAATGGAACCATGAACACTCAAAGATCTTTTTTGCATGGTTTAACAGTTCTTTGCATTGTGAAAAGGTTCTTCTATTGTTACAAATTTGACATCGTAACAATAGAAGAACGCTTTTTGGTAGAACGCTTTTCAAAAAGGGTTCTATATGAAACCATCTACAACACATTCTCCATCAATCTGAAGAACCCTTTAATCAGGCTAAAGGTTCTTTGAGTGTTCATGGTTCCATTTAGAACCATTTTCTTTACTAAAGAACCTTTGAAGAAACTTCTTTTTTAACAGTGTATATTTGGGATGAAGGGAAAACTGTGAAAAAGGAGATTTTCTAGCTGAACCGTTCCTTTAAAGTCAATGGGACGTGTCAATGACGTGATGAAACATAATATGACCAGGAACATGAGGTCAGGTTGATTTCAGGCTGACTTTCATGTAGAGTTTTGTGGTGGGATTTTGTACTGACCAGACGCAGAAGTTTAAACAGGTCCACGTTGGTGTAAAACTTCTCCTCAATGCTCTCCAGCTGATGAGGTTTAAGGGGGCACAGGGCATTGAGGACGGCGTAGACGCCCCGACGGCTCGGGAAGATCAAGAAACGCTCCAGAAGAGCCTGACTGCAGGAGATATCCCTCAGCCTAAGGTCAGGAACACCATAGGCAAACTGAAAAAAGAGAAAAATACAGAATTAGCACCCCACGGTTCTATATAGAACCATATACAACACATTCTCCATCAAGCTGAAGAACCCTTTCAAGATGCAAAGAATGCTTTAATCAGTGAAAGGGTTCTTTAAATGTTTATGGTTCTATATAGAACCCTTTTCTTTGCTAGGGAACCCTTAAAGAACCATCTTTTTTAAGAGTGTATATTAAACTCATGATTCTAAATAGAACCATTCTCTTAACTAAAGAACCCTTGAAGAACCATCTTTTTTAAGAGAGTATACAGAACTCATGGTTCTAATTAGAACCATTGTCTTTATGAAAGAACCTTTGAACAGCCATCTTTTTTAAGAGTGTGTATAGAACTCATGGTTCTAAATAGAATCATTCTCTTAAGTAAAGAACCCTTGAAGAACCATCTTTTTTAAGAGAGTATACAGAACTCATGGTTCTAATTAGAACCATTGTCTTTATGAAAGAACCTTTGAACAGCCGTGTTTTTTAAGAGTGTATATAGAACTCATGGTTCTAAATAGAACCATTCTCTTAACTAAAGAACCCTTGAATAACCATCTTTTTAAGAGAGTATATAGAACTCATGGTTCTAAATAGAACCATTCTCTTAACTAAAGAACCTGTGAAGAACCATCTTTTTAAGAGAGTATATAGAACTCATGGTTCTAATTAGAACCATTTTCTTTATGTAAGAACCTTTGAACAACCATCTTTTTTAAGAGTGTATGTAGAACTCATGGTTCTAAATAGAACCATTCTCTTTACTAAAAACTCTCAAAGAATCTTTTTGGAAGCATAAATAGAACTTTACTAAAGAACCCTTGAAGAACCATAGTTTTTAAGAGTGTAAGGTATGAGAACAAGGTCCTAATGCGTGGCATAACCTCGTTCCCATGCCTTACTCAGTACTGACCAAAAATTAGAATCTCGTTCCAACTCCTTACCAAGTCGTGGCCACAACCTAATTATCTCATTCTCACACCTTACTAGGTCGTGGCCACACATTAGGATCTCTTTCCCACACCTTACTAGGTCGTGGCCACAACTTAATGATCTCATTCTCATGCCTTACTAAGTCATGGCCATGCATAAGGATCTCATTCCCGTCCTTACTAAGTTGTGGCCATGCATTAGGATCTCTTTACCACACCTTACTAGGTTGTGACCACAACTTAATTATCTTGTTCCCATGCCTTACTAAGTCGTGGCCACAACTTAATTATCTCATTCTCATGCCTTTCTAAGTCGTGGCCACAGAATAGCATCTCTTTCCCACACCTTACTAGGTTGTGACCATGACTTAATTATCTTCTTCCCATGCCTTACTAAGTAGTGGCCATGCATTAGGATCTCATTTCCACTCCTTACTAAGTCGTGGCCACACATTAGGATCTCTTTCCCACACCTTACTAGGTTGTGACCATGACTTAATTATCTTCTTCCCATGCCTTACTAAGTAGTGGCCACGCATTAGGATCTCTTTCCCACACCTTACTAGGTTGTGACCATGACTTAATTATCTTCTTCCCATGCCTTACTAAGTCGTGGCCATGTATTAGGATCTCATTTTCACTCCTTACTAAGTCATGGCCACACATTAAATAGAACCATTCCCTTTACTAAAGAACGCTTGAAGAACCATCAGAGTGTAAGGTGTGGGAACGAGGTCATTTTGCATGGCCATGACTTCCCAAGGATCTCATTCCCATTCCTTACTAAGTCATGGCCACGCATTAAGATCTCATTCCCACGCCTTACTAAGTCATGGCCACTCGTTAGGATCTCATTCCCATGTGTTAATACGGCGTGGCCACACATTATTTTCATTTATATGGGACGTCACCAGCAGGGCTCCGTAGTTTTCTACATTAGAATCTGATTTTTAATTGAATTTGACTGATTTTCGAATGTCGATCTTATTTCTGACAGCCTGATTGGACACAGCCCAACACTCACGCATGCACATGCAACACACAGCCAGCTGAATAGCAATGTGGGCCACTCAGCTCATCTACTCACATTCCACAACACCAACAGGCCCTATTATATCCCCCCTGTGTGTCCATGTGTGTATGCCTGTGTACATGCGTCTGCATCCACACAGCGGCTCTTTATGCTTTACTATGCCAGTGTTAACGAGGCAGTTAAGGGTCGTTGCCACAGAGACTCATATGTAGGTCTTATGCATGTTTGTGGATGTAGGTTACGCGTGTGAGTCACACATGTGAGAAACCTGTCACCCCACTGACAGATGTCCTACTGCATCCCCTCTCTCTCTCTCTCTCTGTCTCTCTCTGCCCATCTGATTAGTTGCTAAGGGCTTATCCAGCCAGCACTTTCCCCCCGTGTTGGGGCTGAATTAGCTGGCCCTGAGAAAGGCCCGAGAAGAGAGAAAGCCCCGCGTTCCTCAACCCCGCAAAATTTCCATATGAAAACCAATAAAGAGCCTTTCTAACACTGATGTCATTCCTGGGGTCCCAGGCTTTGTCAGCGTGGCCCGTGGATCCCTCTTGCTTTCACTCCCCCCAAAGTGGGTGTCTTGTACCGCGCGACAGGACCACAGGAGCAAAACAGGGGGAACGCGCTCCAGTGTGTGAATCTCCATCAGAGATTTATTCACACAGATAAAACGCAGACTAAACAACACAAAAGGACCTGTGACGGGCAGACTGAGAGAGCGGCCAGAGGAGAGTCCGGCAGCCACTACGGGTGTTCCTGAATACAAATACATTATTCAGAGAGCGATCTACATAAATATACGTAAAATATTAGGATAAAATATTATTACCCGCATTTCTATCAATATTTATAACGGCTGTGTTAAATACTCATTGGTGGCTAACGTCACCGTTAACTCCAGGCCAGGATCTGTCAATGATTTTCTCACAAGTGAGAAAAGTCTGTGGTTCTCCTTAACTAAAGGGGCCTTGGCCTATTTCTGCCCCAAGCAACCGGCCCGTCTACAGTTGATTTCAATTTGTTAGCCTGTTTGACGAGGAGTGAGCTTTACTTCCGTGGCTCAGAATCGGCTTCCAGTGTCAATTCATTATGTCAAAACCCTTACAGTGGTAGAATGGTAAGAGCCATTAAGAACACATTAACCTTTTATGTATCACTATACACTTTTTAAATGAGTATATTGCATATACCTGCATATCACTGCTGTCGCAACAAAAACTGGTATCTCTAAAATGGTAACTTTACAGAAGAAGGAAAAAACATACTTTACTTTTAATGTAAGTCAATGGAACCAGACTTTTTCCCAATTAATTTTGGACCATTTCTTTTGTTCCATTCATCATGAAATTTACACACAATGTAAAGGACAACAGGTATTTTCAAATTATGTGAAAAACTGAAAAACGACAAAAATGAAGATACAAGGTTTTGTTCTGACAACAGCGATATCTTATAGACTACACATATCCAGCCAACAGCGCCCGGTGACCACTGATGAAGGACTAGAGGATGACCAACACAAACTGTGCAGCAGCAGATGAGCTATCGTCTCTGACTTTACATCTACAATGTGGACCGACAAGGTAGGAGTGTCTAATAGAGTGGACAGTGAGTGGACACAGTGTTTAAAACTCCAGCAGCACTGCTGTGCCTGATCCACTCAGACCAGCACAACACACACTAACACACCACCACCACATCAGTGTTACTGCAGTGCTGAGAATGATCCACCACCCAAATAGGACCTGCTCTGTGAGGGTCCATGGGGGTCCTGACCTGACAGGGTAAAAGGGGGCTAATAAAGTATGCAGAGAAACAGATGGACTACAGTCTGTAACTGTAGAACTACAAAGTGCACCTATATAGTAAGTGGAGCTGATAAAATGGACAATGAGTGTAAAAACAAGGAGGTGGTCATAATGTTATGCCTGATTGGTGTATATATGTTTTACAAGTAGCACAGATTACCTGTTCTGGTCTGATCTTGGCTTTGACCAGTTGATTGACCACAGACGCTGAGAGAGGAATGTCTCGCAGCAGATAAGAGGTGAGCATTTCGTCGTCCTTCAGAATGTCCTCCACTGTGATCCCCAGACCTGTGTAGCAATCAAGCAACCGAGAAGCAAAGAGAGAGAATCAGAATGAGGATCACTTCATGGGCCAAGCATGAGGAATCTGTCTGCTGGAATTTGGTGCATACACAGATGGACAATACAGACAACAAATAGTAAACAAATAAACACAAGAACAGCTAATTAGCGTGAGGAACACAGTGATGGTGTGAGCAAGAATGTGGCACTTCAGCACCCTCAGAGCATTCCTCATGGAGGATTCAAGAGGACTCTGCAAAAGAGAGACCTGTCCTGACTGAGAAGATGGAGAGGCAGAAAGAAGCGAAGGAATGCAGAGGAATGTGAGACATCCTGACCTCTGTGTCCAGCGAACACTTCAGAAATGTCCACCCAGCTAAAGTGTGAGGGGTTAAGTGAGAAACTTAATTAAACCGCATTCTCCACACTTTCATTAACTCCAGCTCAGCCTGACTGCAGAGAGCATGATGGACATGACATGAACAGAGAGAGAGAGAGAGAGAAAGAGAGACTATGTGAGAAACAGAAAGTGAGACAAAAACAAAGACAGACAGGGAAACTATCTGAGAAAAAGAGAAAGTGATGGGGGGTAACTTTACATTAGACTCCATAAAAATAAGTTAACACATCCTTTAGATCAGGAGTCGCAACCCAAATGTTGCGAAGAAAATCAAACCACCTTGGGAGCCTCAATATTTTATGTCAATTTTTCCATCTTGGCTGTATATATGGTCACAGTATGCGCTGATGTGCTAGTATAGGCTAAAAATATAATATAAACAAAAACACAGACTTACTTTGCTCTGCTTTAAGCTTTAGCTCAGCTATAGCTGCTTTTCTCATATCTCTGGCAGGAAACTTTGCCAAAAGTAGAATATTTTCTTGTAAAATGTCTCTCAATGTTTGACTTTTTACGAGGCTGAAGTCGCTTCACATTCACCAGCTTCTTGTTCGGATTTTTCCGTTCCACCTTAAATGTTGCAAACACCCAGTGTTTGACGGCTTCTGACTTCAGATTAAACGTATCAGGAAACCAGCTGGAATGATTATAAATGCAAATAAGATCATTCATCTCCAGATTATCAATGTTCATCTTAAATCTTTCTCTTTGCCGTTTCGTTAGCTACTAGCTGGGTGAGCTACTAGCTGGGTGTGTTATCTGTGTTGCTATGGTGACCACCAGTCTGCACTGATCCTCAGGGTTAAAGGGTGAATTAGCAGTTCTACATTAACTCCAGCGTTTAAGACCATTTATTGTTAAACTGTGTTGAACAATCAGCAGAGCTTTATTTTACTGTAAAGGAGGATTATTTTATTTTTACCTACAAATCTAATTCTGCACTGGAGCCGCAACAGGGCAGTAAAAGAGCCGCGGGCAGCTCTGGGGCCTGCTCTAAAGGGAAATAAATATAGAATTTCTCTGCAAATTTTGGTCCACAATTTCCATATATTTTGTGAGTTTAACACAATTGAAAAAAAAATTAAAGCATAACATATAAAATGTGCCATAACTTTTGCCACATTAAATTCCACATTAAATTCAGCAAATAAACAGTATTCATGGTTTAAAATGTGCAGGAGTGTGTTCTCTGTAGAGGACGTGTTAACTTAGACTTAACTTTCACTTAGGAAAGCAACAAAATGTCATTTGATCGGGGTGTGCAAACTTTTGCACACGACTCTAAGCATTGGCTTTTATTTCACAATGTCTTCATAATTATGTAAAACAAGTTCAGTCAGGTTTGCTTGATGCTACAGTTTACGCAGCAGCGTAATGAACTCACTGATGAGCTCTGTTTATGTAAACAAATAGAAAGTGCTCTCTAAAAATACATGGTAGCCGCAGGGTAAGCTGATTAGGGCTCTTCCAGGTGCGCTCAGAGAGGTGCCTGATCTAAAGGCATGGCTGGAGGAACTCAGGTGAGGTCAGGCCAGACATTGTAAGTCAAAGGTCAAGCCTGTCCAGCAGGTGAAGAGCTAAGCGACATTTCTATTCAACAGTCTTTAGTTTTGACTCAAGTTACCAGCGTGACTGAGAAATCCTGCTCACTCCCCTTCACACAAACTCCCGCGCGCTAACCTTCAATCCATTCAGGATGTATCCGGAGAGTTCTCATGAACTTGCTCATGGTGGTCAGCTCACTCCACACTCTCCCCAGCTGCAGGAACTCGGGGTCACTCAGAAGGAGCTCCTGTGTGTCTGCCCAGAAACGAGCCAGACTGTAGAGAGACAGACATACACATGTGAGCATGGATACACAGTGACAGAGCTTGTTCCTGCACTCATTGTCCATTTAATCAGCTGCACTGGCCATATAGGAGCACTTTAGACTCTAGACTGTTGTCCATCTGTTTCTCTGCATAATTTGTCACCCTGTTCTTCAATGGTCAGGACCCCCACAGGACCCCCATAGAGCAGGTATTATTTGGGTGGTGGATCATTCTCAATATGATAACCATTGTATTATCTTAGTTTAATGTCGTTTCAATGTATTATGGTCCTTTTCTTTATAACGAGCATAAAAATCGCTAGTAGTCTGCTGATGTCTAATTAGCTAGCTAGATAAATTTCCCGTTCCACCTTAAATGGTGTAGCAGTTACATTCTGCCCCCTCAGGCATCTAAACGGGAAAATTCGAACAAGAAGCTGGTGAATATCTGACTTCAGCTTCATATCACTGAAGAATTAGGAGTGGGTGATAATAAATAATTGCCCCCTCTTTGAAGGCATAAGATGTCCTAAATGTAACTAAAGCCCAGCAGTGAGGAGCTGAACTTTACCCTCCTCTGCTGTCACTGCAGACTGGCAGGGTCACCTACAGAGCAGCGCTAGTAGCTGTTAATGAAGTAATGCTCTTTTTATTTGAGGGTCCCATTTTGTAGGGAAGATTTCAACCACAATCGCTTGTAGCTCAGTTCTAAGGGGCAAGGAGACACTCAAAAACAAGGATGGGATTGGGCCTAAACATGTTATAGCTCATATGTTACATTTGGGGTAAGGAAAAAAGTGTATTTTGGCTGAACAATCATTTTAAAGCACAATGTTGTTAAGAAAGTGTGAACACAGCCTGAGGGCTCTTTCACAGCCATGCACAAGCAGCTCTGTGAGAACTAAAGCAACAGCAGAGGGGAACTCACATGGAGTTGTTGTAGTTGGACACAAAGCCGGGAGACTCTCCGCGGGTTGGGTGCTGGAAGCAGGGGTTGTTGGCATTGCAAAAGATCCCCTGGATCCACGGGAGGATTCCAGCAGAGGGCATGGCTTTGTTTGGAAAATGACCTAAAGCAGTAAAAATGGTTTCAAAGTTGAAGAAACTTTTTTAGGCCCACAAAAACAAACTGGGACTTACCAGATATTTCAAAGGTTCTAGTTTCACATGGAAAAAATGCCCCTCTCTCACTCTCATCAGTGGGACAGGAGGTCAATAGGTAGGCCAGTCGCAATCATAACATAATTGAATGATCGCAGTTATTTAGGCCAACAATAATTATTTTCCACAGTCGTTAGTTTTCACAATCATATCATCGCTCTCCAAAGAAAAACATGTATCTCCATTTTGTCGGTTTTTATTTTTCCACATCGTTTTAACATGGCAGTTGTCCATTATGTTGTGTGCAAGTTTCATGACGAATAAGCCAATAGGAATGCTCCAAACACGCTTGGAGTAAAACCTATTTTCTTTAACATACATTAAAAGTTAAGACGGTCTTTGCCTTCTTCTGTAAAGCTACTATTTTGGAGATATTTTTCTTTAGATAGCGATGATATGTTTTCTGTTGGAACAGAATGTGACATTGATGTGTTTTCATCTGCTGGTTTGAAGCACATGAGTGTGAATAAAAGAAACAGTCAGGGGTCCTGTGGAAATGACAGAAGTTGTTTTCCCCTGACACCTTTAGAGGGCAGTGGTGAGTAATGTTTGTTTATTTGAGCTCAGCCTGTTTCTCTTGTCAGTTGGAAGCTATCCACAGCCAGCGAGCAAGACAGCTGATCAAGCAATTTGCCTGTACTTCAGTCGTTGCACACAATGAACAAAAAAGACAATTAAATTGCTAATTGCAAATATTTATATGGCAATTAATCGTCCACTAAAACTTCACGATTGTAACAGGCCTACTGACAGGGTTAATGAACCGCTCTGGGAGGACATGACTGCTCTTTCACAGGAGATGAATTGAGAATTCATGCTTGTGTACTGGAGTGTATGTATGTATGTGTGTATATTAGTCACTATACAAAAAAATGATGTGAATGTGTTCAAAATAAGGCTTTTTATCTCACATTCATGCTGACGGTACAGTGGATTAGCTTTCCTTAACCAGACGAGCCCGATGAACAGCATGACTGGCCACATGATCTCCATGAAGAAGCGCATCTGAAAAAGACAACAGGAATTAATGGTAGACTCAAAAAAGACTTAAAAGAGAGAGAGAAGGTTCTTCAAGGGTTCCTTAGTAAAGGCAATGGTTCTATTTAGAACCATGAGTTCTATACAGAACCATTTCATGCTTAAATGGTTCTCTGCATGGTGAAATTGTTCTTCAGATTGATGGAGAATGTGTCAGATATGGTTCTATACAGAAGCTTTTTGGAAATGGCTCTATATAGCACCAAAAAGGGTTCTGCTACTGTTATGATGTCAGGCTTGTAACTATAGAAGAACCCTTTTTTGGTGCTACATAACCACTTTCAAAAAGGTGTTCACTGTGGTGGTGATGAGAACCAGACATCTGATGAGTTTAATGCCTCTAAAAGCTCCTTCATGGTAACGTAAAACACAAAATGGTTGTGAATAAACTATCTGATGCCTGAGTTGTTGTTTTAAAATACATGCAGGGCAGATTTATCACCATTTTATCATCAACATTACATACAAACTCTGAAGGCTCGTGTAGGTTCACTGGTGGTTTTGGATAGTAAATAAAATGTCTATATATATGTTGTAGACATGGTGACCCCTGGTTCCTATCACCACCACTGTAAAGACATCTGAGTCTCTACAATCAACCGTTTCACACCAAACTGCAATTTCAAACCACTCATTTACATCTCAATGACTGAATTATACAGAAAAAAAGATTGAACAATTGTTGGAATTCTTTATCTCAGTTTCTTATGGTTCCCATTACATGTACAGAACCACATCTTTTTTAAAAATCTGAAGATGGTGATCTAAACGTGCAAGGATAGGCTGAGAAACGTACCAGCCTTTAGTAACATAATGCTGCCTCTGAGAAAGGCGTGAGAAAAATTTAAACCTGGAGCAATTATCAGGTGTGTGTGTTTCCCATATCAAGGCTACCTGAGCTAACAGGCCTTTCGAGCACTGATCATCAAGCCTCCTTCACCTCCAGCCCAAACACACCTGGTTCATCTAATCAAGATTTTCTGAACAGACTAATAAACTGGGTCAAGTGTGGCAGATTAGGGCTCAAACTAATAGCTGTAACTTACTTTATTAGTTGATCCTATCTTATATTTACACTGGCCATTTTATCAGCTGCTCCCTCCAAAGAGGTGGTTTACAATCACTGATTGTTGATAATCTGATGTTGCACAACTGATCAGCCCAACAATGGACAACCACCATTACTAAGGCTTATAAACTCTTTACTGTCACTGCTGAGTTGAGTCTGCCAAAGATAGCCAGTAACTGTCCACTGATGAAGGGCTAGAGGATAACTAAGACATACACTGTGATACACACATGTACAATGCCACTACCACGGCATCCTCCTCCAAGAAAGCAGAAACATGGAGAACAACAAGTCCACTTACCTTCTGCCTCTTTCGGACAGTCCAGTTTTTCCACAGCAGGAGCCGGACCTGGCTGATTCTCGCCATGTCTCCACCCCTAACCCCCCTCAGGGTTCTGCTACAGGTCACCTGTAAACATGGAAGATAATAATAATAAATAAATAAATAAATAAATAAATAAACATTTGTTGGGTATTATTACTTCCACCCCCAGCAGCCATGGGATACAAGGAACATACTACATGGAATAAGAGAAACAGGGCAAATTTTAGGTGGTGCTTCAAATTATTTTTTTTCTTTAAATTATTTGTTTTATTGTTTTGTTTTATTAAAAAAGCATAATATGTATATGTTGTGTGGCATTAATAGAGTTTGTTTATTTTTAGCTACCTAGAAACTGTAATGCGAGGCCAGCTGGCTACATGTGCTAGACTGTTAGCAGTTAGCAACCAAGAGAGCTCCTGTACATTAGCCAGCGGATAACGATGCTAACAAGCTACTGACAGCTGCCTTGTTTAGGAGTACAGCTAACAGTAGCAATAGCTTTAAGGTAGCTTTGCTGATTCCAGCTTTAAACAAGTAAGAAGCACTAACGACAGAGCCTGTAAGGAGCTCTTATGCTGCTCTATAAGGCAGGGTTTCTCAACCACTGGGAATGGGGACCACAGGTGAGCCGTGAAGCACCCCTTAGTGGTCCTCGGACCTACACTGAGGGGAGCCAGTGGTCCGTAGTGGGCCTGAGATGGCATTTTGACATAAAAATAAGTGAAAAAATAATTGACTTAACATTAAACAGTTAGCAATATTAACACAAGCCCTGCGATAACAGTGCACAAAGGAAGCTTCGTCAGTTTGCCTATAGAAACACCCGAACTTTCAGTTGCCCACTTGTACCAATATTCAGTTAGATTCTGATATTTCATGATTTCATGTTCAATGATACACATATTGCAAGAGTAGGACCACAAATATCACTGCACTGAAAATATCCCAATAATGACGTTTTTCTTGTGGGCCTTCATGCATATGTATATCGCTGCTGTCAGAACAAACCTTGTATCTCATTTTGACGTTTTTCGGTTTTTGACATAATTTGAAAATACCTGTTGTTCTTTACATTGGGTATAAATTTCATGATGAATGGATCAAAAAAAACATCCCAAATTGACTTAGAAAAAAGTCTGGTTCCATTGACTTACATTAAAAGTAAAGTACGTTTTTTCCTTCTCCTGTAAAGTTACCATTTTGGAGAAACGAGCTTTTCTTCCGACAGCAGCGAAATATACCTTATAGCAGAGGTTCTCAACCTTGTTCTAGTTCTATAAGGTACAACAAACCTGTAATAAAGCTCTACAAATTGTTATATATAGTTATTAGTGTGTACAGATATTATAATGCATTATGGAACCTGACTTTATGTCATACACTCTTGCTTTATAAAGTTTTATGCATGCAATCATAACTACTTAAGAGCAATTATACAAACCTATGCCCAGTATTATAAGGCATTATGTGTGCCATATAACACCTTATTAATGCATTTATATTGCAGTATGAACACAGGATTCATAGAAAGTATTACCAAAAAATCTTTCAAAGCTTCTAAAAATAGGTAGAACAAAATAGAATGGAAAAAAATAACAAAATAAAAATATGGCAATGCAAATTACTCAACCTTGATACAGAATACGAGATTACGAACAAAAAACACAGTAAAATGTACCTGAAAATGAAAGTCAATAAAATAAAATAGAAAATTATGCACAAATTAAACAAAATGCTCTTAAGTGAGTTGCCTCCAATCCACCTTTACCAGGTAATCAACTGATAATAACCTGTGCACTAGAAGCTCAACTGAACCAAAACATAGAGTAGGTGTGGGGGGGCTGGTTTGGGAACTTCTTAATTGGATAATTGTAAAACTGCATTGCTGGAGGGCCACAGCACTGGACGCTTTGGCATTTGTTTAGCACGCTTTAATGGACTATTAAGCCCTTTTTGAGTAGAATGAGTGAGTCAGGAAAAAGCTAACGCCCTGCTTTAGCCCCACAGGAATGAAGACTGACATCACAGGCACATCCAGTGATGACTGATGACCATTGTGAAGTGATTAGTCCCTTCTCTACTCTAACACCTCCCATTTGTCTTGCCAGATACTTATCAAACCCTTCAGTGGTTGAAACGATGCTGTAGCCCCTCCAGGACTAGAGTTATTTAACCCTGCGTTTCCTGGTTTTAGTGCTGTAGTCCTCCAGCAGTGCTCTAATACACTGCAGTGCAGGTGGACTACAGGCCTGGGGGTGGAAAACACTTCACTTAGAGAAGATGGTGGACCAGCATCATAAATAAGCAGCAGCGAAGGGAAAAAAATAGTAACCGATGCAACTGATTAACACATTTGAATCAGTCAAAGTGCTATAATTTCAGTGCACATTCAACATTTTGCCATTAAAACTCAAGGAATAAAACAAGGTAGTAAATTAATATGATTTAACTAACAAATGGACATTTAAAGCATTCATAGATCTTGATTTCCACAATAGGCCTCTTCTATTTTAGGAGAAGCTGCTGAAAACGATGATATTTTAGCCCAAGCACACCAAGAGTAGTCGAGAATAACCTGCTAGACTGTGTTCTGATTACGGTCAAATGTTTTGTATGTTAAAACAAAGTGGCCCATTTCTGTATAAAATGTCCCTTAATTACTGTCAGTAAGGGAAAACACCTGCCTCTTAAAAATGATTCCCTACCCTGCGCTGGATATTATTAATAAAAGACCATACACCAATCAGGCATAACATTATGACCACCTCCTTGTTTCTACACTCATTGTCCATTTTATCAGCTCCACTTACTATATAGGTGCACTTTGTAGTTCTACAGTTACAGACTGTAGTCCATCTGTTTCTCTGCATACTTTGTTAGCCCCCTTTTACCCTGTTCTTCAGTGGTCAGGACCCCCATGGACCCTCACAGAGCAGGTACTATTTGGGTGGTGGATCATTCTCAGCACTGCAGTAACACTGACGTGGTGGTGGTGGTGTGTTAGTGTGTGTTGTGCTGGTCTGAGTGGATCAGACACAGCAGTGCTGCTGGAGTTTTAAACACTGTGTCCACTCACTGTCCACTCTATTAGACACTTCTACCTTGTCAGTCCACCTTGTAGATGTAAAGTCAGAGACGATAGCTCATCTGCTGCTGCACAGTTTGTGTTGGTCATCCTCTAGTCCTTCATCAGTGGTCACAGGACGCTGCCCACAGGACGCTGCCCACAGGATATTTTTGGTTGGTGGACTATTGTCAGTCCAGCAGTGACACTGAGGTGTTTAAAAACTCCAGCAGCACTGCTGTGTCTGATCCACTCGCACCAGCACAACACACACTAACACACCACCACCACGTCAGTGTTACTGCAGTGCTGAGAATGATCCATCACCCAAACAGTACCTGCTCTGTGAGGGTCCATGGGGGTCCTGACCACTGAAGAACAGGGTAAAAGGGGGCTAACAAAGTATCAGAGAAACAGATGGACTACAGTCTGTAACTGTAGAACTACAAAGTGCACCTATATAGTAAGTGAGTGTAGAAACAAGGAGGTGGTCATAATGTTATGTCTGATCGGTGTACATCATCATTATTAAAAAAAAAAACTTTCAGTTAATTTAGAGATTTTATTTGAAGCAGTTTGAAAGCATTTCTATTGGTCCAATCATAATGAAATTTTCACATAAAGCAAAAAGAAAAAATTGCATTTTAGCATAAATGAAGGGACGATATACTTCATTTATGCTAAATGTCTCAAAACATATTACATATGTGTGCACATGATGTAACATGTAAAATACATGACAGCTCTGGGATTATCGTCACCAAAAGTTGTAAAAATATTGAGGTTGGTGAGCCGTGGACCCCGTCACACCGCACGGTAAACAAACCCGTTCCAAAGCTGACATTCCTGTCCTACGTTATTCCAGCCTTCCATCCACCTAACTAACGTTAGTTAGTGTTTATTAGCTAATAAGATATTACTTATGAATTGGCTATTTGAAAAGTCTGAAAACAAGTAACCTTAATATAAAGATCAAAACAAGCTCACAGACTCAGGTTAGCAGTCTTAGCTTAGCTTAGCTAGCTGCTCCTGAGTGAAGATAGATTGATGTTAGCCACTCTGCAGCAAATGAATGAATGAATTAATTCATGAAAAAGTAAAGATGCTGTTTTCTGTTCCAGGAGCGACAGAGTAAAGGTTGAAAGGTTTCAGAACAGTCCATATAGTCCTTATATGAAAAACAAGCAGCAAAAACAACCTGTTTTGAATCCACTGTTTCTGCAAACCAACACCTTTACATATACCCGCCCACAGCAGTTTAGCTCCGCCCATTCACGCTGAAGTTATAAGGAGTGTTTCAGCCCGGACTGCTTTGTGAAGGAGGCGCAATACAAGGCAGCCAATCAGAGCAGAGCGTTTTACATATCTTTACATAAAACAGTCTTAAAGGCACAGTAACAAAGACAGCCTGTTCAATTCTAAGGGATAAAGACCGGCTAAAAAATGATCATGCAAAAATAAAATTATGACTGTTTCTGGTATGTAAAGTGACACAAAACGTTATAAAAGGACCGCAGTGGAAAAAAAATTAAATGAAAGAGAAAATGTAAGAAATGGGCCCTTTAATCATTTCCCAGCCACGTTACAGAGCGCACATTGGCCACTCTGAGGCACGTGATAAAGACAGAATATGTATACATATACGTGTGTATACATATAATATATACTCACACACACACACACACACACACATACACAGTACACACATACACACACATACACAGTACACACACACACACACACACACACACACACACACACACACACACATATATATATATATATATATATATATATATATATATATATATATATATATATATATATATATATCCCCTGATTAGTTGTTTTCGTCTGTTTCTTCTGGCTGCTTTTCTTACTGCTAAAAGCCACAGCCTGTACAAAATGAGCGCCCAAAATCAGCCACCTGCGCGCGCGCCCACGTGGCCTGAAGTTGACCTTTGGTCCTCGTCAGTGAGCGGACTGGTTCAGAGGTGAATAGAGAGCTGCAGGTCTGTAAAAGCACGGATCCGTTCAGCTCGGACAGACAGCCAGACAGACAGACAGCCGTGCAGTGCTTCACTCTCACCGTCACTCAGCCTGTCACGTAGCCCAGCTCCCACTGACCTCACAGTTTCGCTATGTGACCGATACGAGTCCACAGCTGGGCAGTAAAACCACTAACTTCTCAGCTTAAGCGCACTTTAATGGCTCTGAGAGTCTCACAGCACAAAGGGCTGTTTTCACTTACACCGAGTTCACGGCTGTGCTGGAGTCACGTGACATATTAAAGAATTCAATATTCAGTAACAACTTATACAGAGCAGATTTCAGTATAATAGACTAGACATCTATATGATAGTATAAACTAGTATAAGCCCCTCGATCAATATATATATATATATATATATATATATATATATATATATATATATATATAATTTTTTTAAATAATGTGTATTTTTTTTTATTATTACTTTAGGGGCTCCATATGAAGCAGTATTTTTAATTGTTTTATTCAATTTTAACAGTCTTAGTTAAAAGTTACTGGATGATGAATGATATACTGTACCTATCTATTTATATAAGACTTTAAATAATGAATTAAACAAATAAAATCTCCAAGCAGAACATTAAAAAAATCACTTTTCATATTCTAATACAGTTGAATACAAAAGTGTGAGCACCCCTGGTCAAAGTGCATGTTTTGTTGATTTTCTAAGTGAAAATATCAACACATTAACATTTAACAAACATTTTTCTGCTAATTTTACTGCACAATTTCTATTTATTTGCTGGGTTTAAAAACAATAAAACATAACATATACAATAACTTTTGCACAGGCCACATTTCATGTTTTATTTTTCTCAAATATGTCAAATTCTATAAATAAACAGTAAAAAAAAAAAAAAATCACTGAAACATCATTTGACCAGTGTATATTAATACAAGAATACCCCAAATAAATAATACAGTAAATTCACACAGTTACTGTAGTTTACTGCATTATAGTATACATGTATTATAGATACTATAAGACAGCATTACAGGGCTGTTACAGGGAAATAATCCAGGATAGTACAGCAGTATTAGACTGTATCATATAGAACTATAGAAATCTTACAGTATCTTTTTGTATAAACTTCATTTTCTATAGTGCTATTTATCATCATATTGGAGTCAGTTATTTACATGTATCTAGAACAGCTCTTGGTTTTGTATTACTGAAAACAATGAATGATTCCAAACTCCCGAATGAGGAATCTCCTTTTTCCTTCGATTCCCTTTTAGTCGTCTAATGTTACATGATTGACAGTGTATGAAATGCTTTACTGTTGCTGTCTTTGGAGTGTCAGGGTTTTATTTCAGACCAAAAGGATCCAAAAAGAGCAGAAAAATCTTCAGTTTCTGTTCTGTTAGATGTTAGATTGACCCAGGAGATTTTGGACCTCATACTTTTGTTTTACTTAATTTTGCCTTTGGTATTTACTTTTACTTCTTCTTTGCTGAATAACAGATGAGAGAGTGATTTTCACCTGTGGCTTTGTTTGTCCTCTTATGAACCAAATGGGCCGCTCTCCATTTGGAGTGGGAATTCAGGTGGATAAATTTTTACAAAATCAGTTTCTTTCATCCCAAAACTAAATAACCTTAATATGTCCATTAACATCTCCTGTTATATATGTATATATGTTATATATGCAAAAAGAAGCTTAATTCCAAACGTGTGTTACAGTCACTGGTGTTGTATGAATATGGTGTAACACCAGTGACGGTGACTCCAGTGACACTCTGGTTAAAACTGAGGGTTTTGTAAACTGGCTGACTCATTGGCTGATCAGGTGACCTTGTGTAACTATTTAAAATCAGTAATAAAAATGATAATATAACATTATTTTGACAAAATCTTAATCACCCAGCCATTAAAGCACACAACACCAGTGACACATAGAAGTTATGAGCTGCCTGATAAACAGAATTATTAATAAATTAATGAAATATAGTGAGCGAGTGTGACTGTCTGATGAGCCTCGACCCAAAGAAGCAGTTTAATAGAGCAGGAAATACTGTGTTAAAATGTAGAATAAGAGTCCTGATGACACCAGTGACCGAAATCTCTGACAAATGAATTTTTTAAATAAAATACATTTCTTAAACGTTTTAAATAACGTTAATGATATAAGTTAATGATACAAAAGTAAACATGAATCTGTTTTATATGAATTCCTCTTAAAAATATTATTTTATATTAAAATGGTTGAAAATTGTTTTTGTGACAAGCTGTTTTACAGATGCAGAGCGAACATGAAACAGGATAAAAAAGGAAAATCAGAGAAATCATAAGGGAAAAGTATGATTTAATCTTAGCATACCGACTTTTGGAGCTGTGCCTAATATTTTAAGCATCTTTTTAAGCCCTGCAGACTTTGTGGCATGGTTTCCCCTCCAAATGGAGAACGACCCAAAAAGCTTGTTTCACAAATTTGGCCAACATGAGCATCTACTCTAACGAGACCATGCCAAAGTATTACGCCAGTAAATCCCGTAGACCTCATTATCTTTAGCAGCCCACCAGCTGATAAGGTCGTTACCCAATGCAGACCGAATGCAAAGGAAAACTCACCTCAGGTGGATGATGGGTTTCTAGGGCTCCATGGGATGAAGACCATGGCTGTGCACAGGCGACCACTTCTCGGCGCAGAAGCTGTACATTATTCCACCTGAGACTCAGGCAGAGCCTCTAATCAGCTTGTTTTAATCCGCCTCCTCGATGGCTGCTATGGAAAGCCAAGCGGTCCGTAAATAAACGGGCGTGTTGGACACCTAATGCTTTTTATGGACTTCCAAACAGGCCACATTTAGCATAGAAGTGGCATACTGACCTTTCCATTTGACCACATTTTGAGCCGCAAGTGCAGGAAGCATTAGAAATAATAAAAATAATCATAGAAATAAACATTTGTCATCCACTTTTTTAATAAGTTACAAAAGTGTTTTCTCACACTGTCGGCTAGCTGTTTCGTACACTGAATAGAATGGAAACAGTATGAAAATGTGGGAAGGTGATACAGTTCCATTAAAACAAGCACTTATTTTGGCAAAATCTCTGATTTCCACAGTTAGCTTCAACATGTATGCCATTTACATTAAAAAATCCTTTGGAAAAAATTTTCTGTTTAATGATTGAAACATTTCCGGAAGTCCACAGTTGCCAGAAATAACAGTTAAGACAAAATATAGACATGTTCTGTGCACAGAATGAAGCAAATGATATAAAAAACCAGCACATGTGCAGCGTGTGTAACAACGGTAAAACAAAAACCCTGTAAAAGATTAACACCAAACTTTGGCAAATACAGGACACTGTAATGTAAAACCACTTCTGTCGTGATCCTGAACAAAATACTGCATTACAATGAACTGAAATGTCAAGACCGCAGAGTGAGTCCTCGTAAGTACATTAATTGGTTGTAAAAAAAAAGTGATTTTGCACAACTGTAACAGTTTTTATCAACTTTTTTTGGCGTAAAACATACAAAATACAGCAATATACTATATGCATATATTAAAGGTTTAGTACGATGCAAATTATACCTGTTAAATTGCACAGTAAATGGGGGGATTCTGAGTAGAGTCCTTCAAATCAGCTGTGGAATTACGATCACGACTACGAACCGGTGTTCAAATTTCAGTTAGGCCTTCTGTTTAGGTCCATCTTTTGCTCTCTTTTTTGTTTTTTTTTTATTCTTGGATTAAGACATGATGTAACAAGGCTAAGTGCATCCTGTATTAATACTGGTCCATGCGCTTGTACGATCATTACAAGCTGCCATCTCCATGAATAATATATTAATATATATATATATATATATATAAAACCTATATAATCATATGTATAAAATGCTTCCTTGGGTCTCTTCACAGTTCTCCCTATCTGTACACACGCTCATACAAAGTGAGCCTCCCTGTTCTCTAAGTCCTGCATGCGCCGGGCCCTGAACCTCTGGTAGACCGGCTTGGCCTGGTTTTGGCTAAGCTCCTCGGGGCTGGAGCTGGGCGACTGAGGAGGTGAGGGAGGGCTGGCCTGTTGGGCCTCAACCTCAGGCTCGTCCACTGAGACCTCCAGGCCAAACTCCTCCTCCTCCTCCTCCTCCTCCTCCTCTTCCTCTTCCTCCTCCTCCTCCTCATCCTCGTCCTCTGCGCTGTTAGTGGGGTTCGCTTTTGTCCCAGCGTCTGCTAACGCTAACATTTTAGCCTGGTTCCCTGGCGGTTTGTAGAACGTTCCGGGCGGGGGCTTCAGGGTCCGTGGAGGTCTGAACGCTGTGGGAACAGGACCGTGCTCGCTGTCGCCCTCTCTCTGGCCAGGCTGCGCCGCTACAGCATAGGCCTTGTTAGCGTTAAAAAAGGCGCTAGTGGTTTTGGCGCGCTCCGGGAAGGAGTCTGATGGTGCTGAAGTCGAGAGAGGGATGCTCTGGCTCGCGTCGGTGTCCTCGGGCAGCTTAGCCACGATCATGGAAGTCCGAGAAGGGATGTCGTAGTGTTTGTACTGCTTATCCCAAGTCCTACGCAGCGTGTGCGTGTCGATGTAGGTGTTCCTGTGGTGGTTCCTGGCCCGACCCTTCGGCCTCTCCTCTTCCGACACCTCCTCAATGGCGGGGTCCCGACCTCTCGTCTCCGGCTGGTCGGCGGAGTTCCGGGCGTTGCGTTCGTCCACTCGGTTCAGGAGGCGCTCGGCGGGCAGGCTGACGGGTCGAGAGGTCAGTTTGGAACGCGGCGGCCGTAGCTGCACCCTGCTAACGTGGTTCCGTCTACACAACCCGGGCGAGTTCTGCATTTCTGGGACGCTCGAAGACAGCACTCCGTTCATGTCTTCCGAATCATCATCTACAACTACATGATAATTGAACAGATTAGCACAACGGTCATGAAGAAAACATCGAAAATGGCTTTTCTAGTCTTTGTTTTTTTTAATATGAGCCATCAAAAGCATAGTTAGGTGAAAATTTACACAATTTTTCTCACTAATGTAATAAATCAGCCAAGAAATGTTTTGTATCTGGGGTTTGCTTCTTTACTTTTGCACCTCAGCTACGAGGATAAAGTAGCTTACAAGTAACAGAGGCCTACCCTACCAATTAGCATGGTGCTAACTGCATCCCCTGCCTTGAACTGTGTTAAATAATCTCAAACACATGTGATGATATGTTTCCTGACACTGTATAACATTTGTACACAGCTAAAAACAGTAATAGCAGTATGTTTAAGAGCGTATAACGACTTAGCCATGCAGTTATTGCTAACTAGCATACACAAACTATCATTTTCTGCTAGCAGCATTAGCTTTGGAGAAAAACTAAAGACCTCTGGATCCCAACAAACATATTTGTTGGGTGTCTACATCAGTAATAAAGGGAAATTTGTTTCAATTCGCTAAATTACTCCTTCATATTCACTACTAATACTAACCAGCAGTAAAGTCCGTCTCATCAGGTCTTACTTTCACCTCCTTCACCTCTTCCAGGAGGTGGGTGGAGGGGATAACGGAGGAGTGCCGTTTATACATCTTAGCACTCTGGTGCTTCTGTAAGGACACAATAGGGCCTGTCAGTCTCTCTCAGAGAACCAGACACAGTCAACAACAGCAACAAAGAACTAGGGCTGCACAATACTGACTCCTCGGACCCCGTGCGTTGAACGTGTTGGTGTTTTTTCTGCTCTTGACAATTAACGTGTGTCAGAGAGGAGAAAATACCAAGACTGGAAACTAGAAATATTGTTTGTTCCTAAATATTTACAGTTTTGTTGTCTTACTGCATGCAAATAGTTATTTACCTGTCGTACAACTGATGTTTTTAACATTTTAAATCTGTAATACAGTAAATGAATGGATAAGGTCTACATTTAGGGTGGATATAGATATAAAATGTGTGGAATGTGTCGTGTTGTGATCAAACACCAAGATTTTCTTTAAAGTTAATTTTTATGTCAAATAAACTCGACTCTGATTCAGATTCTGCAAAAAACACTACTTTTAACTGTGTCAACTTGCAAACATTAAGAGAGTAATCCTTTACCTTTAAAGTAATACCTAAAGTAATGCCCATATTGTGCAGCCCTACATGGTCATTAAAAGCCACTGACCTCTTTAATGTCCACCAGGGACCTGGAGTGGCGGCTCAGCCGCTGCTCTTTCTCCTGCGGAGTGAAGCGGGACTTTATGGGGAGGGGGGAGCTCTCCCCCACCGGGCAGGCTGCCGGGAGGGGGCTCAGCGGAGTATCGAAGATCATCTCGTAATGTCTGACGAGCAGCTCCACGATCAGGGCCTGGTAGGGGTAGTCCACCAGAGAGGAGAGCGAGACGTCGGCGTCGGCCTGCCGCGGTTTGATCAGCGTGGGGCCGAAGATGATGCCCAGGTTACTGGCGGTCATCTTGTTCTCCTCGGCTTTCTCCGTCACCCTGGAATAAAAGAAAAATGTTACATTACAATAAATCAATAAATGAATGAATGAATAAATAAATAAACATATTTACAATTATAAAAAATGCCAATGACAACTATTCTAATATTTTTTTAATCGTGAAAATTTTTGGCCAAAAACCAAACCAGAGAATTGGGTTTTTATTAATGCATTAATCTCAATTTATTTATTTTTGTTATTGTTGTTGCTGTTTGAACTGTGTCTGTAATAATTGGTCCAGGAGGGCAAAGAAAACGGCTTCTTTTTAACCACTGTTTCTAATTCTCGTTCCCACTGAAATGGTTTGTAGTGTTTTGTAGGCCTTGCTCTGCAATTAATCTTGGACTAAAAATGGCTAAAAACCTAAACTAACAGTTTTGCCCATTTTCAGCCCAAAATGACGGTGCGCCCCTAATAATTTTGGTCATATGAGAATCCACTGTTACAAAGAACACTGTAGCAGTATAAAAGCATAACTGCCCTGCGTGAATCTGGAGCTGTTACCTGTGCAGATGGCGTATGAGCAGCTGCAGGGTTTTGTAGTGAGTGGCCGGAAGCTGCCGCAGCAGGTCTTTGATCTTAAAGAGGACCCGGTTGAGCTCCACGCTGACCTGCGGCGCATCGGAGGCCGGACTGCCCCCAGACATCTCCGCCTCATCCACGATGATGCTCTGACACTCTTTGGCGAGACCGATGAAGTCGTTATAGTAACGGAAGAGGATGAGAGGTTCTGGAAGCTGTGGAGGAGCAAATGATAATTTTGCTTATTTACAGGGAGAGCAGGCATTACTTGTACCTGCACTAAGGTACTACTTATGTTCTGCACTGTTCATTAGTGACAGTACACGTTTTAGAGCACATGTAGATGCATGTAGGCCATAAAATGATTCTAATATTAATCCTGAAATAACCAAATTTCAGTTAAATAATGCATTTTATAAGTTATCTGCCCCATTTTTATCTAGTATATCATGGCTGTCAGAATAAAACCTTGTATCTCCATTTTTGTCCGTTTTTACATTTCGGTCTAATTCAAAAACTCCACTCACACTTTACATTGTGTTAAAATTTCATGATGAACTGAACAGAAATGCTTCAAAATGACTGAAAAAAATCTTCTTACATTAACTTCCATTCAAAGTTTAGAAAGTTTTTCCTTCTCCTGTAAAATTTTGGAGATGCAAGGTTTTACTCATGCAGCAAAGATATCCATCCATTACCATCAAATCAAGCAGACTTAGATGATGTGGATGCGTACCTGTCGCAGGTAGAGTTTGAGGACATTGCTGATGTCATGAGGGTAGAGGTCAGAGAGCTCCACTAAATCTTTGCCGTTCTCAAAAGCTTGGCACAGTTTCTCCACGCGGGATTTGGCCCCGTTGACTCTGTAGATTCCCTATAAACAAAGCAGAACTACAAGTGAGTCATATGGCCACTTGTTACTATGCAGTTTATTCAGTTACTGCACACAGGTTTTTGTCTATAATTGGTCTAAATGTCTTTTTTTTATGATATGCGCAGTTGTTTAGTATTCTAAAAGGACTGATGATACCCATCATATACTCAGAGTAGCGTACTGTGACGTGATTTATCACGATATCGTAATATCGCCCACCCCTAAGCAGGTCAATCGCTATGGTCCCAGTGTACAGTGAAGTGTGGAACAGAATAAAGGACACACCTTGATGCTGAGCGCCCTGTTCTCGATCTCTGAGGTGCACTTCTTGATGATGAAGGGAATTCCGTCTGGGCTGTTTCTGGCCGCCTGGGCAAAGTCCACAGCAAACAGGTGCAGTTTACCCTGCAGCTTCTTATGACCACACTGGATGGCCAACGTCTCCAGACACTTCTTATGGCAGGCCAGGGAACACTGGAGACGAGAGAAAGTAAGGAAAAACAAAGAGAGAAAGAGAGAGAATAACATGTTTATGTATAAATGATGTGCTTTCTAAAACGTACATGAAGATCCCAAGGCTAGCCGAGTAAGTTAACGTATAATCTACTTTAAACTGCTGGTCAAAACAAAAAAAGGGGAAAAAAAAAGCTTTTTTTATCTTCTCAGGAAAGTCAGGCGAGTGTCCACTAAACAGATAATTTACTTTGCATGGACTTAAATGAAGAGAGACACACTCCTGAGACAAAACACTGAGCTTCTATGAGTTTTTTCCCCAACTATGACGTCAATACTGTCAATATAAATAGCTAACTGCATAACAAACAACATTTGCATTTAATTTACTGGTTCAAGTCTGCACTTACAGCATTTTTCTGATTGTTTTCACAAATAAAACATGACAAAAATGTAAAGAATGTACAGAAAACAAAACAGAACAACTGTAACTAAGCATTAAATTCAAATTCAAATAAAATATCCCTTCTTCTACTTACAAACATAACTGTGGCGTAGATTGAAAGTTAACAATCTGCACTTTCCACACCACCTACCAACTTTTCTTTACAGTAGTGGTGGCCAGAACCAGTGGTCACAAGGTCTGCACATATAGCTAGCCACTTCATTTGCTATCCAAAACAACTAGTGACCCTACAGGTGTCTTCCGAGTTTTTATATGTGATGTTGATGATGGTGATAATCTCTCTTTGTGGACTAGTTTGCCTTGCATGCACTTCTCTGTCATAAAGGTGTCTAAAAGAATACGTTTTAGGCCAAAACCTTCTCTCAAACTGTCATAAACAGTGTCTCTGTCATAATGCAGCACATTTGTAATAATCTAATGTAATAACTTTCTGTGAGGGAGCTTTTAGAGGTGGACGTCTGATTCCTATCACCACCTCTGTGAGCAATTCTGACTTAGTAATTTTCTCTAGAACAAAGCATTTCACACCAAAACGCTGAGTGACTTATGCAGAAATTTAAAAAAATTGGTGGAATTCCCCTTCAAGTATTAACCGGCGTGAACTGCATTTGGAAAGAGCTTACCTCCTCGCACTCTGCGCCGTGGAACACCACCAGGCTGTCGCACTCTCTGCATTTGGACGGTGCCCGCAGCTTCCTCAGCTTGTGCGTCTGCGCCGCCTTCGACATCTGCGTGTTCCGGAAGGGCCCGGGGGAGCTGGCCGTCTCCGTCACCATCTCGTTCAGCCCTGAGGAGCACAGGCCAAAACGGTCTAACCGAGTCCTCTGTCCAGGAACATTTAAATCTCTCAACACATGCTCTGCACATCCAACCTGCTGCTGCTCGTAGCGGCCAGTCAGCATACCTAGAATTCTACACATCCTGTGAAGTAACAACCCCAAAGAGCGTCACTGTTGCAGGACGTCCTGAAGGCTTTCTGCAGTCTGACACTGTTTAAGGTTGAGAGGGAAAACCTGCCTAGACTGGAGTATGAAGGATTCTACTGGAGCGCATGTTTGGGTTTCTAAGGTTAAGGAGGAACCTTGTGTCACTGTCAGCTTACAAAATTTAATTCACAGCTTTGTGCAAAAGTTTTGGCGCCCCTAGTCAAATGACGTTTTGTTGATAGTCATAATAATTCAACACATCCTCTTAACGCAAATACTGCTTATTTGCTGACTTTATTCCTAGTTATGTTTATACTCATTGTGTTGTAAACTACCTATTACCACAGTGCAATACCTGAAAATCAACAAAACTTGTCATTTGACCAACTTTTGCATACTGTAAAATACTATTATAATCATTATTATTATTACTATTATTGTTATTGTTGTTTTAATAATAATAATAATAATAATAATACTGGTGAGTAAATCATGATTCAATATCAATATCGTCCAGAAAATATCATAATGTAAACTTCAGTTCATATCGTCTGGTTTTAAATGTATAGTATGTTTAATTCCGGTCCGAAAACCCAAATTCTCACCATTATCAGAAGGCGAGGGGGGCTCTCTCTCGTCCAGGTCATCTGCCGACGACATGGTTCCCGTGGAGGGGGTCCGGGGAAGCCTCCTCTTAAAGTCCCCTAGAGCAGGGCAGAGAAGTCCAGCTATGAGCCTCATTTCTTCCACAGAGCATACAAGCCTGTTCTGGGCCAAAGCTAGCGTCCTCAGAGGCAGCTTCTAGTGCTGCCCACATACAAGTGAGTTCTGGACAGACAGAGGAGGACCTCTGCCTTTAAAGTGCTTCCTCAGCAGTGAGCGCATGTCAGGGATCATGACCTGCTCTGAGTCCCACCCGAGAGCCATTCACACTTCTGATCGCTAATCAGTCTCGGCCTCCATTCTCAGAGCACTGCTGCTAATGACCGCCAAGAAAGGCCTGATATTACACACAAGCCTCCTGTAGATGACCAATGATAGTTTAGTCAAAAAGATCCCATTTAATTTCCCCTTTACCCAAAATGTCAGTCAATGTTTGTTGTGTGATGTGTTTTTTTTAGTTCTGCACTAGAGCTACGAGGCTAATGTAGCTAGGTAATGGAAGCTAATGTTCAGCAGTTAGCATGTTGCTACCTGCGACTATCTACTGAGTTTGCCTACCTTAAACTCTGTGTAGTTGTTCGGTACCTCTAAAGGACTTTATTATGTGGTTTCTAATCCTGTATGACATCCTTCAATCCTGTATGTTTTTTAGTTCTGCACTAGAGCTATGAGGCTAAAGTAGCTAGGTAATGGAAGCTAATGGTGCTACCTGCATCTATCTACTGTGTTTGCTTATCTCAAACTGTGTGTACTTGTTCAGTGTCTCTAATAGTCTCTATTATGTGGGTTTTGATCATGTATCACATCTTTAAACCCTGTATGGGTTTTTTAGTTTTGCACTGGAGCTACGAGGCTAACATGGCTAAGTAATGGAAGCTAATGTACAGCAGTTAGCATGGTGCTACCTGCATCTATCTACTGTGTTTGCTTACCTCAAACAGTGTGGAGGTTCATTATCTCTACAGGACTTTATCATGTGGTTTTTGACCCTGTATGACACACTGTTATCTTTAAACATGGACTAAAGCACAGGCTGCTGCTACTGATTTTAGCCGTGCAGTGTGCTATTGTTTAAATATGTGTATATATATATATATATATATATATATATATATATATATATATATATATATATATATATACACATACATACACACACATACACACACACACCAGATACATCTATGTGAGATAAACACAAACAGCTAATAAATGAACAGCTAATTAATAAACAGCTTAACAGTGAGGTATGTTATGAGGCAGTTATGCAGTTAGCACAATGCTAATTGGTGGTGTGTAAGATTTAAATGCTTGTTAGCTACATTAGCTTTGTAGCTTTAGTACAATAACTAAAGAAGCCAACTTTATAGACCAAACACGCCTTGGCTTATTGACTACATTTTAGCTAAACGGGTAAAACTATGTACATCTGATGTCTGGTAGCCCATTAAGAGCTGAGTGTGATTTGAGTATGTGTGTGATGTGGATACTCAGAGACACGGCTGTGCAGATTTGATCAGTGTGAAGTGTCAAACCTAACATCTTAAAGGATTAAAATATTTTCAGATCACTTCAAAGTGAAATGTTTTCCACTATGAATGGCTCCACTTTTAGCACCTAATCATCAATGACTATGAGTGACAATGAGAACGACTTCACATTTTTACAGAAATTTAATATAAACTTTCTAAAACAAAGGACTGATTTCCCAAACCCAGATTAAGCCCAAGCCCACGCAGATAGCAGCTCTGGATCGATTCTGGCTTTCCTATGTGAGTGTTGGTTGACTGCCGGGTAGATGGTAGGCATGCGGGCCAGAATAGGGCCAGATCCTCGATGGCTTCATCCCATTTTGCCTTGTGTCTACATTTGTGGGACAACTGGCATAAATGTTGTGGACCAGCAATATAGTTGGGCCAGATTGGGGACAGATTTGGGCCATATCCTTTAGTCCTTCTCAGTTTATAGTGTGTGTGCCAGATCTGGGCTGAGAACCCAGCCATATACTGGGCCAGACCAAGCCAAGGATGTGGCCCACAAGTGGCCCAGACAAATTCTGCTAACTGGGTAGACTAAACAAAGATTTTCAGTGGTGGCTCCTCACATGCAATTTAGACTAGGCTTAATCCATGACTGGGAAACTGGCCCAGAGTATGAAGAACAACAGGAAATTGCATCTTAAATTCTTTAAAAGTGAAGTGACTGTAATTCTGTCTACACATTCTGAGCATACCTACAGACAATACGGAGAGCGCCTGCAGGCTGTATGTGAAGATTTGAGGAAGAGGCCGTGTTTCTGTGTTTCTGTGTTTACCCTCACTAGTCTGTGGTGGTGGATCTTTCCTCGGGTGATTAGAGGAGTGTTTGAGGTATGAAGGAGTAAAGCTGTGTGTACGTGAGTGTTTGAGCATGTGTGTGACTATGTGTGTGAAAATGCAAGAGCCAGTGCTATAATACTATCAATACTACTACTACTATTACTAATAATAATAATAATAATTACAATGAATGCAATTTTCACACAAAGTAAATGGAAGCTGATGTTTCATATCATGTAAAGGCATAAAAATGGGCGTATATTGTATTTTGTATATTTATCTACATCACTGAAAAGTTTATGATCACTTTCCATAATAACTGCTGCTATTTTAGTCAATAATAACATTAAATAATGTACAATTTAATGCTATAAAATTTTTTAATGCTAATTAAATACTATAGGTTAGACACTAGAAAGTATTTTAAGACATTTTACTCAATATTTGATTCTGGAACACAAAAAAGTTATTAAAAGATAAACAATATACTGTTACATTTATTCAATGTATTTACAATATTTATTCTATTTATTTATAATAATGTCTTGATTTATTTGCCCACTTTTTAAACACAAGGCATTGTGGATATTAATTTTCTTAGAACTTTATTCTGGATATAAACTTTGTTCTAACTTCATTCTGGATGTCAATTTAAAATTTTAAAATGATTTAAAAATAAATTCATCTGCAACACAACACTGAATTCGAAATATATATATATATATATATATATATATATATATATATATATATATATATATATATATATATATATATATATATGAGTGGGTGTATACTGTACCTGGGCTGGCTGTAGGTGAGTCCATGGAGCGAGACTCACTGCTGCCCCCTGCACTTTCCGAGTCACTGCACATCCCCCCACCCTGACTGCCTGCAGACCAGGGTTTAAATTGAGGCTGGATCCGCAGAGCTGTCTCACACACACACACACACACACACACACACACAAATAAACATAATCACTCTTTGGATCACCCACATCAAGGTTTACACTGTACAATATAATGGAGATTATCGGTGTTCATAAATTCTACAGTTCACATTTTCTCTCTGTGGAGTAACGTTTCTAGACAGAATGTTGTTTTGCAGTGTTTAAACTCATTTCTGAGCTTGGACTGACTAAGTGTAAAAACTGTAGTGGCTAAAGCAGTGGTTCTCAGCTCTGGTCCTGCACGGTTAAGTGTTCTGCCTGCTCTGATACTATCACAGGTTCACGTTTCAAAAAAGCTGGGACAGGGGCAACAAAAGACTGGTAAAGTTGGTAAAGCAGGTGGAACATCTCACAACTAATTAGGTTAATTGGCAACAGGTCAGTAACATGACTGGGTATAAAAAGAGCATCTCAGAGAGGCTGAGTCTTTCAGAAGTTTAGATAAGGAGGGGTTCACCACTCTGTGAACACGGAAAATAGTGCAACAATTCAAGAATAACATTTGCCAACGTAAAATAGCAAAGAACTTGGAGATTTCATCTTCTACGGTGCATAATATCAATAAAAAACACTAAGAATCCAGAGAAATCTCTGCATGCAAGGGACAAGGCTGAAAACCACTACTGGCTTGCCGTGATCTTTGGGCCCTCAGGCAGCACTGCATTAAAAAAACAGACACGATTCTTTTGTGAAAATCACCTCATGGGCTCAGGAACACTTCTGAAAACCACTGTTTGTAAACACAAAGAACAAGCCATACCATTGCTGCCACCTTCTGTGGGCCCAAGCTCATTTAAAACGGACTGAGGGGAAGTGGAAAAGTGTCCTGTGGTCCGACAAATCAAAATTTGAATTTTTTTGGAAATCATGGACACTGTGTCCTCCAGGCTAAAGAGGAGAGGGACCATCCAGCATGTTATCAGCGCACAGTTCAAAAGCCATGATGGTATGAGGGGGCATCAGTGCACATGGCATGGGTGACGTGCACATCTGTGAAGGCGCCATTAATGCTGAACGATATATACAGGTTTTGGAGCAACATATGCTGACATCCAGATGACGTCTTTTTCAGGGAACACCTTGATTTTTTCAGCAAGACAATGTAAAACCACATTCTTCATATATTACAGCAGCATGACTTCTTATTAAAAGAGTCCAGGTGCTAAACTGGCCTGCCTGCAGTCCAGATCTGTCACCCACTAATAACATTTGCCGCATCATGAAATGAAAAATATGACAAATGAGCCCCTGAACTGGTGAGCAGCTGAAATCCTATATCAAACAAGAATGGGAAAACATTTCACTTCCAAAACGACAGCAGTGTCTCCTCAGTTCCCAAACGCTTACAGAGTGTTGTTAAAAGAAGAGGTGATGAAACACAGTGGTAAACAGGCCCCCGTCCCAACTTTTTTGGAACGTGTTGCTGGCATCAAATTCAAAATGGGCATATATTTATTTTCAACATTTGATATGTTCTCTTTGTACTATTTTCACTTAAATACAAGGCTTAAATGATTAGCACATCATTTCATTCTGTTTTTATTTACATTTTGCACAGCATCCCAACTTGGGAAATGGGGTTGTGTATACATACACACAATGTAAATGCTGCAAAAACATGACATAAACTGCAGAACAAAACCTGAAGTGGAAATATTCACATTCAGTAGCATGTATGTAAAATAATAACTAAAGCGAAGAGCACAGGACGCATAAAGAGTAAACAAGTGGCACGTCTATGATTTGGTGATGTGGGTTACTGATAAGAGATGTTAGCTGTAATCTGTTTTAAGATGCATTGCATGTACGACCTGCAGCAGAGGACCACACCCCTGAACCCCTTGTCAACCTTCCCTCTATCTACATCCAGTTCACACGCTCTCACGGCCTCCATTGTCCGTCCTGAAGGCGTTAACGGAGCTGTTTCATCTCTCCCCAAAACACGTTTATCAGGACCGGAGCAGCAGATAGGATCTGAAGTCATTAGCTGAGGAACGGCTCGAGGTCGGCAGCAGAAAGAGAGCTGAACTTAGGCCTGATTCACTTACAGCATTCCACAGGAAGCCGGCCAAACCCCTCTTTTGTCATGCAATCTAGAGTGATGTTGAAAAAGCGCGGTTTGGCCTTTTGAGGGCGATAAACAGGAATGCGTGATCACACAGCACGCTTAACACGGGCTCTAATTACATTACATTCAGGAGGTGAAGAGAACCTACGTATATTCAAACAGGAGGACAACCTGACAGGACAAAAGCTGTTTTCGTCAGAGCTGGTAAACTGATTTCCTCTCAGCTGGATCCACTTTGTGTGCTGTGGAGCTCCAGAAGCTCAGTAAGGGATGCACCACTATTATTCTGAATGCTTACTGCACCTTTATTAACATTTCTGTTCATAGTTTTTTCATAGTTAATAATCCACAGACGTTCAAATTATTAACAAACTATCTGGTGTTCCTTCTTAAGAGGGTTAGGATTAGGGTTAGGATTAGGTTTTGGATTGGGGGATGTGGGTTAGGATTAGGATTAGGGCCAGGGTGATGGAAATTTAAGGTGAATTTCATAGATATTTAGACGAACATGAGTTTAATGGAAAGTAAGCATCTACCAAGTACCTACAAACAAAACAACATCTGCAAACAAAGTGGTACATCATGTTTTGCATACTGTTCAACTATTACAGCATGATGGTCAACAGTCTGCATGCAATTTGCACAATTAATCTACTCTGATTAACTCTTCTACTCATCTTCTACTCCTCCACTATTCACATTCTTATACACTCGTATGCAAAAGTTTTGGCACCCCGGTCCCGACATGTTTTGATGATTTTCTAAGTGAAAGAAGTTACATGTCCTCTACAGAGATCACACTTTTATGCACATTTTAAAGCACAGTTCCTGTTTATTTGCTGAATTTAACATATTGGTGAAAAATAAAACATAAAATGTGGTCTGTGCAAAAGTTACAGCACATTTTATATTTTATGTTTAACTTTTTTGCTATATTAAACTCAGTAAATGAACAGAACTTGCACACTATAATGTGCAGGGAAAAAAAAGTCAAATTCAACGTTACTCTGCATAACTTATTTTCAGAAAATCAACAGACACCAGGGGATTTTTAGCATGAAAAGTGGGTTGGGTTGTTCACCCACCTCACACAGTCTTATCTTTCACATTTTTAATAGTACTTTATTATATAGTACTGTATACAATAATTGCGAGCCTTGTTTCTATGTCCTTGTGTACTTACTTAGGACTTACTTAGAACAGGGTCAACAACGTGTGGCTCTGGAGCCACATGCAGCTCTTTTGCTGCCCTGTTGTGGCTCCACAGCAGGATTAGATTTGTATGTAAAAATAAAATAATCCTCCTTTACAGTAAAATAAAGCTCTGCTGATCGTTCAACTCAGTTTAACAATAAATGGTCTTAAACACTGGAGTTAATGTAGAACTGCTGATTCACCCTTTAACCCTGAACATCAGCACAGACTGCTGGTCACCATAGCAACGACCACAATCTCGCCTAGCCAGTAGCTAACAAAACAGCAAAGAGAGAGATTTAAGATGAAGATCGATTATTTGAAGACAAATGTACTTATTTGTGTTTATAATCACTCCAGCTGGTTTCCTGATACGTTTAATCTGCAACGAGAAACTGACAAACACTAAAAAGTCACGAAGCTGAAGTCGCTTCTCATTCACCAGATTCTTGTTCAAATTGTCCCGTTCCACCTTAAATGGTACAGCAGTTACATTCTGGCACCTCAGGCTCCATTTAAGGTGGAACGGGAAAATTCAAACAATAAGCTAGCAAATGAGAAGCGACTTCAGCCTCGTAAAAATCAAACGTTGAGAGACATTTTACAAGAAACTGTTCTACTTTCGAGGAAAAGTTTCCTGCTGGAGATGTAAGAAAAGTGGCTGTAGCTGAGCTAAAGCTTAAAGCAGAGCAAAATAAGGCCGCATTTTCGTTTATATTATATTTTTATCCTATACTAGTACATCAGCACATACTGAGACATATTTACAGCCAAGATGGTAAAATGGACATAAACTGTTGTGGCTCCCAAGGTGGTTTGATTTTTGTTGATAGGACAAAATGGCTCTTCTTTTGGGTTGCGACCCCTGCTTTGTTGGATTTAGTACATTGTACTGAACTGTCTGTTTACTTGCCATCTGGTAGTCTATATGATGAGATGACAAAATCATTCTTCCTTGTCACTATTTTTCCCATCACATCAAAAATGCATCACATAACAAGATTCTCATTATTTATCATTCTCTATATGTGCATAAAAGCATGACCATGAAAAAAAACATACCTTGAATGTCCGTGCTGCTGTGGGAGCGTCTCTCGGCTATCTTCCCCGTGCGAGTGGCCACCAGACCCTCCACCTCGTCTGAGCTCAGAAAGTCTCCAGACGCCACAGACACCTGTGACGACAGGCTGGTGCTTGCGGACCTCTTATTGAGAGGAGACCTGCAAAGAAGAGCCACAACAAACAGCCTCTAACACCAGAACCTCTAACGTTTACCATCTTATGTGTATACATAGGGTAACTTGGGGAAGTAAGCCCCCCAGGGGGAGATGTCCCCCGCCTTCTTATTTACTCTCCAGATGAAACGACAAGGCCAAGTCTAATCTTGACACATTTACCGAATGGCTGTGGTTTCATTCACTGAGAAATTCATCTTGATGACCACATTCCTGGAATTTTTTCCTTAAAAAAAAACTTTGAGGTCTGTTAATTTATTATTGTTTTATTAGATAACAGCGATATATGCATTTAGATTAAGTTACACAAGAAAAGCAAAGATTTTTTTTTATTTTTTATTTTGAAGTGGAAATGTGAGTAAAGACCTTTGGGGCAAAAGTCCTCCCTAACATTTGAGTTACATGCTAGCTGTAGTGGTCAGTAGCTAGAATTACGCAACATTTTTAACCGTTTTGCTGGAGATAAGTTTGAGTGTGAGTTCGGCAGAGTTACATCCACTGATCTGTTTTGTCATGGGCAATTATTGTTTACGCTTACCAGGGCTGTTTATCAGGTCTTACCAATAACCAATAATAACATAATAACGTAATATCCATCCATCCATCCATCATCTAAACCGCTTATCCTTCTGGGTCGCGGTGGGGTGCTGGAGCCTATCCCAGCTGTCATTGGGCGGAAGGCAGGATACACCCTGGACAGGTCGCCAGTCCATCGCAGGGTAATAACGTAATATGTTCATGCAATTAATATCTCATGGTTGTGATTACAGTGAAGAGAAGCTCCCTATGGATTTCAGACGAACTTAAAACTCTGTTCTGTCCATTTCGCCTCAGGCTACTTTTTTGAACGGAGGAAAATACAGTGCAGCCAATCAGAACAGAGGTCATTTACATATATATATAACAAAAAAACAGCCTGTTTAATTCTAAGGGAAAGAAATAAAGAAATGTTGGGAAATTCTGGAAATGTCAAAACGGCAGATGTTACAAGTGGACATGCGGTCAGAGACACATATGACCACACAGCATCGGTAGTGTGAATGCTAAATGCGTCCATTTGCATCCACGACCTTATTAAATCAGCTAACTCATCCCGTTTGTTTAGGGAGCTGCATTAGGAGTCCACATGATCTAGACAGCTCTGATATTTCCATGAGCGAGAACTCACGGCAGTGAGTGACTAGCGTAGTAAATGTGGGCGGTTCCCCTCCTCCAGTCACGAAATCACATCATTATTGGCCAGAGATGCATTCCAGACACAGAAATGGCAGGAGAACCATGGAAGTGTGTGTTGTTCAGCTATACACTGCAAAAATAGTATCTTGCCAAGTAAAATTATCTTAAATATAGTCAATAAATCTAATATTTCTCCTGTTGAGATTGTTGTAAGCTTATTTTGAGATTATTTAACTTTTTTCTAGACATTTTAAACTGTTTTTGGATTTGTCCCCCAGTTTCTCCCCAATTTAGTTGCCTCCAATTCCACCCACTAGTTAGGACTCCCCCAGTAACGTGATCCCACCAGCGCTAGGAGGGCAAAGGAAAACACAGGCTTCCTCTGAGTCCACAGCATCTTTTCGAACCACTAACACAGCATCACTGCACAGCTCAACACGCTCAGAGGAGAACACTAACTGCCAGATCTGTTATGTCAGCTAAAAGACGCCTGCACTGACTAGAATCGTGCTGAATGATGGGGGGAGACGGGGGGCCATCCTACCCACCCAGAAAGCGAGGCTAATTGCTCTCTTGGACTCCCGGCCACGGACGGCTGTAGCATCACCAGGGACCGGACACGCAATCTCCTGATGATAAGACCAATGCTTAGACAGTTGCACCACTCGGGAGCCTTTTTACCCTGTTTTCAGTAAATTTATTTAGTCATTTTTTCTCACTATACTGGCAGATAATTTTGCTTGTTTTAAGAAATGTGCTTGAAACCAGCTAAATTATCTACCAGCACAGATAATTCTACTTAATTAAATTACTTAAAACAGTAAAAATGTCTAGGAATAAGGTAAATAATCTTATAATTAGTGCACAACCATCTCAAAATAAGAAATATCAGATATACCGACTAAACTTAAGATCATTTTACTTGACAAGATACCATTTTTTTGCAATGTACGTCTTGTGATCAGATCATTTGACAGGAATGTTAACACCAATTATGAACAGGACCAAAAAAAACAAACAACAAACACAGATCTGGGCCCTTTAAAGTCACTCGAGCACCCAAGTGACTCTCTTTTTTGGAGCTCCAAGGCTGAAGTAGCCAAGTAGCTAGTTCACACCCCACCAGTTAGTATCAAACTGCATATTTAAATCACCACACCGGCCTCGAACTGTGTGGTGTTCAGTAAACGACCTGATTATGTGTTTTCTGACGCTCTAATACACAGTAGCCACATGTCAGTGTGGAATCCCACTGCTGTGTTTTTTGTCTCTTTTCCCACAGGGCTGCCCCCCGGGGGTCTTTTTGATCCACAAACAGTGGCAGGAGGAGGAGGAGGAAGCAGCTCTTTCTCTCTTCCACAGTATCTGTGTCCGCCTCTGAATCGCACTGCTGACTTTACAAGCCCCCCGACAAAAGGGATTTCCAATGAATGTGTTAACGGCCCGGTTTACGGGCAGAGGGCCTCCGGCCAGCGCCGGAAACGCTGCAGGTCAGCTGACTCTCCCAGCGCTGTGGGTTAGTGGGTTAACGGGAGTTTAGCTGGGTGGGCCGTCCAGAGTCGGGGGGCTGAGTCGGGGTGGGAATCTGGAACGTGAAAGCTGCTTTGATTCAGGCTTCCAGAAAAGACGAGGGCGCCAACAGTTTAGTAAAAACGCAACTCTCTCCCCATGTCTCTCACTCTCTTTCTCTATCTCTCTCGACCTGAAAGCTGAGTAAAAACACAACTCTCTCTCTCTCTCTGTTTCTCTCACTCTTCCTTTCACTTTTACTCTTTCACTTCTTCTCGCTCCCTGTCTCTCTCTTTCTTTCTCACTGTTTCTCCCTCACACTTTTGCTTTCTCTCTCTCGCTCTTTTACTCTTTCACTCTCTTTTTTACAATCCCTCTCTTTCCCTTCTTCTCACTTTCTCAGTGTCTCACTCTCTTTCTTCCTCTCTTTCTCACTCTTTCCCACTGTCTTTCATTCTCACATTTTTCTCTCTCTCTTGTTCTGTATTTTACTCTTTCTTGCTTTTTCATTCTTTCTCTGTCTCTATCTTTTTCTTTCGTTCCTCTCTCTCTCTCTGAGTCACAGTTTCTTTCCCATTCTCTTGTTAACTCAGTGTCTCTCTCTCTCACTCTCAGTCTCTCTCTCTCTCTCATTCACTCTCACAGAGTGTCTCTCTCACTCTCAGTCTCTCTCCCATTCGCTCTCAGAGTGTCTTTCTTACTCTCAGTCTCTTTCTCTTTTTCCCTCGCTTTCACTCTCAGTCTCTCTTTCTTTGTCTCAAACTCTCTCTCTCTCTCTCTTTAACTCTCTCAGAGTCTCTCTCTTAGTCTTTCTCTCTCTCCCTCTCCCTCTCTCACGATCACAACCTGACAACTGAGTAAAAACATGCCCCCCCCACATTCTCCCTCTCTCTCTCTCTCTATCTCGTTCTATCACTCTCTACTCTCCTCACAGTCACTTCCTCAGTAAGGGGCCTGAGGGCGTTTGCTGAATTGTGTTTCATTCCTTACAGCACCCACCTTCTCTGCGTATTTCCCTCTCCCTCCCTCTATCCGCATTCCCTTCTCCCCCTCTACTCCTCCACCTCTCTGAACTTTAAGAGTTCCTGCTTATGCTCGCGTTTGTGTTTTGGAATCAGCCTCAGGACTGAGCTGGTTGGCCTCCAGCTTTCCTCAGAAAACATACATTATTATTAGGCCTGCAGCTCTGGATTATTTCTATGATTAATTACCATATTGTTTTCTGCTTGATTGATCAGCGTTTAATTTAAGCCTCCTTACGTTTCTCTTTTCAAACCTGTCTGACTCGAGTCAGGTGTGTCAGAGCAGGGAAAGCAGCACACAGTGCAGAGTCTTACCCTGCGTTCTGAATCGCAGCTCCATCGAAAGAGAAGGACTCCGCTCTGCTCCTGTCCGACGCCAGACCCCTCACAAACTCCGTGTAGCGCTGCCCCGGCTCGTACAGCTTAGCGCTCTCGCACAGCGTCTGATTATTCACAGGTATGCTGACCACCTGAGCCTGCTGCATCTGGAACCAGTTCACCGTCACCTGCACAGCACATGCAACACATCGCTTAAAGGGCCCATATCACGGAAAACTTTTTTCTATTCTATTTCAATTTTTCTATTTCTTTTTAAATAAAAAAAATCTCAGTATGTAAAAATACTAAAGTTTACAAAAGCTGAAGTTTTAAAACAGCCTGTTTTGAAAGACTTTTTTAGATGCCATAAAAGACCAACCTATATACATACATACATCTATTTCACCCATAGCACTTTAGCTCCGCCCCTTTATGCTGAAGTTATAGGGACCGTTTCAGTCAGGACTGCTTTTCTGAATGTGGCCCAAAGCAGCGCAGCCAATCAGAACAGACTCATTTACATACATCAGTCTTAAAAGTGCACCAAAAAAACAGGCAGTTTAATTTTACAGAATAAAGAGAGGTACTCCTAAAAAGATGGTTCTTCAAGGGTTCTTTAATAAAGACAATGGTTCCATGTAGAACCATGAACACTACAAAAACGTGCACATTGAAATGGTTCTTCAGATTGATGGAGAATGTGTTGTACATGGTTCTATAGCTTGACACTGTAACAACAGCAGAACACCTTTTGGTGCTATGTGGAACCGTTTTCCACAGTTCAGCTGAGGAACAAACTGCATTATATTTCTACTGTGAAAGGGTCAGAGATGATCCTTAGTGCTCACTGTTTTGTGTGATCAGTGGGATTTAAAGGGGAGTAAAAGACGCTGTTTTGGGTGCAGCTTTGTAACTCACAGCTTTGAGCGTGAGGTCACACTGGAAGACGAGGGTGCGGATCTGGGCCAGGATGTCACGCTTAGCGTTTGCCAGGTCGGCCTTCTTCACTCCTACGTCTGTGACGCAGTGCTTATAGTGTTCTCTGGCTTCTTCTGCCTGTAACGCAGCCGAATAAACACAGAATAAACACACATAACATTAATACAATACACAGTGATTTTATGCATGACAAATGTTTTTGTTTAACTATTTCCAAATCTGTTCTAGTTGTAGTTTTCATGCAGTACCTGGTTCAGCTAATCAGTGCTATCTATCTATATATATATATATATATATATACACACACACACACACACACACACACACATACATACATATATGGGACATATTAGTACAGCATATACATACTATGTGACATACATATATAATGTGAAATACACATATAATACATAAGCAACAAATTATTAGTAGTAGTACACATATTATTAGATTTTGGATCACTTTAGGGTTTTAGATCATGTTTTGAGTTTTGGATCAGATCACATTTTGGGTTTTAAAATCACATTTTGGGGCATATAGGACATATTACTGCATATAGATACTTACATTTATAATACACATGGGAAATATTATTACTGCACATAGATATTTGTATATATCAGATACGTGACATGTTATTATCACATACAGATACTTAAATATACACAGAATACATAAGCAACAAATTATTATTACATACAGAAACTTACATATATATATATAATGCAAATGGTATATGGGACATATTGTCATTAAATAAAGATATTTACAATACAAAGCATACAGGCCTTATTATTACTTACATACATATTATTGCTTGTACCTGCCCAAATGATTACATATGACCGTATATAACACATATGGAACAAATTATTATTACATATAGATGAATACCTATATATAATATTTATGGGAAATATGCTGTTATCACTTACACAGGACAACACATACAGGCCATATTATTACATATACATTTTTTCATATATTTAATACAGATGGACACGTGTATGACACCCGTATGGCCCTCACCGTGACACTGTGTGTATGGATGGTCTATATACCTTCTGCAGTGCTTCATCCTCCAGTCTGCGTCTCTTCTCCAGCTGTTTTCCTCCGGCCCCCAGCTGGTCCTCCTCAGCGCGGCTGGTGGAGCTTCGAGCTCTCTCGTACTCCTCCTGCCTCTGAGCCTTCAGCACACGGGCTTTCTTCAGAGCGCTCTCAGCCTCATGCTGAACAAACACATACAGAAATATCTATCATTTATTGATATGGAAACATATGGACAGGGTAAATGACGACTCTGCACTTTCCTCAGGCAGCTTATAATGATGAAAACAGACACAACAATGAAAACAACAGCGGCAGGAATTGGAGCATCTCCAGTATATTAATGTGCCGGGATATTTTCACTCCTGCACACAGCTGGAAAAGCACACTTTGGGAAAACACTGAGAAAATCAATTAAACATGTGGGCGTGTTTGTGGGTGAGGCATTTGTTGAGTGGACATAATAATACATAGAGAGCAAGTCTAGGTGTTTTGCATCTGTGCTGTGAATTTACATAAAAAAACCAATATAAATCGACGAAATAACCTCTTGCTTTGAGCAACTGAAGCAGAGCGACCTCTGACCTTTACCTTCAGTGATTACTAACAGACCACTGTAGGAATGACAACAGCAGGTCTGCTATCTGTAAGAAACAGGAGGAACCCTCTTAAACCCTGTAATGACCTCGAGTTCCAGCCAAAAACAACCCTCAATTTCCTAAAAAAATAAAAAGGGGCTTTCCAGTGATTTCAGCGTGGCTAACACAGCCCTGCAGTGAGTTTGGTATGGAAGCCCATTCCTGACAGGAAGAGGAGGAAAAGTATGAGCGTGGGTTCTGGATCATGTTCTGGATCATGTTTTGGGTTTTGGGTCACGTTTTGGGTTTGGAATTATTTGGGTTTGAGATCATGGATCACAATTTCATGATGAAAAAGGGGCTTTCCAGCATTTTCAGCACAGCTGACAAGACACTACCATTTACACAGAATCCATTCCTGCCAGGAAGGGGGGAAAAGTACCACCTTGGGTTTTCGAGCATATTTTGGGTTTGAGATCATGCTTTCAGTTTTAAAGCATGTTTTGGATCACGTTTTTGGGTTTTGGATTAGGTTCTGGATCACATTTTGTGTTCTGGATTTCTTGGGTTCTGGATTACATTTTGGATTTTGCATTATATTTTGGGTTCTGGATTACATTTTGGGTTTTGGATTATATTTTGGGTTCTGGATTACATGTTGGGCTTCTGATTATATTTCAGATCACATTTTTAATTATTATCATATTTTGGATCATGATTTGGATCACTTTTTGGGTTTTGGATTAGGTTCTGGATCACATTTTGCGTTCTGGATTTCATGGGGTCTGGATTACATTTTAGGCTTTGGATTATATTTTGGGTTCTGGATTACATTTTGAGTTTTGGATTATATTTTGGGTTCTGGATTACATTTTGGGCTTTTGATTATATTTCGAATACACAGTTATAACACATAAATAAAAAGACCAACAGTGAGCTGTTATATCTGATGAATATGCATATCTTACATATCTGGTAGGTTTAATGCTGACTGACCGAGAAGACAAAGCAAGATAAAGTAACCAGGAAGATCTGAGGTTTAACAGTATAGATGAAAGTGGCCTCACTATTGAGGTGTAACTACTTGTTAACAATTTTTCATGTGTTTACGACCTAATTAATAACCATGAATAAATTCATAAGCCCTTTATACGGGCAGTTTTTTCTAAAATTGTACCATTATTCTGAATAAGTCACTATTTTGAATACATACGTCCTTATTTTGAGGTACTAAATCAGATTCTTGAGAAAATAAGTCACTATTTTGAGATACTAAGCCAATATTTGGACACACTGCTGCCAGAAGCAGAGAATAAAAATGCTGTAAATGATCTGTTCTCCTCTACCTGGTGGGAATGAGCTTCCACAGTTAAGAGCTGATTTGTCAGAGCTGTAAAAGAAACACAATTTTTCTGACAGCACTGCTTTGCTGCACTGTTGGCTTTAGCTGACCTTAAAAAACAACAAGACAAAAAGATCCGCCCACCATTTTCTTCTGCTCCCTCTGCCACTGCTCCTTCACCTCCTTCCTCAGCTTGTCCAGCTCATTCTTCCGTGTCAGGAGTGGCTACAGCAAGAGAAACACCAACACAAACACACATGTTCCTCCATCAAAAGAGCAATATGACCCTTCAAAATACAAGTCTTCAGTGAATGTCCATCATACCTGCATGAACTTGTTGGCCTGGAGAGCGGCGGCCGTGTGCTGCAGGACTTTGCTGTGCTCGATATCATTCTTAAAGGCAGTGATGTAGATGTCCCGGAACGGCATGTGATCCTGTTCAGTCATAACAAACATGCAATTATATATACGAAACGCCCAGCACAGTCACTGCGCTCAGCAAGTACAGTGAATATAGTTACAGGACTGCGCTGTAATAATCAGATATAACCCTTGCGTGGTGTTCAGGTCTGCGGGACCCATTTTCAGTGTTTACCAAAAAAAAATGATGTGATTTATTATTATTTCAACCTCAGATTCTTGTCCTTTACTCATTTTCTGTGAAGAACATATAAAATAACCCATTTTCAGTGTCTTCACTCTGTTCACCCCCCACACATTTATATTACACATGTGGTGTTGGGTGAACCTGCGGGGAGTAAAAGTGTGGAGGTGCTGTGTCCTTCACTCTGTTCTCCTCCTACATGGCTGGCTGTTAGTGTGTGTGTGTGTGTGTCTGTGTGTGTGTGTGTGTGTGTGTCTGTGTGTGTGTGTGTGAGAGGGTGGACAACATGGACAGGCTGCTGACTGGCTACAGCTGCTAAAGGAGAACCCTACACTGGCCACTTCTGATATTTTAAACATCTGGTATTTTTACATAAATTGTTATGGCTGTATTGATTTAAAAAAAATCAATAGTGCGGTGGGTCCAGCAGACCACTGAGTAACAAACACATCAACACCACACAAGGGTCAAAAATCTGTTTATCTGGACAGTAAATGTTTTATTTGGCCAGAAAAACGCTAATAATAAGTATAATAACATTAATATAATAAGCAGTGATGAGCTGTATTATTTATTGATACATATTATCTGAAGACAAACTTTGTTTTTCTAACTAGCTCATCAGAAACCAACTGCTTTTTATTTGAAATAATAAGCTCTTGTTATTTTTATTGTATTTATGTTCAATAAATTATGTTTGGGCACCCAGTCAAATTACAATTTGCTAAGTTTCTAAGTAAAAATAAGTTTGCATGTTCTCTATAGGGAAAACATTTTAATGCACAAATACTGTTTACTTGCTGAATTTAATATACTGGAAAAAAATAACATAAAATGTAGTCTGTGCAAAAGTTATGGCACATTTTATATTTAATTTTCCGACATATTAACCTCTTAAAATGTATAATTTATAAACCTATCACATACTAAGGTTTATTATTCAGTAACTACAGGCACTTCAGTGTAAACAGGTTGAGCTATTCATGGGTTATATAAGTGTGTAATAACACTTTGGGCCCAAAAGCGGACCCTGGCCATGTAAGGGGTTAAACCAATAAATGTGGATATAAAATAAGTACATATAATGCAGTAAAATTTGCAGATAAGTGTCATATGTAAGTGTGCTCTCTGTGGGGGATGTGTTACTTATTTTCACTTGGAAAATTAACAAAACACGTCATTTGAGCAGGGGTGCTCAAACTTTTGCACACAACTGTATGGTGTTTTTACAGGCCAAAACTTGTTTGCCAGGATATCTGTTTTAAAACAATGTGCTTAGGGGCCTAAAATGTTTGCACAAAACTGAGCATAAACAATACACTAAATAGCATATAATAATTGAGAATTATTGAACATCGCTAGAAATTACCTGCTGACTCGCCAGGGTCTTCGCGGACTCGGCCATTTTGGCGAGGCTTTTGGCGCACTCCATATCTGGAAGTGAAAGTGTTGGTTACAAAACGTCCTGCGCATAATGGATGAGAGGTGGGAGCCCGCGGGGGCTGCCGGAGGGGGGTGTAAAAGTGGAAAATAAACAGGGCAGGATGGTTATCTCCCAGCACACACACTGACTCCCTGTGTACACAGAGTAAAGCCCTGAGATTTGTAAAAGAGCAACTGTTAGTGTGGAATGCAGAGAGCAGTTAGAGAGCCGACGCTTCAGAGAGAGAGAGAGAGAGAAAAAGCACAAAGACGTAAAAGGTGACCAACCAAGAGATGCTGATTCGTCTCCATAATCATAAACACTGCTGAGTTCATTAATCAGTGCAATGACATTTTTTTAGAATGGAAAGAAACAGAGACGGACATACAGATGCTTTCTCATCCATATGACACAATATATACGCTGAATATTTAGCATATTCAAGCTTAAAGAGGAATTCCACTTATTTTTCAAAATTTCTGCATAATTAAATGGTTAAGATGTAAACAGAGTCATTCAGAGTGGTTTGGTGTGAAACGCTCTGCTCTAGAGAAACTTACTGAGTCAGAACTGTTCACAGTGGTGGTGATAGGAACCAGACATCCACCTCTAAAAGCTCCCTCACAGAAAGTTACTGCAGTAAGTGGTTGTAAATTCACTGCCTGGTGACTGAGACATTGTTTTATGACAGTTTTGAGAGGTGGAGAGGTACACGCGGGGCATTGTGAGGCAAAATAGTCCCCAGTCATTTTTCAGATGTATTTATTTTTCAAATCTTTCCATCATCAACGTTCCATATAAACTCAGAAGACTCGTGTAGGTTCACTGGTGGTTTTGATGGTAAATAAAATGTCTATGTTTGTGTTGTAGTCATGGCGACCCCTGGTTCCTATCACCACCACTGTAAAGACATCTGAGTCTGTATGTTTCTCTGCAGTGAACCATTTCACACCAAACCACTCTGAATGACTCTGTTTACATTTCAATGACTGATTTATGCCATCAACAGAATTCCCTTTTAAATATGGACAAAGATAGATCACACCTTATTTGAATGGTCCTCTACAGATGAAAAAATGTTTACCCTAGTTAATCTGGTGAAACCTAGGAAATTATCAACAGAATAAGGTTTAGGGTTCAAGTCGAGGTTAAGGTTAGGATTAGAGAGAGTGTCAGATTTAATGCAGTGGAAAAATGAAGTGAAATTAAAAAGATAACGAGACCTGATTTCATACAGCCATTGTTTGTATTATCTGGCAGCTTTGTTTTCTTTTATTGCTGTTGCATCTTTATGACTTTGAGAGATGGCTGAGTGGGGAAAAAACAAGAGCTACTAAACCGGGGGTCGGCAACATATGTCTCCGGACCAACATGCGGCTCTTTTACTGCCCTGTTGTGGCTCCACAGCAGAATTAGATTTGTAGGTAAAAATAAAATAATCCTCCTTTACAGTAAAATAAAGCTCTGCTGATCGTTCAACACAGTTTAACAATAAATGGTCTTAAACTCTGGAATTAATGTAGAACTGCTAATTTACCCTTTAACCCTGAACATCAGCGCACAGACTGCTGGTCACCATAGCAACACAGACAGTCTTGCCTAGCTAGTAGCTAACGAAACGGCAAAGAGAAAGATTTAAAACAAACATCGATAATTTGGAGATGAATTAACTTATTTGCATTTATAATCACTCCAGCTGGTTTCCTGATACGTTTAATCTGCAAAGAGAAACTGACAAACACTAAAAAGTCAAAAAGCTGAAGTCAGTTTCTCGTTCAAATTGTCCCATTCCACCTTAAATAGTGCCTGAGGTGCCAGAATGTACCTGCTGCATCATTTAAGGTGGAACAGCAGAATTTGAACAATAAGCTGGCGAATGAGAAGCGACTTCAGCCTCGTAAAAATCAAACGTTGAGAGACATTTTACAAGAAACTGTTCTACTTTTGAAAAGTTTCCTGCTGGAGATGTGAGAAAAGCAGCTGTAGCTGAGCTAAAGCTTAAAGCAGAGCAAAGTAAGTCTGTGTTTTCATTACATTTTTTAGCCTATACTAGCACATCAGCACATACTGAGACATATTTACAGCCAAGATGGTAAAATGGACATAAAATGTTGTGGCTCCTGAGATGGTTTGATATTTGCTGAAAGGTCAAAATGGCTCTTCTTAACATTTGGGTTGCCAATCTAAACACTTGTTAATGACTCATTAAGTCACCATAGCTCATTTATGATGACACTGCATTGCTATTTTAAGATTACAACCCAAATCTGTGCACTTTTAATACATTTATTCATACTAACTCACTCAGTTAGATCAGACAGGCAGACTGACCTCCTATACTGTGATGGTCTGAATGCAAACCCAGTTCAATTCATGCTCATAACTGTAGATGTTACACACTGCGTTAAAGCTGTAAGATCAATAACTGATAAGCCTCCAGCGGTCAGAGGCCTGAACAGTCGAGGACGGAGGTTCCTCACCCATGCTGAGGCGCTTGTCCACCCAGTTGAGCAGCTCCTTGGTGTATTTGGACCAGGCTTTGGCGTAGAGGAGAGCGGACTCCACCCCACTGTCGCTCTGCAGCAGAACACCATCCAGCTCCTCCACTGGCACCGGCGCTGATGGACCTGAGGGAGCAGAAAGAACCCATTTATTTAGGTCATCAGGTCAAAGATTCTATATGTGCTTTGTACCAGTTTGGCTTCAATGGCTGTTCTAGATACAGGGCCAACTTCCAAATCAGAGTAAGGTTGAGTGGGCGTGTGAGTCGGGGGGTGGTTCTTTAAAAGTTCTTTGGTAAAGACAATGGTTCTACATGGAACCATGAACACTCAAAGAACCTTTTGCATAATTATATGGTTCTTTGCATGGTGAAATCGTTCTTCGAATGACAGAGAATGTGCTGTAGATGGTTCTATATAGAACTTTTTTGAAAAGGTTCTATAATAGCACCAAAAAGGGTTCTTCTATTGTCACACTCTTCAAAAATGATGGCTCTTCTTTCTTTAGCAAAGAAAATAGTTCTACATATAACCATGGACACTCGAAGAACACTGTGGTTGATTAAAGGGTTCTTTGCATCGTAAAAGGGTTCTTTAGATCCAAAGAGAATGTGCTGTAGATGCTTCTATACAAAACCTTTTGGAAAATGGCTCTCTAGAGCACCACAGGGTTCTTCCATTGTAACCATGCCAAGCTTGTAACAATAGAAGAACCCTTTTCGGTGCTATATAGAACCCTTTTTAAAAGGTTTCAATAAAGAACCATCTACAGCACATTCTCATCAATCTCAAGAACCTGAACCGTTTATTCATGCAAACGGTTCTTTGAGTGTTCATGGTTCTATATCGAATCACTTTCTTTACTAAAGAACCCTAGAAGAACCCTTTTTGGTGCTATACAGAACCCTTTTCAAAATAGTTATATATAGAACCATCTACAGCACATTCTCCATCAATCTGAAGAACGATTTCACCATGCAAAGAATACTGAATTCTTTATAGTAGATACTGAATAATTCACAGTACTGAATAATTTATAGTAGATACTGAATAATTTATAGTAGATACTGAATCCTTTATAGTAGATACTGAATCCTTTATAGTAGATACTGAATAATTCACAGTACTAAATAATTTATAGTAGATACTGAATAATTTATAGTAGATACTGAATCCTTTATAGTAGATACTGAATAATTCACAGTACTGAATAATTTATAGTAGATACTGAATACTTTATACTTTAACGATTTCACCATGCAAAGAACCATTTAAGCATGCAAAACGTTCTTTGAGTGTTCATGGTTCTATATAGAAGCATTTTCTTTACTAAAGAACCTTAAAGAACCATCATTTTTATGTGCGTTAAAGCTCGTGTTCAGACGACTCTCCGATGGGTTTGATCTTATCAGAAGCTTCTGATCACAACAATTACTAAGAAATTCATGTAAATATTCACAAGATTCTACTTTTTGTTCAGATTGTTGTGCTGATACTAAAAAACTGTATTAAAGAAAAGAAGAAAATCTGAAGTGTTGTATGACTGAATGGCAGATATAATCCACTTGCTGACATTGAGTTGAAGGTGCTTATTAACAGGGACTGAGAGCAAAGCCGCCCAGACAGAGATTTAAAATAACAGAGACAGAGACGAGGACTGTAAATGTATATATGCAAACACAAACGGCTTCAAAGCAGCAGCGAAACCAGATCTAAGGTACTGGACATGTACGTAATAGGATACGTGTGAGATCTATGGTGTCTGCGGAGGCTGGGACGAATAATATTTCATAAAATAATACAAAATAAA